TACTATAGGTTATAGGCTGTGTATGGGGTAATTTCTGCCATCGCCACGCGCTAGCCAGGAGACTCGGTGCGTCCTGCGCCGCAAGGAGGCATAATCCTGGCAAGTTAGAGGCTATTTCGGGAGAGCTAGCTGGCGGCAGACTGTGAGGCTACACGTTTTGCAGAGAGAGAGAGAGAGAGCAGAGAGCAGAGACACGCGCACTGCACGCATAGCGTCCAGCAGTGCAAGCGGTGTGGATGCAGAGACTGCTTGACGAGGTATGCGGAGAGCTTTGCAGAAGCGTTGAACTGCTTCATACAAGGAAGAACTCGCAATTGGCATTGATTGTAGCAGAGAAGTTCAGCCCAATGGAAGGGCTGCACCGCGGCGGGTGCTTAGGATTGCGGGGTGCCTCCAGCTCACTTGATGAGTGTGAAGAGTTGGCTAAAGCGTTCCTCGGTAAGGAGCTCGAGCATCGCCTCCTTGCACTCTCCCTTAAGCAGAAGGGCCTCGATCTGCTGCAGGAGTACCTGGTAGTCGGTGTCTGAGCAGTCGTCTGCATTTTCTGGCACCCCTACTGCTGCCAGACACTCCGCGCGGAGTCCGGGCAGCGCATGCAGCGGCTGCAGAACGTCGGTACTTTTCTCCAAAGACAGAGGATCTCCTGTCGGGGGGGGGCAGAAGCGCAACAGTGGAGGTGAAGTCATGGCGGGAAAAAGGTGTGGACTGGCGAAAAACGCTCTCCAAGGCACGTCCACGCAGATGCGTGAGTGGGGAGCCGGAGAAGGTCAGGCCCCTATGTACCCAGAGGTGTACAGACACCCCGAGGCAGGAAGAAGTGACGACGGCTATGTGGGAAGATGCTGAGGGGCCGGCGGCCATGAGTCATTCTGCGGAAATCCTCTTCCGACGCGTGTGTATACGCGCGCGGCCGGCTATGCAAATGGACATTTGCAAAAAATGCATGGGCATTGCAAGAAGTGCCTGGCGATCATCATACACGCGTCTGTCCCCCGTGGGCACCTCCGGGGTAAGTCAGACTACGAATGCCGGATGGCTGGGAGAGACCTCCTTCTACGGCTTCCTTATTGGCTTTGAAGACAGCGGAAGGAACCATTTCTGCCGCAAAGCGAAGCATGAGGGTTTACGAGGCGTTGAGCCAGCACGAGGGGCTGCTGCTCTACGCAGACACCCTACGCCTTTTTCGTATATAATTGTCGAGTTGAAGCCTGAGATTCCAATATTCCGAGTCCAGGCTATTAGATATTTGCTAATTCACATGCAAGACTGCCCACCGGCTATTTTTGGCCGCGAACCCCGGGGGGTCGGTGCTGCCGGTGGGAAACAGGGGGGGGGGTGTTTATGCAAAACACCCCGAGGCCTTCAGTCCATTTTGGGGAACAGGGGGGGCCCTCCTGCCTATCGCCGCATTCGGCGAGGATTCGTGCAGACTGCTGCTTTCAATGCAGACTTAAACCCCTTATCTCCCTCTTTACTGCCTGTTTGCGTGGAAAGAGGCGGCCGCAGTGTGCAGCAGGTCATCATCGGCGGCGGTACAGACCGCCTCTCTCAGAGCTCCCCCATCGAGCATTCGTTAGCCTCCCCGAATTGTGTAGCGCATGCATCTTAATGCAGCAAAGAGGAAGGAATATGGCACATTTCTAAACACCTTCATGAATGGAAGATTTGAACGACAGCGTGCGTCACCGGGGGTTGCTCTGCCCGGCCACCGGCCTGCTGCGCATACAGATCCTTCTACAGTGTCTGGACACATGGGCTGCGCTTGTAGCTGTAAATATGGATCTGCACCTGCATAGCGCTATTGCCGCATGTGTATGTGTATACGTACGTGTATATGTATATGTATATGTATATGTATATGTATATGTATGTGTATATGTATATGTATGTGTAGATGTATATGTGTGTGTATGTGTATATGTATGTGTGTCCACGTGGTCGTAGAGGAGCGCTCAGGAGGCTGAGCGTGGCGTTGACACGCTGGCGAAGCGGCTACCGGACCTGTTGGTGACCATTTGCCGGAAGGCTACGGCTATTGGTAAGCGACAGAAGCGCGCATCCATGGGGTGTCTCAGTATCATGAGCTGCTGCTGCATCTTTGCACCGGCACACACGGGGGCTGTCTGTACCTTTTGGCGTAGGATGTGGAGGTGCTGCTGCAGCGAGCAACTCCGGCTTACGGGAGGTGCCCTGCGGGGAGCGCTGCTCAGCAGAAACTGCTGCAGAGGAGGACGAGGCAGCGGTGGAAGCGGCAGCACAACACGCGGGGGAGTTGGCTGTGAAGGCGGCTCGTCTTATTCAGGAGGCCCTAGGGGAGGCCACACCTGCCGAGGGTGGCATCAAGGAACTCACGGAAGTAGGGGAGAAAAATCCACAAAAAATGGAGGGATAAGGAGGGTTCTTGAGTGTGCTAGTCTCCTTGATCTTCTCTCCTTTCTGCGTTCGCTTGTGCAATGCAATGCAATGCGCCTTCGAGGGTCCCCTAGGGCTCGAGGCAAGAAGACTTGGGAGTATTGAGGGCAGGACAGAGAGCTGCATCGGCGGTGGATTGCGTGCGCTCCCCCCTGCCCTGCCGAAAGAGAGCTTCATGAGGCTGCAGTGCGTCGCTGTTTGTGCATGCAGCGCGTCTTGTTTCTTGGTGGTTCTCACGCCTCGTCAGCAGGCCCCCGCGATGAAGCAGACGATGTCTCAGTAGAACCGCAGCAGAGGGGCCCCGCAGCAACGGGAGGCCGCTCTCTTGGAGCTCCGGATATTGTGTTTTTTAAGTGCCCTCTTACCCAGGAGCAGTTCAGGCTTCCTGTTTCGCAGCGGTACGAAGCTGGCAGGGCTGTACTGTGCGTAGTGTTTTCTGAATTTGTCTTCTCCAACTCCCTTCACTTGACATCGGCGTGCCCCTCTGCGATTTCGACGTGCTGACCGGCCTCTTTAGACGCGAAACACATGCATCCCCAGATTTTGAGCCTCGCGCTGTCTGTACACCCCGGGGCCGCTGTGCGTTTGTCTTCCCTCTTCCTTACGCAAAACCTTTGATTCTTCAGGTGGCACCTGGATGATGCATCGGGGGTCTGTCCGCATGTTTTTGAAGAGGAAGCCATCCTGCACGTTATGTGAGGCCGCACGGCAGCGGACGACGCATGGAGAGCATTTTCTCTCTCTGGAGAAAAACAGCAAATTATGTGCCGTCTTGTTGGCTTTCTTTGGGGGTTTCAGCGATTCAATATTGGAAGAGAGCGCAGTTTTGGGGTCTTCTTGTGTTTGCCGCAGGAAAGGGCAGTCGATTGCATGCCCTTTTGCCGGTGAGTTTCCACTCGAAATACTGAATTTGGGCAAAACTAACCCTGCTCTAAGGGGTGGTAGAAAGAGGGGGGCCTCTTACCCCCTTCTGTCGCCTCTTCTTTGGCTGCCTCTCCCCCCTTACCCCACACGACCCCACCCCCCTTCCTGCTCCACACACTTCTGAGTCTGTCCAGCCGCACGCCGGTACGGCGTCTTATGGCGCATTTTAAAGACATCCTGCAAGGATGCATTAAGAGCCGTACAGGGCCACCCCTCACTTAGCATGCGCTGCGGAAAAGCGCCATTAAGAAACTCACACGGTGTTGCTATGCAGCGCGGCTATGGTGCAGGCTGCAGAGCAACCGTCCACAGAGGGGCCCTCCGACGCGATGTAGAGACAGAGGAGCACTTTCGGTAAGGGCTAGCAGCAGCAGCAGCATCACACAGCGACCACTACCACGACCCCTGTACACTTGCTTCCCGCATCTCTGCAGCCTTCCACACGACTGAGACATGCATACCATCACCTCTAAGTCGGTTTTTTGCCTCGCCCTCCCCCTTGCGAATTGGGCACCCGTGACGTTTGCATGCATTTATTTACAGACGCGTGCGCCTCCAAAAGGCAATCGAGGAACAACCTCGAGACGCTGCCGTAGCCGCAGAGGCTGCACGGGGAGGCGTGGGGCTGTCCTAGGGCGTAATTGATGCCACACATCATCGCTGCAAGGACGTTATCTTGGATGCCTTCCAGAGAGCTCTTTTTCGCATTGAAACTCTCGATACCCAGCGTGGCAGCCAGCCTGAAACGCTGGCGAGGAGGAGAGCTTACAGATGCCTATAGATCTCTAGCAAGAGAGCTCACTTCTGCCACCATCACCCCTTCCGTTCCTCCCTTCTCCATCCTCATTTACCCCCCTTACTGACACGGTCTCCTCAGGCGGCACGGTGGGGGAAGGCACTGTGTTCTTAACAGGTGGTAGCGCACTTAGAAACTCCAAAGTTACTACTACTACTACAGAAAAATACGCCAACTCAAACATGGCGCGTCAACGACCCTCCCCACACGGAAGCGGCAGCAGCAGAAACGGCCAGAAAACTGCCTTGCTGTCTGCTAGGCCGCCAGCAGCAGCCCCAACGAATGGTTCCTCCCTTTCCCCTGCAGGCCTTCTCGGGTGCATGCGCGTGCCAGTAGATGTAGTTAAGGCATGCGTAGAGGGGGCACTCAGAGTGCTATGTTACAGCATCCATGGATACGTTTACCGCCAAAGATTTGTACACCCATACAACCCCCCTAGAGGGGCCCCTCCATCACGCCGGCTCTTTTTGTGCCGCATGTACGGAGGGAGGTTGGCGTATACCTTGGACTGAGCCACTAGTCTTCATCCCGGTAAGACACGGGAACCGCGCGTGTTTCTTCGCCCTCAAGGCCAAGAAAATACTCCAGGCCTCCCACTGCGGAGGCGTATGCTGACCGTGCCACTTGCCGAAATGTGAAGCCCCCCGCTTCCCCCTCAGTTGCTCCTGACTGGTGCGCCGCTTGCGGGTGGTGACGAGGTGCTGCTGATTCTTGCGTTGTTTGGCTAAAAGCGCCGTAACTCAAGCGCGTTGCGTGGCTGTCGGCTTTAGCGTCTGCGACGTGCGGGAACCTAGACACGGTGGGGCCCTCGCCCCCCCGCTCAGAGGGCCTTTCCCCGAAGGCCCCTGGCAGTTTGAGTGTCTCCATCGTGGAAGAGGCGGAGGAGGCGGGGAAGATGTGGTTGCTGTGGCTACAGCCAGGAGCGAACCAGACGTCGCACTCGGTTGTGGCGTCGCTGCAACTTTCTGCTGGCGCTACACATTTAGCCAGGGGGTTCCCCCGGATGACCCCTCGGGTGAGGGCCCGTGGGAGAAGCGCCTTCTTGATCTCTTCCTGGTTCATGTAGATGTGCAGCGTGGAAATCGAGAAGAGGACGACCAAGACGAGGCAGCAAAGAGGCGGCTGGAAGAGCAACGCGGATACAACGGACGACAGAACGTAGCAGAGGAGGCCCCAATTGAATAGTCTGAACACAGATGCGCACAGGCAGGCAGAAGGGTAGCGAGAGTGCGAGTGGCGGCAGACGGGATGCGCGAGGAGCGGGCGACTGGCGAAGGGGGGGTGGCAGAAGAGAGGGAGTGCACTCTTACCTGAGAGTGGTTTGTTGCGCAGTGTCCATTACCTGAACGGCCCTAGAGACGCTGGCTGCACCACAGCCTCTGAGGGCGAGGCCAGGGCCCCACATGCTGCAGAAAGTGGAGATTAGAAGCACGAGCAGCATAATTCCTAAGGCTCCCCCTGTGGCTAAGACATGGAGGAGGTGTAGCCGCTTGTATTCGGGGGTTACACCTAGAACGGGCAGGCGGCAGACACAATATCGACGCACTGTGATCATCCAAAGAGTGTGCAACGTGCGAGCAGCGAGCGAGCAATGCAAAAGGCGAGTGGAAGGCTTTTGTGACTGTTGGAAGGTTTTTGCTGCTCTACCCTTGCTGGTGCTGTGTTGTGCTGGGAGGCTTGGCTTACCGGCGGCCTGCATGAGTGCGGCAGAGGCGAAGCCTGCCAGTAGAGAAGCAATTTTGGTGATCCTACTAAAGACAAGCAGGAAGTACTCGATCTCCATGAACTGCAAGGAGACGCTGCCCAGGTTGAAGTCCGTAAGAACCGCTGCCTTGTTGGCTTGTATCATCTTCTCGACGAGCGCAAGCAGCTAAGGGGCTAGAAAGAGGGGGAACTGCTCTTAAGAGCCGGTGGTATGGTCAGCGAACCAATTTATTGACTCTTCGCGCGCACATGCAGCCGCGTGCTGAACATGAGGGGAAAACAGGAATCGGCAGTGCTCGTGTGGCGGACGGCAGCGCGGCTAGGCCAAGGCAAAAATGGATTGGATCAAGACCCCTAAGAAACAGAAAACCGTCGAAGAATAGCTCAAAGTCGGTGAATAAAACGACTTCAAGGAAGAACAAGAGTGCGGGAGGGCCCTACACAGGTGCCGATATCGGTTCGGCCAGAGTCCACGACGGTATGTCTGATATATAACGCCGAGGAGCCACGCTCGCCCTTAGGAACACATGTTTCCTCCTGGTTATATGTTCAAAGAAGAGAAATGCATATATCCTGCCTATTTCCTTGGGGTAAATATACCTGTACTTATATATATGCGCATGTACCACCAGAGTCCCCGCTGGTCACCCGACTGTTAGGCCTTACGGCCTGCGGTCGCTTGATTGCTCTTGCAAGCCCCTGAAGGCGAAACCTTTCAACGGTTCACCTGGGCAGTAATGCAGCTCTTTTATGTTCCTTAGTCCTTTCTTTTTCGGATCTTGCGTGTACTGTTGAAGGAAAGCTTTAAGAGCGGCAAGACACAGAGGGAAGGAAGCCCCTGTCTGAGGCGGGAAGGGAGGCGCAGTCAAAGGTCTAAGGGCCCCTTCGCCGGCCCCTTTTTTGTCGTAAAGACTCTGCCTGACTGTTTATGCGCTGAAACCTAAAGTTATACACAAAGCGATGTACTCGTGGGTTGATTTGCGCGTTTCTTTTTTCACTTTTCTCTTCTGTGTCGTCCATGTGCCTTGCTGGGAGGAACCACACAAACAACGGCCAGATGTTCGTCTACAGGCGATTCGCAGTAACTTCGTGGCCTCCACACATACTGACGTGTGAGCAGTGGCTTTTCGCCAGTAGTGCACTCCTGGGAGTGGCAAGTGCCCCTGTCGACTGACTTTGAGCACCCAAGACAAAGGGCCAGCTCGAGCAGGGGCCCTCGTCAGTAGGCTGTAGTGTGTAACTCTTCATCTATGGTCTCCATAGGCACATCGTTTACATCAGGCTCAATAAAAACTGAATAGAAAGCTACTGAGCGTGTTTGAAAACAGAGGGAAGCTTCTCTTGGCCTCGCTCCTCATCCCGATCGGGCTAGGGACAGCTTCGGTGCGAGTGGCTGCACTCCCACCAAGCATGCAAAGCACTCATAGCTAGTTGCACACTGCATCCAGCGCACGTGTACACGGCATGGCGTATTCTTGTGTCGAGCTAACGACACCCTGCGATGAATTAGATCTAAGAACATGCACCGCAATCAGATGGAAACGCGTTCAGCCACACACAATGTTCAGCTGCACAATAGTGTAGTCGCGTGTAAATTTTTCAAGGAGCGCGTCACACTATTGATTCCTAAAGGTATTAAAGTGGGCAGCAGGCGCTGAAGAGCCTTTCCCTGGGGAGGCAGATAGTCAAGGGTTCGTTCGTAGTCCTTGCCGCCGAAGGCGTTCACCCTTTCCCGAGAATGGACAGGTTGTGCTGGATGTTGACGGTAGAGCGCAGGCACAGTCGTGCTGCATTCTTGCGCGTGAAAGGCCAAATAAAACCTCTGGGATGCCCAAATGTGGCCCACTGAAAAGCGATGTTTGGAGGAGCCTCACCGCTCATACACCGGCGCTGAACCCAAGAAGCCCAAACGCACCAAATGCCTTGTGTCTATTACGCTGTGTAGCTTCCTGTGTTCTGCGCTTTGGGGCTTTGAAGCACTTTGGCTCTGTGGTGGCATTTTGCTGATGCCGTGTCTGCGCAGAAACACACTGAGCTCTTCCACATGGAGGTGCGGTGTCCGTTACACTGCGGCGTGCTGCTGCTGTTCAAAAACCTCCTCGGCCCATTTTCTTTGAGGCTTTCCATGGGGATACACATTGAGCCTCCAATCGAATGCCGAGGCTCAACAAAAGGATATGCAGCATCTAGTCCAAGGGGCTCATGCAAGACATCCTCCCCGTTCTGTCACAAAAACCTTACCGGCACCACTCCACACGCCTTCGGCAGTGGCAAAAGAGGGCAGGCGACCTTCAACCGGGGTGAGCGTCGCTCCACCATCCGCGCACTCCTAGCATTGATCGTGTCCCTGTGCGAAATGCTACATTGCGCACAGTCGCAAAGCGTTCGAATCCAGATTCCACGGGCGCACTGGCCTCTTATCACCCATCATGCGTATCGTATCCACTGTGTGTGGCGTGTGTTCTATTTAGCTCGTATTTGTTGCAGCTCGTAAGTTAGCAGGGCCAATCGAGAGTTCACTTGGAGTGCTTCCATGAGATGATCAGCATCATCGGCTAGTTCCTGCGCTCACTTCAGGTCTATATGCTATTTGCGGGTTCGTAGTGCACCACTGGAAACTGCTCAACTAGGCATTCCCACCCCCACACTCCTCCACCCACTCCCGATCCCCCCAATTCTCATCCTGGTTTTGCCAGTGAAGAGGCCTCGCGCTTTTTTTTCTGCCAGGATACCTATACAGCAGCCCCAGACTACGCGGCCACCCTCCCCGATTAGCAGTCTTCCACGCTCCTCCCCTCAGCCTAGACGCAAAGTCAGAAGGATGCTTCCTATATCAGCCTCGATTTCGAAAACACCTACATTTGATGTAGCGTCACAGCGTCCGTTGCGCCGGCAGCAGCGGCAGGTGGTGTAGCTGCTGATGCAGCAGTGTGCGTGAGGCAGGCACACCTTGATCTACTGAGACGGAATAGCGGCCAGGAGTCTGCCTGGGGCGATAGGTACACTACGATGATCTTTTGCGAGTCGTTGTGCCGCCTCCAACTCCCGCCAGACACCGCGCCAGCCGCATTCCCCCATCCCCCTTCGCCAACAGGAGCCTTGCTGTAGGCAGCCCACAAGGAAAGTGCCGAGAGAGCGCAGAGGCTTTTTAAGTGACAGATAAGGCAGGACCAGCATAGCTCCCGAAGCGGCCACCAGCACATTCAGGAGCCAGTTGCGCTCAGACACGTGAGGCGACTTTTGGAGCTTCAAAGGCCCCCGGCGAGCTTGCAGGGGGATCTTATCGATAAAAAATCGGGGCATCTATATGGCGGAAGTGATCCTGTCTACTGTCTGCTCCATCAGAGACACAAGAGAGTTTTCAGACTTCTTTCTTTCCTCCTCCTCTCTGCGGACGTCACGCTGTACTTCACGCACTACCTCCTCTATCAAACTCAGCAACGAAGCCAAATGCTTCTCCCTAGAGGCACCCAGAGAACGAGGCAGGCCTCATGCGTCGTGTACACCACGGCACCAGCGGGAAAAGCGGAACGCATGCAGACACAGCGTGCAATTCGTCTCTCTATGAGAACTTAGAGCACATACCAGCCCGCAGGCACGGCAGACAAGCAAGAGACAAGAGAAGCAGCAGCGGGCATTGAGAACAAAGGCTCCAAAGAACCGAAGAAACAATGCAGCGCTAAGGCATCCCGACAGGCCTGCGGCAGCCTGCTTCCAAAGTGCTCTCCTGAAAGCAGCTAAGCGCCTCTAAAACTCGAGCGACTGCCTGTCTGAGGGTGCCTCCTAGCTATTGGAGAACTCTGCTCATGATGCGCTATTTGCATGTTTATAGAGAGACATATATATGTGTATATATCTAGAGTCAGATGTGTGTATATGTAGAGATACAGCGTATCAGTTACCTATATATTTGTACAAGAGGGCCCTTTGATCACAGATTTTGAGTTTGAGCCACGCGCTTACCTCGCTTCTTTCTCCTGTTGGATCAAGTTTTGCAGGCGCTGCATCTGCTCAGCAACTTCTCCGACGATCCTGAAGGGATACGCATGCTAAAGCGGGAAAACACGCTGAACTCTATACCGCAAAGCTCATACTGAGTGAGCCTGCACGTGTATGTACAGAACTGACCTGCTTTCCATGGCTTCGCGCTCTCGAACCTCCGCCTGCAGGGCCTCCCGGAATTTTGGTATCTCAACCTGAGGCACCGTCCGTCATCGAATCGTGATGGAGCGAAAGGATATTGCCAGCAGTCTGAGCGTGGTTGGTGCTTGGCTTTTTTACTAACCAAGGCAGAGAGGAAGGAAGAGGGGCGGGGGCAAGGCACACGCGCGAGCGAGAGCAAGGGGCTAAAAAATACTCCACGCATCAAGGGTAGCTACAGAACGCGACTAGAGGACCTCGCAGTAGTGAACGATGCTGGCCTCCTGCCCTTGTCGTTGCTGATTTTCTTGCAGGATATCTGTTCTTGAGAGAGATCACACACACACACACCAGCAACAAGAGGCACCCCCAGTGCTGCCTCAAAATCCGGAGAGAGCGCTTGCGTCTGCTTCCAGCGCGCGTTGCCCTCTGGAAAAGCAGCAGCTGCAAATTCCAGGTGAAATAGAACCGTGAGCAGGATCTCGCCAGCAAAGTATTTCGTTAGAACGCACTTGAGTGCCAATGCCTTCTCCTCGAAGGCGTGCAACAGCGACGTCTCCGCGTCTCGCAGCGCCCGTTGCTCAGACTGCAGCAGCTGCTGCAGCCTGCAAGCATCAAGACAGCAACCCTGACAGCGCGCCAGAGGCCTTCAGGAGGGAGAGCTGGCAGCGATGTTTTCAGCAAGAACGCTGCCTTGAAGCCTCTGAACTCTGTCCTTCTGCCCTCTCTCTCCCCCTCTCCTTCCCCCCACAGCTGCTAAGACAGGCACCTCTAGGATGGCCGCAATGCCGACATATTTCTTGAGTCTGCCTCAGCGTTAAAATATTACCAGCACGCTCAGAGAGCGTGCTGGATATAACAACGAAGAAGAGAGGACCCCCTACCTCTTTGCCATTTCCTGACTGTATCGCTCTGCATGCTGCTGCTCCTCGTCTGCCCTTTGCTGCTGCTGCATCAGACTCTGAGCGGCATGCGCGACGCGAGCCTTGAGAGCATCTAGCGCCGTGTGCGTCTTCTCCTCGGCTGCGCAGACAGCCTCTTCTAGGCCTTCGACGCGCCGCTGCGTGTGCTGCAGCAAGCAAGCAGCGGCGGGAACCCCCCAGGCGCAACGCAGCTGAGGCAGTGCCACGCAACTGAGCGGCAGAGGTCTTGCTGGGGAGACTCGGAGACTTGCAAGAAAGCCGAAAAAGGAGGACAGGCAAGCACGCAGACACTGACAAGGGGGCGACACACGGCAAGACAACAGCGAGGCGCCCACCTGAAAGCGATGCTGTCTCTGCCTTTCGAGGCCAGCGTGCAGCCCAGACAGCCTCTGCTCCAGTCGGTGAAGCCTCTCCTGCAATGCAGAGAAGCGGAAGAGCCAGAGGCACAGCGAGGAAGTCTCTTACACAGCGCTCCTCTAGAGGGGGGCGGGGGTTGTTTCGTCATGTGCTGGGAGGCCCCCTGAACGGCTCAATGCCGAGCGAGAGAGAGACAGACAGGGAGACAGACAGACAGAGATAGAGGAAGACAGAGAGAAAACGCCAGAAGGGTGAAGGCGAGGCAGATGGGGGAGAGTACAGAAGACAGCCAGGGGAGCACGCAGTTGGAGGGAGAACGACAGCTGTATGTACAGACAGATACGGGAAAAGAGATGGGCGTAGGCTCACACTCTTGGCGCTGCATGCAGATACAAGCCGAGCGCCCTCCAGCTGCTGCTGGGGGGACTGTACAGACTCCCGCTGGTGGCTGATGCTGCTGCTGCTGCTGTTGCTGCTGCTACCACCGTTTGCGGGCTCCTGAGCGCATGCGGAGACGGCTACCTATCGAGATGCTGTAAATAATATGTGCATGCACTGAGAAAGAAAGAGCGAGAGAGAGAGAGAGACAGGGGCCGCAGGGGTGTGCGGCTTAGGTAGGGAATAGGATGCGAAAAGTCTAGTTGCAAAGGTTAGAATGGTGGGTGGGGAGAAGTTCACGTTCTGTTTGCCCCTGCTGCTGATACCAATGCAAACCCCTGGTGTCTGCCTCTGCATTTTTTTCGCGTGGAAGAGAGACGCACCATGCTGCCGCTTCCGGGGGTAAAAAAGGTTCTGAGTTTTAGAAGTTGGTGTTGCTGCTGTTGTTGTTGCTGTTGTTGCTGCTGTTGTTTGTGCGGGTAGTGATGATGTGGCGTGAACACACCAGCAGTTGCTGCTACTGCAGCACGTTGGCGTATACACGACGTGTTGCAGCAGGTTCTGACGTTGTGGATGCTGATGCCTTGTCTGGTAGCGCTCGAGATCTCCTGTGGCGTATCTCCGCTGAAGGGTGATTGCCTACACGACGGAGAGAAGGCCTTGTTGTTGCAGCTAGTGGCGATCGTGGCGAATGCATGCCCTGCAGCAGCCTTTGCCACGCTACCCTTGCTTGCGCGTTGTTTCAGCAGCAGCTGCAGGTCTGTGGTTGCATGCGTGCAGCTTTTGCTGGCGTGTGTGCTCCACCCCCTCTCGCTACTGTTGGTGCGCGTGTCTTCCGCTGTGGGAGAGACGGCCGTGGCTGGTGTGGTCGGTAGAATCGGCGAGCGTATGTGACTCTCTGCATGCGTTTCTGTGCCTCCGGATGATGCTGCGGGTAGCAAAGAGGAATACGTGGCTGCTGCACCCGAGAATTTGTCTCGTCGAGATGCAGGACGCTCCTCGAGAGGGTGTGCAGCAGCTAGCTTTGCTGTGCGTAGCGTTGGGAGAAAAGGTGGAGGATATCCTGTCTCTTGTCGTTGCTGCCCTTGTTGTTGGTGTCGCTGCTGCTCCTGTTGTTGGTGTCGTTGCTGCTCTTGTTGTTGTCGTTGCTGCTGCTGCTGGAAGCTGCTGGATGTGAGTTGCTCGCGCAGACGCTCAAGGCGCTCTAGGAGGCCTCGTTTAGGGGGGGAGGCGTCCTCAGCGAGGTAGTGGTGGGGGGTCCCCTTGCAGTACTCAAGCGGCTTTTGAGGGTTGCTGAAACGGCTGCGTGTTGTGTCTGCTGGGGAGTGCGCAGCAGTAGTCGTCGGTGTCTCTTGCGTGCCAGGCCCCCAAGTGTCACTGTCGCTACACGCAACACCCCGCGTGTGCTGCTGCTTTAGTTGCGGCTCTGTGGTGCATGCAGCTCGGGGGGTCAGGTGCATTGCTGAGGGAACGGCTATTGTTGGGGTTTTCTTCCCCCCCCCCTGTCCAGCTGCAAGAGCGGCAGCAGCGGCAGCAGCAGCAGCGGCAGCAGCAGCAGATGCGGGGACGTCTAAGCGCTATAAACGCAAGCTGGACGCCTTGCCTCTTTCTCAGTTGGTATGCCGAGGCAACGCGAGATGGATGGGCTGTCTACATGACTTGCCGCTGCCGCTGCGGTCGGTCAGCACTAGCTGTATCTACAGCGGGCGCTGTTGCCACGTCCTTTGGATCCGTCCGCTATTCTAAGCTCTAAAGAAGCCCATTTCCGGTGAATCGAGAACGTCATTGGTCACGAAAAAGGGTTTTTTCTCGAGAAGCCCTTGCAGCTGTTGCAGCAGCCGCTCAGGCGTAGAGGAGTGTGTTCAAAAGTAACCCCACCGCCCACTGCTGGAGCTGCCGCTGCCACTGCTGTTGCCAACTCAGCTGAAACCGTCGTATTGAGTCGGCTGAATTCATCTCCTTCAGGCAAAGGCGAAGGAGGAAGAGAGAGGCTCGTGTTATTTGCTTGGAGGGCCTTTAAAAGTTTCGGGGGGGGCGAAGGGGGGCGAAGCTCCCCTCGCGGCTTCGGTGTCTGCGTGGCGCTGGTATAAATTAGTGTCCTCGCCTTAGTGCCGATGCGCTCAGTTCTTAAGCTAATCCTAAGGAATACTGGCTTGCTTGTTGTATCGCGTTGGGGAATTGACATTTCCACCATTAACACAGATGCAGGTGCCGGGCTTCTTGCACCGCGACAGCTTGTTGTGCTTGTACACGCTACCACACTTCAGCTAGGTACGGCGCAGTTTTCCCGCAACATGTGTGCTGGCTCAACTTTTAAGCCTCTTATGCGCCTGTCATGGGGCTAATAAGAGCTGGGCACTTCTCTCGCTGATATATCCGTGGAATTGATGCCGTCAACGGCAGGGTTTGAGCACGATTCGTGGAGGCATCCCAAAGGTCGATGCTGCTCTTCTGCTTTCTGGTGTCCCTTCATACATGAGTTCCGGCTAAAAACGAGCAAAGGAGAAGCGGAGGGAATATTCCACTATGCTACTACCAACGGTGCATACTCGGGCTTTTTGCTAGAGGAAATTATCTAACAAAACCACCCTCTCGTCAGCCGGGCGCTGTAGCGGGCTCAGTTAGACTTCGGCAAATTCTACTACATGCTTCAAACCCCATTGAGAGTGAGTACTTGCTGGCAATCTCTACCTCACGATTCATACTCAATCAAGAGGTAGTAAAGAGTTCAAAAATGGGTTTGGCTCTTCGCATACCTTATATGCCGCAGAACGGCGCTAGCTCGATATGATACAAAGCAACGTTGCGTGTCGTTGCGCTAAATGCTATGTGCAACTGGCCGTAATCGGTCGGCGTCATTAGAGGGTGTAGCAACGCGCATCCTAGGTCTCTGTCCCCCTCCCGTCACGCTGGATCCTTGGAGAAGGAGGCGGGCAGCACGAGGAGCTATTTGGAAAAGAATGCACTAACCTCCTGATAGTCTGCTATTGGTATTGGGGCCGGAGTTGATGGTTAATTCACAGCGTCCTCAAGTGGAGCGCACATGAAATTGAGATCAGCAGATCTTCATGGGAGAATTCAATGGTGCTAAAGGCGCCCTCTTCTGACTCTGCAGTAAGCCAGTGCCCCTGGAGGGCTGTCTCTATATGCAACAGCAGGCGTTCCACGTCGCATCACAAGAAACTGAGAACCTCTTCGGAACCAAGTCGGGTACGACAGGCTTCAGGACAAAATTGGCTCTGCTTCTATGCGTGACCACCCGGCTTTTCTAATTTCAAGTTTTCTACGTGATTAAAACGGGCATAGCCAGACTAACATGACGTGGTGCTGGCATCTTACAGCTCCCCAGGGTCGAGAGCTCTTTGCGTCCCGACTGCGGTTGCTGACCTGTATTGATGTGTACAGTAGATTTGTATGGCTAAATCTGTTCTGCCTAGCGAGCAGCAGTTTTGTTCGTCTGCCCCTTTAGTTGGGAAAAAATATAGAGGCTAGGACCCTTGATGCCCACCGCGCTCACTTGGTGAAGTGTAGCAAAAACTGCTTCTTCCTGGTGCTGCTGCAGCAACAAAACCAGTGCGGTCAGCAGCCTTATCAGAATCTAGTTTTCTATATATTTTGTATATGCAGCTTAATGCTGGCATCCTAGCTGTTGCCTCCGCCAGTAACCAAGCCTCAGGCGATGTGCAGCCAGGAAGGGAGGCGTAGACACACACTTGCCTGAAATCACAGGCGCGACTTCGTCCTCGAATTCGGATGTGATGTAAAGGGGTGCATTGCAGTATGCGTGCAAGGGCTCTCCTAAACCCCAGTTTCGCCTGTTGGCCTTTTGCGCACACGGGGTGTTGACTCTCCGCCCTCTGTTAGCACCCGGAGAGATGCAGAACCACCCCAACGAAGTACGTTCGCTAGAAGTCTAACCTTCTGACAGTGTTCGCGATAAGATTCGCTCCAATTCGAAACAGATTTGGCCTTCGGTTCCTGCAGTCGAGTTCCTCTGCTCGGCACTTACTGCATTTTTAACCTCGCATAAGGGGAAGCTGATCCATAAGGAAGTCTGAAAAATAGCAACAAATCCTCTTGTGCCGCCGCTAAGCCCCATTTCATGATTTTACTATCCCGCAACCCATAACTCGGAACGGAACGATGTGCACGCGGGTGCTTGGCTTAGAGCCTTGACACCAGGAGGCGGTACAGGAATCGCAAAGATTCCTGGATTTATCCCTTTAATTACACCGTAATAGTTTCAGATAGACGTGTATTCGTTTCAGGGGGCCTCCAGAGTTTGGCTCCTCAAGCACCCGGGGGCCCCAGCCAAAAGGTGGCGCCTAGCATCGACTCCCCCCAGCGAGGATCCTGCTACTTGTTTTCGCGGGTGTCTGAGTGGATCCGCCTTTTCTAAACAAAGCCTCTACATCGCAGCCGGCGATGAGCTCCCGGAAACTATGGCGCTTGTGCAGTTCTACAGGCCTCTCCAGCGCAGAGGCCTTCGCGCGACAGCACCGTCTGAACCGGATCCATTTGGGGGGCCCCCGAGGCCCTCAGAGCGTAGCCAGCTGGGGGCCCCCTTGGGGGCCCCGTGAGGGGCCCCCTGCCGGGGATCGGGCCCAAACCCGTCCGGAACGTGTGTTGAAGGAGTTTGTATGGGAAGCGGCCTCAGGCAGTTCGCATGCAAACTCCCGGATCCAAGGGGCCCCACCACGAGCAATAGGGGCAGCTAGCGGAGCTTCTGAGTCACCTCTCCTGGCGTTGGCAGCGGTAGGGGGCGTAGCAGCAGCAGCGGCAGCAGCAGTGCGGCGAAGGGTGTCGAAAACTTCTCTGTGGCAGACCCTCTTCAAGGCGGATATTGCCGCACGCTGCGCAATTAACGCAGTGCTAAGGCCAAAAGAAGATCTGCATATTGCGACGCTGAGCGAGATGTTTGTAGAGAGCCAACTCGAACGCATGAGGCAGTTCATGATGTGCGAAGGGTTTGGGGACACCCCGCATGCAGCCTGCAAGGGGGGAGCAGTGGTTTGCAGGAATGCGACTGAACCGTGCTTAGCCACACGCTGGCGGTTCAAGAATGTTTTTCGCGTGTGCTACGTTTTGCAGCAGTTTTAACGAATGCGTTAGGGCTTGGAGTTAGTGTTACTGTGTGTATGTGTACGTATTGGAGTGTGTGTGTGTATTTGTGTGTGTATGTATTTGCGTGTATGTATTTGTGTGTATGTGTGCTTGGAAGGCAAGAGGAGGAGGGGCGAGAAATTCTGAAACAGCGACCACTCTTCGATGATCGTTTTATCGACTACGAGGGACTGAGGCGGCTTCCCGAAAACACTCTAGGGTAAAATAGGGTTTGGGGGCAGGCTAGCAATACGGGGTCTGAATAACTCGCTTTCTGTGAGAGCTGAGGGGCCCCTATTAAGCCTGCAACGCATTGGAGGGTGCTGAAGGCGGATGCAGGGTTTGATGGTGTGTCTAGGTATGCGCTGATGAAATTTCTCGATGGAAATTCGCTGCATGCGGGACACCGCCAGCCCGTGAGGTTCGTGGAGGACGAGGAGCTCGCTTACATCCTGACTCGATATCGTCAAGTAAGTACAGGGGTTGGGGTGTATGCAACTTGGCCGCCCTGCGCTAGATTTTCCGCTGGTTTTTTTTCCATATGCCTTCATGAACGCACGCGAAATCAGAAAGCGGTATGTATGTATGTATGTATATGTACGTATGTATGTATGTGTGTGTATTTGTGTGTGTGTGATGATGGTGGTGCAGTTGCATGACGTAATGCATGCAGCCTTTGGTATGGGCATCTCAGTTGAGTCGGAGGTTGCCTTGAAGCTGATTGAATTCCACCAAACAGGACTCCCCGTGAGCCTTGCCCGGCCCCCCTTGTTGCTGCAGCTTTTGTCCGCGTCTCTTGCGCGTTTGGGGTGAAACCGCCTTCCTACAGACGCCGTTAGGAGGCAGCATGGCTTACAGAGAGCTGCCTCCTAAGGGCGTCTGCAGGCTGTCGCTGCTGCAGCGGTGCAGAGGGCAGAACGAAAAATACCGGCATGCCGTGTACGTGCACGTGCTTCAGATGACGCTGCTTTCCGCCGCCTTTGGGCCCTTCGCTGCACCTCTTCTTCGCGTGCAGCTCTCTGCCGCCGCTACAGACGTAGCGCTCGCAGGAGGGGGCCCCGCCGCCGTTGCCTCCGTGACCCACAGCCTCACCGAGGCCCCCAACAGCTGGCTACAGTTGTTGACCTCGCAGAAGGAGAAGCACCCCGCGGCATCTGCTACGCCAGCGGCAACACCGGCAAAAACGGAAGAAGAGCAGGGGCCCGTCGTGCTGTACCCTAGGCAGGTCCTCCTAAACGACTTGCTGCCTTGGGTAAGTTTTTGCTACGTCTCGCGGGGGAGTCTCTGAGCCAGTCGTTGCCACGCACAGACCTTCCGGAGTATGGAGTTGCCTTGTCGCCCCTGCTGCTGCCCCTACCTGTGTGCTGTAGGCCGACGCGGCCGGGAAGGCGATGCGACGGCGGGTGTACTGTCTCTTTGTGGAGGAGTGGCTGGACAAACCCCTAGTGAGCCGTCGTAGACAAAATTCATCTATTGGCACCTCCTCCAGTTTCAGCCCTAGGGGCTGCGGCACAGGCACCACGGCTTGAGGACTCCCCAGGCGGCAAAGCAAACAAAAGTCTCTCGCTCTGTCGCGCGCTAGGCGAACGCTCTAACATCTGAAAGAGACTCCCTAGCCCCGTGGCTTCTCAGTAACGCAGCTGTATCGCTCTTGTGGGGTGTCTGTTGTGCGGTTCCCTGCAGGATGCATTCCGGGAGCATTGCTGCATCATGCTGCCTCCTGCCCACTTGCTACCCTACTGCGCCTAGGGGTTGCCTTCTGTCCACCTCCGTGGCGTCTTTCGCGAACACGAAAACCTTTAAAGTGGTGCCCCGCCCGGCCCACAGTCCCCCCTCTTCTCCCCCCACCAGGGAAAGGGGGGCCCTTACACAGCGAAACTCAGTGACTGCAGTTGCATGGTTGCAGCAGAAAGCGACAACCCCGAGACACCTAGGGGACACACCCGTGCCGCTGCTCCTGCTCTCGTTGCACCCGAGTGTATGCACAGTGGAGGAAGCTTGGACTCGGCACCTTCCTCATTTTTATTGACTCCTCTTACGCAAACGCGCTGAGATGCGGGGGGACTCACCTCTGGACCCCCGTCTTTTTCCTCCTCCGCTTTGACTTCTGCTGCTGGCGGTGAGGCGCATTTCGGTAGTGAAGACATGACAGATGAGACAAGAGGCACCGCACTGCATCTGGGAAGTCGGTCCTTCAGCTCTAGCAGCAGCCGCAACGTAGATGGACCTGGCAGGCCGGCGAAGGCAGAAAGCCCCCGCAGTGCTAGAACGTTGCCTGCTGCTGCTGCTGCTGCTGCTGCACCGTCTTGGGGTTGTAAGAGGGGCCCCACTTGCTGCATCAGTTTCTCCGGAGTGGCCGTAACTAGGGTCTGCAGCAGCCACAACGGCAGTCTACGCCATCCCGTCACCCTAGCCAGACATCGCACTCCCCTAATAGATAAATCCCCTAAAGAATGCCCACCTTCGTCCCCCCTCCCCTCCCCACCTGCTCCAGCCACGCGAAAAGAGCTTCCTCCTCGGCTTCTTCGGGAGTCTTGGTCACTGCTGCCTCTTCGCCTGCATCCACGAGGCCCCCTACTCCCACTCCTGCTTGCTGCTGTTGCCCATCCACGATGTCGCCGCGGGGAACCGGAGACCCTCCGAGGGGGGGCCCCCCCTGCTCCCCCGTCCTCAATGGGCCCTCTCCCGTAGTGTACCCCGAGAAGGCAGCGACATCTCCAGCTGCAGCACTGCATGCTGGGTCCCCTTGGGGTGGATGCATCAGGGGCCCCAAGTGCGGGATGCTCGGACCGATGGGGGGGCCTCCAGGGGGCCCATGGACCCAGTCCGGAGGCATCCCCCTCATACCGAAAGCCTCCGGAGGAGGCGGAGGGGGCATCCCGGGGCCCCCCTGCAGGTGCATATGGGCAGCCATAAAGAAGGGAGGCCCCGCCCTAGGATGGTGTGGGGCCCCCCCCATCTCCAAGCCCATGGGAGGGGCGGTCCCCATTTGGGGGCCCCTCATGCGCGACTGTGCCTCCGTCCCCGTAGCACTCGGAGCTGCCTCCAGGGGGAGGCCTGAACTATGGCTGCCCCCTCGGCCTCCTACAGCCCGCAAAAAGGGAGGAGGCGGGGGCTGCATGTGCTGTCCAGGCCCGACCCCCTGAGGGCTCCCTCCAGGCTCCAAGAAGGGGGGGCCTCCAGGGCCGGGGGCCCCCTCCAGTGGGGGGGGCATCCCGTTGGGGCCCTTAGGAAAGGCCCCCATAGGAGGAGGGCCCATCGGGCCTCCGCTTCCCTGTGGCCCCGCGGGCCCGTGAGGGCCTCCCGCGTTCCCCATAGGAAGAAACGGGGGGACACCGGGGGCCCCTAAGGGCCCAAAGGGTGGACGCAGGCCCATGGGGCCCCCTCCAAAAGGCATCCAGCTGACTCTGCCGCGGCCTGCGCACAGAAATCCGAGCCGACCCGAGTTCAGACACCCAAGCTAGGAGGCGCCTGAAGCCCCTCAACCCCTTTTCTCCCCTGCCCCGAACACTAGAAGCTCACCGTGTTGAGGTCTTCCCGGTGGGGCCCCCATAGAGGGCATGGGGCCGCCCTGGTCACGGGGGCCCCAGGGGCCCTCGGGGCCAGGGGGCCCCCCCCCGAGGGCCTGAGCCGCGAGGGCTGCCTGAGGAGGCAGCGGGGCCCTCGGTCGCATACTCATGGGCTGCTCCATATACGGACGGCCATAGGGGCCCCCTTGGTGGCAAGGCGCACTTGCAGGGGGCATGCACGGGCTGCCCCCCCCCCCGCTGGCAGCGGCGTGTCCACCTTTCGCTGCTTCGCCTCCCTGAAACACACAAAACACCCTCTTCCGACGGCTGCAAGTGCCTCAAACTCTAACCCAAAGCGGTCAGCGTGACATGGACGGAAGTGCTACGGGGGTTCACACTGCAGACTTCCGAAAATACAGGCTTCTCTAGGCAACAAAACACGAAAGGGAGGCTCTCCGGAGAGGCCCCTACCCGTCTGCGGCGCCCACTGGTTGGAGCCTCTGATGCTGCTGAACCTCCTGGAGGGCCTCCTGCATACCCTGCATGCAAGCATCGCAAGAGCAAGCCCGCAAGAACGTCCTATCGCGCGCGCAGCAAGAAGGTGCTGCCTGCTAAGGAGATGTGCATGCGGGAGGAAGGGTTGCGGAGAGCTGCTCAGAAGGAAAAGCACGCAAAAGGCCCCCCTTACCTGTGGGCCCCAGTGCAAACGGCACGCCTACACCCTCGGCTGCGTCTTGAGGGCCCTGAAGAAGACGCAACACAACCCCCCGTAAGAACACACCCTCACGATCACCAGTAAGCGAAGTTTCAGGCAGCAGGGGCCTCTCATCGCAGTCGCGCCCTTGGGACCCCTGTAAAGGCTTCTTATAAGGGGCAGTGACTCTGCTGTAGGAGGCAGCAGAGGGTGGCGTTTATTGCCCTCTGCCTGCACCCTCCAAGAGGCATGCGAAGCCTGCCAATACAAGGGTAGCCACGATCCCCCATTATCCCTGAAGGCCGCCTCCACACAGCGTTTGTGTGTGTGTTTGTGTGTGAAGGGCTGCAGCCGCGGGGTGTAAAAATGAACAGCGATACGCATGTCTACACACACATGCCACTCGCGAACATGTTAAACACTGGACGATGGCTGCATGAGGGGCTTGTAGAAAAAAGACTCTTCCCCACCTGTCCATCTGAGCGCATCACATCTTCGTGCTCATCGTCTGGGGGCCCCATGGGGAGTCCCCGCTTTCCTGGCAAAGGGTCGGGGCCAGGGCCCCCCCCCGATGAGGGGCCCCCTTTCAGGGGCTTATCTCTCCGTTCCCTGGGGCCCTCTCGGGGGGCCCTACGGGCTCTTTGTCGCTCATAAGGGGAGTCCATGGCCTCCTGAGGCTCCCTCCTTCGGAAGTCTCTGTGCTCCTCTCGGCTGTGGTGGATGTCTTCTGCCTCGGAAGGCGGCAGCCGCTCTATTTCCCAGTGGGGGAGCCTCTCGCCAGGGTTCGGGGTGGGAGGCCCCTCTGCTGCTGACCCCTCCCTGAGCCGCTCTCGAGGGACGGGAGCTAGGCGGGAGGCCCCATCGCTGGACCTGTCCTTTGAGGAAGGATCTTCGCGAGACTTGGCGTATGTTCGCTCCTCCCGCGACCACTCCCTGTCCCTGCTGCGGCTTCTTGGAATCCTTGATCGCCTATGCGGAGATGCACCGGGCCCCACAGGATCCTCGGAGAGCCTCTCCCGCCGCTGTCTGCTTTCGCCCCCCGCCCCTTCCCTTTCTCTAGCCGCTGGGAGGCCCCTGCCGTCGCCTCCCAGGTGATGTCGGGAAGAGAGGCCCCGAAGATCGCGCTCGCGAGCTGACATTTGGGGGCTTTGACACCTGCGGCTGTTTGTAGGGAGACGAGAGTGAGGAACGAAGAGCGGCTGCTCAAGCAGGCAGCGCCCATGAGCCGTCACACGACGACCAAGCGTAGCTACAGCACGCGCAGAGAGAGGCTTTGAGTTTGGTCAGGGCGTCCTGCAGCCACAGGTCTCCATCCCCCGCTGCATCGGGCACAATTTAAATTCCCCTGGAAGAAATGCACACGAAAACGGGGGCAGAAAAGGGGGAAAAGGGGTGGGAGACGCGTGGCTTCGCGTGCTGTCGGAGGTAGGAGCGCACTCCTTCAGGCTCGCAGGACGCGCTCATCGGCAGGGAGGGGCCCCCTGGACGCACGCCAACAAGGATCGCAGGGCCCCCAATGCTTGAAGGAAAAGCCGCAGCAGGAGATAAAAAGAGAAACACAGAGAGCTTAAACCCTAGAGCGTAAGCGCTACATCCTCGGCCCTGCTCAAGCTCCCCTGCGCATGCAGTCCAAGACCCATTCAAGATGGATGTGCAGTAAGCCGCCTTCCATGGAAACCCCAGTGCATGCATCGAGCGCCTAATTGATAGTAGAACACGGCCCTAATTACAAGAGAAAGGAGGGGGAGTGGCGGCACCGTGTTGGCCCCTAACTTGCCCTGTAAGGTGTCTTCGGCGAGGGGGAGGGGGGAAAAGGGGGGGCTAGGAGCACCCATCCGATGAACCCTTACCCGCCAGCATTCCTGACTGCTGTTAAACGGATCTCTGTCTCGACAGGTTGAGCAAAAGCAAAAGATGCTGTAGCAGGAACCCTGCTTCTGTTAGTGGTGTGGTGGTAGTGGTGCTGCTGCGCCTGGCCTTCTTCGGGGTGCTCTGTGGAGGTGCCGCTGCCTGTACGTGCGTCGGCGTGCGTCTGCGAGCCTCTTTTTAGCTCATCTACCCACTGCCACCCTTGGGGCTGGTTCTGTTGTCGCTCGAAGATTCGTTCTGGAGGGAATGGGGTGCGTCCTGCAGCTTATCGTGTTTTGCCACTAGTCGCGCGGCCAAACACAATGCACTTCCAGCGTGGAGCGAGAACTCTGCATGACTGCTTGCCTGCTCCAGCACTAGAGCTGCCTTCATCGTTCCTTTTCCGCCTCGCCTTAGCCAGAGAGCCAATCGTTCTAGGGTTCTGCGATACGAGTGACAGACGATTTACACCGAGTTGCAGCCTCAAGGTCACTAGAGCACGCTTAGGATGCCGCCGCTGTAGCGTGTCATCTTCTATGATTTGACAGGGCTATGAGTTTAGCTCCAACCCGGACACAAAACAAGTGGCAGGTGATGAATTTCCCCCCTTCCTGAAGTGCTCTTTCCCCCCTTTCAACCCTTAGTGCACCTCTCAGGGGTCCAGTATCATTTGAAAATAAAGGAACCATAAGTATCCAGCTCGTCGGCTCGCTTACCGACTACGCAATGAACTTTTCGCACCCGGTTGCACATTCAAGCCTGTTGTGCATTGCCCCACGGCGTTGATTCTTGTTCGACGCTAACTAGCTTGACTTTGCACGAAGCAGCAAATACGGGCAGTCAAGCCGAAGTGTGCAAAAGTGGAGTGCTTGCCCCACTATGGCTAGAAAGGTGTAAAATGCATTTTACGTACCTACATATATGTATACATGCATGTATATACATATACACCTGCTAACACACACACGCACCTCCTGCATCCAGGGGCCAGCAAAAGCATGGTCGGCCTATCCATGACACATGCATTCATAGTGCACGTAATTCCAGTGAGCGAGTATATGAGCAGAGCAGTCGGCGAATTAATGTCAACGCATTTAGCATTGGCAGCAGTGCTTTCTGGGACATATAAGCATTACATCTGCAAGGTGGTCCTTTTTGTTGGTATAGCGAGGGGGAGTGGTGCAGGTTGGCAATGATATATGACGATGGTTTCTGCTCACTGCAGCGCGCCAGGAACAGGTTGGATGCGTGGGAGTGAGGTGACAGAAGAGCGGCGGGTTCAGAGTACCTCAGTTTGTCGTTGCTCCTTGGCTGGTAGGACATTCCCCCATGGTGACATACGCGTGCTTGAAAACAGCCTGTATAGGCTCTAGGCTCTCAGGGGGGAGGGTGATGCAGTAAATAGGCTAAACTCTGCGTTGGTGCTTTGTACTACATTGCTTGTATTAACTGAGAATTACTAATGAATTGTTGAATGGGTTTGCATGTCATACCTCTTTCTGCTGCAAAAGCGTTATCGCGATAAATAAAAGACCCAATTTTGTGTGCTAGTGCGCTTGATGGAATGTGGGATTAGCTGGAACTGCTGGCATTGCTTGAGGGGTGCAGCAACGCGCACACAAGTTCTCCCTTTCCCTTTAAGCCGGGGACCTGGAGGAGTATGGGCAGGGGGAGAAAGCTCATTGGAAAAGCACCCAAAGCCTATTTGTTTATGTTGGGTCTGGGGTTGATTGTCTCTCCAAAGAATTATAAGAAGGAGCGGTGCAGTGGGCAGCACGCACATGAACTGTTAGGCTCCTGATCCCCAATGCCAGTGGTAAAGAGTCAGCAAACAAGCTACAAATGTGACTAGCAGGCGCGTGCAGCCACAACACACGCAGACCGCAAAGGCGACTGCTCCTGTCTCCGAGGAAGCCCGTGGGAGGATTGCTGGCGTGGAAACAGCGTGGAAAAACAGCACGAAAAACCACATTAGTGGGGCAAGAGGTAGATGAAGGCACCTTATACTGCACTTGTTGATCCAATGAAGAAATCATGAAGATCTGACTGTGTGGTTTGGCCGTTCGTGCATGCTGCTTGTCGTGAAGTAGAGTAGGCTACTTGGATGCAGCAGGAGTCATCATCGTGTCTACGTGCGCTACAAGTTGGCAAGTTTCACAGAGTATGAATAAGTGCTCGGAGTGCCTACAGGCCGCATAGCCATGCACATCTATCTCATAAATGACCTGAACTATCTCCTTTTGCCAAAAGCTTTCGGGGTGATGTCGAAGGAGGGAGACGTGAAAGCGCATTTGCAAGGACACCTAGTAACTTTACTACGTCTCTCATTCGGTTTAGGGCTAAACATGTCTCTTTTCGGAGACCCTAGGCAGAGAAGGACACTCATGCTGTATGTGCAGCTAAGAAACCAGCAGCATGGGCGGCGGCAACAAAATCAACAAGCACGGTAGCAGCCGCAGCTACAGCGGAAGCGGGTGCCTCTTGAAGGATGTGGTGCAAATCGCAGAAAATTATGCAGGATCCTGGTGGCCAAAACCTACGAAGACGTGGCCTCCAAGCGAGGGTAATTTCCGCTAGATGAAGGGCGGTGGAGAGGGAGCAGCACAGAAATTACTAATAGGGTAATACACCGAGCGAACAAGAAAAGCGGGCAGTGAAGGCAGATACAATCAAGGAAACGGCGAAGAGAGCAGGCGGCGGCAAGCTAGGCACAGCCTACGCAAAGGCCTCGCTAACAAAAGGGAAATAGCGACAGATGATATCAAAGTTTCACAGAGCTTGGCAGAGGAGCAGAGAAAGAGCTCAGGGAGATTCAAATGCAAAGAGGGCCCCGAGAAGGCGTTCTTTGCGCGCGCGCACACCAACGCACACACACACACACACACACATACACACATACATACATACATACATACGTTCATACATACACACGGACTGCAGCAAGCAGAAAAATAAAAGAAACGTTTGCCTGTCAAGATCAGTTTGATCACGTTGGTGCTTCGTGTACGTTGTTTCCGGGGAACGACTGCCCTTTACTACAATTCCCTAAGACCTCAACGGCACCCTGTGAAACCAATCGGGGGCATCAAATCCTTGAAGAAGTTACTTGGGCTCTACGGTTAACAGTTTTGCGTTTAGGGTCTGGAGGGCTAGCGCATGTACAGCCCTTTCACTGCCAATGGCCGTATATTGGGAGTCCTTCAATCTGAACCCTAGCCTCCCAACACGGGCCCTCCACAGAAGTGGAGAGATAAAGGTGTATGTAATCACATCTCTGTGCACCTTTCGGAAGTTTTTTTGCGACATCCAGATCTATGCCAACCACTGCCGCAGGCTCACCAGTTGCTGCCGCCGTCGCCGCTGTTGCGGTCGTCGCCCTGGCATGCATTTTGTGAACGTCAGCATCTGTGTTCCCCCCATTTGTGCCCCACAAATTTTGTGCTTTTAGTCTTAAAGCATGGCAGCAAGCAGCTAATATTAACCCCAACAGAAAGAGCTGAGGAGACACCCGAGGTCACTTCCATGCGCGCTGGCCGAAAGGCCACCCGGCGGCGATGTGTGCGTCCCGCTGATATGCATTTTGTTGCTCACTTGTAACCCGCAAGAAACTTCAGCTATAGACATCTAAATCCAAGAACTGAGGGATCCAGGGCCTTTCCACAGGCTGCAAAGCCCCAGTGTGCACATTGCAGAAAAGAGAACGCCCGCTTCCACTTTGTTGGTGTTGCTGTTGTAGCAGCAGCCACACCCATAGCTTGAAACCGGCAGAGTAGGGCATAGTGGACAGCTGCTGGTCGGCTCTCTGACCCTCGGGGCTCTGCGATCTCCTGCGTTGTAGTCAGAAGTGGTCGTTGGTGAAGCGACGGATACGGACTACATAACGGCAGGACCAGCACCACGAGTTTCTGACCTAGGCTTGTAAACACCGATTTCAGTGCACACAGCATGACGAGCTTCGATGAGAAAGAAAGCATGTATGTATGTGCTGCTGTAGTTGCAGAGTGTCGATTGCTATGTCTGTGCGCTACTGAACGTCACTGGAAGAGCCTCCGAGCGAGGGCTTTCTGATCCTACTGCAAATGCTGTTGCTGCTGTAGCTGCTGTGCTTACCTGCTGCTTTTGCTGTTGTGACAACAGTGCTGGGCTGCGGGGGTATGGGAGTTCTTTTGCAGGGAGGGCCTAGGGGAAGCAGCCACAGAGGCGCCTCATCCCTTTATGGTGCCTCAGGGTTCTGCAGATGTAAGCGTGGAGCTTAGGATGTTAGAAGTTATGGCTTAAAGCTCTTTGTAGAGCCGATTCAAAGTCACTACGCCCTCGCCTGGGAATGCTCCATGGCACCACACCTAGTTAGTGTTAGACCTCCGAATGGTCTGCACAGCCTGAACCCTCATTCCTGCGCTTCAGGCCGAGTCTGACCATCCCGCTCAAACAAATGCTCAAGAGGATGCCTTCCCAGAAGTGGGGTTGCCGTGGGCCTCTAGCATGGGGGTCTTTGACGCTGGACTCGGGTGGGCTGCCCCTACAGGGGCCCCCACTGGCCTCCTCGAGGAGGAGAGCTCAGCAAAAGGGCCCCCTCTGGAGGAAAGTTTGTCCAAGCGTGGGGATGAGGGAGAGGGCTGTTCGCTGGCGGCTGCGAGGGAGGAAAGCCACGCAGAGAGAGTCACACCCATGAGGAGCCCCCAGCTAAGTTCTTCTGGAGATCCTCGCGATTCAGTGGCGTTAAACTCCCCAGAAGGAGAGAAAGCTCAGGACCAGGAGGAAGTCTCGCTTGTCAAGAGGCCCAGTAAGGGAGCTCGGTTTGCGGAGACACCCGAGGAGGTGTCCCTTTCGATTGGTGTCGAGACGAGCCCTGCCAGCCGCACTGTTAAAGTGCTGATCTCTGATAAAGCAGCCACGTACAGCGACGGCATATCTAGTGGAAGAAAGAGCATCAGAATTCCAAACATGCTTGCTCAGGAAGTCGCTGGGGGGGATGGTAAGATGCGCAACGCAAGGTGGCTTAAAGGGTAGGACTAGAATCTGCCAAGGAGCCATTCTTTGAATGTCTTGATGCCTCTTGCGCGAAAAGGAGGTATCAGGAGCTGATTTTTGTAGCTTGATTATGTATGTATGTCTGGTATTTATGAGCATGAATTCTTGTTTTCTGAGAGCTCAGTTGTCGCGTTTGCCTGTTTGTGGGTTGAACGGACTAGATGACCTCGAGGTGCCACGCAAAAAGATTGAGGTAGTGTCTTTCTCGGAGGGGCGAGTAGTAGACTCCGCAGTGATGGCTAGGGAGGGCCTCGTTGTCACTGACAAAAAAAGCTTCATTCCTACAGAAGCGGCTAAGGCATACATCAGCAGCCTCATTCAAGAGTTCGACAGAGTGAAGAAGCAGGCAAGCAAGCGAAAGCCCTCTTCGCCATAGCTCCTAGCCTTTAGTTTCCATAGTGGCATACTAGCGCTAGAGGCCAAAGGATACGACCGCAAGCACAAGCTGCAAGCGTCTGAAAATGCGGCTAGAAGGGCACAGGGGCCTAGCCTTTCATTCACTCTTGCAAGACAGGCCCCGTCACAACACTGTTCAACTTCACGGATGCACACCAAACCGACCATCTTTAGAGGCCTGTGGACGCCAAAGCTCCGTATAGGCGCACGCTAATGGCAGTATCTCGAGTAAAGAGACAGACCCATTTTCACGTGTGGATGATTTGTGTGTAGCAACTGGCGACGATGCAAGAAATGGAGTGGCATTTTCGAATGGTGGAAGATGCGACTCGGAGGCGCGCGGCCAAGCAGGTATTTCAAAATTCCTTAACAAGTCTGTAAACTTTGAGCTGTCTTTCTCTCTCTCTTTCTCTGTCTCTCCCCCTCCTCTCTTCACGCAGATATTCGGTGTCTAGTCTTGCCTTCTTGGATGCTGGTTTGAGCTTTACTGGACGGCACCCGGTTATGTGACCATCTTTCGGTGCTCGGCAGCTTATGCCTATAGAGCTTGTAGCCCTTGATGCGCTTTTCTAAGGTGGAAACTCTTCGTCGGACTGCGGTGAGCAAGTGCACGATGCTGCTCAAGAAACTACAGAGCACGAAGGCGCGCCTCGAGTTCTACGAGCAGGAAAACAACGAGCTGCATAAAAATTTTGAGGAGAGGGTCCAAGAGTTTAAGGAACAAATGCCCAAGACTATGCAAGAGCTCGATGGTATATACAAACGCCAAACACTTAACTGAGAGACACGCTATGAGCCAAATACCACAAACCCCTCACATACGTATTCACCTTCCCATCCATCCGATATGCATACAGCACCGCACCATAAAATGCAGAAAGGGGGAGAAGGAAACGCCAGGCCCTGTACGAGTCGACTTTTCTGGGTGAAGCGAGGGGGCACAAACGACTCAGAGGTAGAGGAAGGAGAGATTTAGGGTGGTCTATTGGTTTAGGGCTTTGGGTGTCAATTGCAGCGCAGTGGCAAGGAAGGATTGAGGAGCTTCGGGATGTGATTTTTAGCAGCCAGTCTGAGCTAGAGGTCCTAAAAGAGCAGCAGGATGATCTGATGCAGAACCTGGAAGAATTCATGAGCTTGTTGGGTGCCCACGTCCCTGAAGTCAGCAGCGTCAAGCAGAAAGTGGAGGCCTTTGCCGCAGCTCTCCGCGGCAAGCTGCAACAACACCAGCAGCAGGATATCAAATTTACTCTGAGTCTCATGATTGAAAGGGTAGTGGTGCAAACCCTCGAAAAGCAGCTCAAGGCAGCCAAAGAAGAAAGAAGCGCTGTCGCCCTCGCTGCCACACACAACCAGCAAGCAGAAACAGAAGAACGTGGCAGCCTATACCACGAAGCTGAGCGCTCCCACGCAGGAATAGCCGCCCTTCAGGCCTCTCTTGCTGCCGGAGGAGGCGCAGGGGTATGCTTTAACCCTTGAACCCGAGTCTCTGAGCAGTGTATTGCTCATGCCGACCCTGATACAAGAGGCCAGAAAATGTTTGCAAAACGAAGATCTGCAAATTAGCGGAGGCTTTGGGGGCTGTAATCATTTTTTCATGGGGACGTGCTGCAGGGCATTTGAGGACCTTCCCTTACGGTTTGTGGTGGGTTTGCGTGCAGACAGGTACCGCGGCTGGCAGAAAGCTGTCCGAAGGAGAACTGCAAGAGCAGCGAGGAATCCGAGAGCTTGAGGAACGCCTGCAAGCTCTCTCCAACCAAGTGCAAGCTCTTAAAGATGAAAATCACAATGTACGGACTCGGAATGCTCAAACTGGCGGCTTCGGTATTCATCCTATGGGGTTTAGCTTCTAAAGCTCTGTGTTCTGGTCTGTCTACAGCTGCAAATAGCGCTTGTGAGCATGGAGGAAGTGGCGAAAAAAGGCGAGTCGCTCATGTGGCTTGAAGAATGTTTTAGCGCTTGCGCAGGTATGCAGCGGTTTAGAGTCTAGATTTGCGCTTTGGGGTGTGTCTGCTGTGAGGCTTAGGGGGAAGGGCCCAAGGTGGAGGCGGAGCAGGCATAGGAGCGTCAACAGTACAAATACTGAACCAAGCAAAAGAGAAGAACAAACAGGTGCAAAGGAGCTACACATGAGACACCAAGACCTAAATCCTCGTCGTATGACGGACACACGCCATTGAAGAGAGGAGCTTGTGATACGCCTGCGTGTCATCTCGCCCTTCGCTTTGTTCCTGTGCAACCAAATAGCTATATTTTAACGCCTTCCGCCGCTTGCCTTAAGCCTGTGCGTGCTGTGTCGGTTCCCCTGCCTTTTGGCTGCTCTGTTGCCATCACGTGCACTCTCGACCTGCCTCCCGCCATTATTCCATGCCTCTGCTAGCCTCTTGGTTAATCGGCGTGGCCGTCTTGCGCTTTGCTTGCTGCGAGTGCACGTGACCCCTTCCTTGCGCATGGGCCTCGCGGTGTTGTTCCTCGCAATCCGGTGTGCGCTATCGCTATCCGGTCGTTTTGCTGCCTTGTGATATTCCACTGTGCGCATTCCAAACATACATACAGTTAGAGCAGCAGGTAGCAGCGCTACAGAAAAAGCTAAAAGAATGCGAGGCTGCTCGTGCAAAGGGCGGTTCCTCGAACAATCAGCAGATGAAGGCGCTCGAGCTGCAGCTTAAGGAGGCAGAAGCAGACAAACGCAGGGAGCTCAAACTGCTGGAGCAGAAGCTAACCAAAAGCAGCGAGGTGAGCGCCCCACTGCATCCCATAGTCTTTGTGGCGGGTGAGACACCCACGAAAATGGGGGACGCACGGACGGCCGTGCATCGAGTGTAGCTTGTTGCCGTTTGCCGTCCTTGCGTAGTGTCATGTCGGCTCAGAGCTGCGGCTCGCGTTCGCGCAGGGTGCAGCTGCCGATGCGAAAAAACTCGAGGCTCAGCTCCACAGACAGACGGAGAGGGCAGAAAAAGCAGAGTCGCAATTGGGCTCTGCTACCAGCGAGCTCAAAGACGTACAGGCCAAGTATGACGCGCTCGCCAAGGAATTCGCGGTCAGGCAGCCATGCCTCATAGAGGGCTAAAGCTATGAAATCCATGGTTCTCGTACATCCACATAAGGCTGACGCGCATATCTACGTATATAAATCTATGCCACCAGCCAACCGCCTAGCCAGCCAGCAGTGCCCCTTATGCACACACATCTTCACACAGGTAAACACATGTAGGGGCATTGCGGCCTAGGTAGAGTCAGCACAGCCCCTCCCCAGAGCTTGCCTCATTCCTTTTCCTGCATCCATCTTCAGGATTTGCAGAAACAGCTGGCAGATGTACAGGGGCTGACAGCTGAAGTGTTGCAGCTCCAGGCCACAGCAGCGCAACAGAGCGGCATGATCAAGGAACTAGAAGCCTCCTACCAGGTTTGAACAAGGAGAAAAAGGGCTTGGGGTTCCTGGACCGCAAGAGTGTGGGTATGGCCAAGCTCGGCTGAGGAGGCTGTAGAGGGGTTGACTGGCGCATGCCCTCGCTGGGTGTGATGTGGGCCGTTAGCGGTCGTTACCAGCGGCAGTCTTTAGGCGCAAGAAATTGACTCATAGGGGAGCTCGCGTTGTGCTGCTTGCTGCCTGGAGTAGGCGGAGAAGAAGCTTCGGAAGAAGTATTACAACGAGATCGAAGATATGAAGGGGAAAATTCGCGTCTTCTGCCGCGTCCGGCCATTCGCAAAGTACGAAGTGGAAAAGGGCTGCTCACGGAGTGTTGAGGTCATCGACGAATACTCCGTCAAAGTCGCCGCTCCAAAGGTAATGCTCCGCCCCCATCGACCCAAATTATAGGAGGAAAGAAACTAGGGGCCCGCTATCAGGGAGAGAGTAGAGTGCAAGGATGGCCAGAAACACGATCTTAAAGCATTCGTACGCAACAATGGCTCAAGCCTCACCAAAAGCAGCCTAAATTTGCCTTCTTCACTCCGGATCCACTTTGGGAAGTGGTGTCCTACATGGAGAAGAGAGAGGGCCTGTGGAGCAGAGTGACAATACGCATAACGAATGCACAGCAGCGAAAGTGTTGCTAGTCCCTTCATAAACCTAGATGTATCCTGGTCTGCCGGTGCATTTACTTAGCCATTCGCTTGCTAGGCCGTGCAGATGTGCGCGGGCTTTAAAGACAGGCAGCGAAAGGGCAGTTCTTTGGATGGACTGTGTGCTTTCCCTGTGGCACCGGTCTGCCTGCGGAAACACCCAACGCACTAAATGCAGGCGTCTAATAATAGCTCTGCACGTTCGCGGCTTCCGCTCGACCTCCTTTTGTGCTGCTGTGCACATATCTGTCCTTCGCAATTCGGTCAGCTTTCTGAGCATCTGTGTTTGCGAAGGCTTGCTAGAGGTGCTTGGTTTTTTGCCTGCCAGGGAGAGAAGGAGTTTACCTATGACAGAGTCTTCTCTGGAGAGAGCACTCAGGTATGGATGTAGAAAATCCTGATTCATCGGGGAATGTTGAGTGGCCTCAAGGTCGGTGTTCTGCTTGGCCAGAGTGTGCGGCTACCATAAGCCCGAGAAGCGACGAACCACCAGAAAGAACGCCTTCTAAAATGCCGCATCACGCTCTGTTCTGCGCACTGTGCAGGAGGAAGTTTACGAGGACACCGAACGACTCATTCAGTCCGTCATCGACGGCTTTAATGTGTCAGTCAGAGCACCCTCTACTGCCACTGCTACCTGGCCGAGTGCACCGTATTGTACTCCCCGATTCCATGTGTCCACGATTGTGCTTATCAAGCTCCACGACTTGTTGTATCTGTGGGCAGTGCTCTACTATGGCCGTGTGTTCACGTCAAAACATGTTGGCTCAGTCTCTTCCCTCTGGGGTCGCGTACGTCTTACTGAAGCAGGGAAGTATTACCTGCCTGCCTGCCTGCCTGCACGTTGACGGTTGTGTAGTGCTACGTATATACAAATCCGCATCTCGCACATCCCTTCTTCATACCGTACTGCCATTGTGTAGTTGCACACCGTGCTTTGTTTTCGTTTTTCAGACGTCAAAGCACATAGAATAGCCTGACCAGCCGTCTGTGCTCTTCCCTGTGTGCCTGCTGGCATCGCCTTTAGCTGTGTTTGCTGTGTCGTTGTTGTTGCTACTGCCGCAGATGCATCTTCGCTTACGGCCAGACGGGCTCTGGAAAGACCTTCACCATTCAAGGCAACACTAATTATCCCGGAATTGCGCCGAGAGCCATCAAGGGGCTCTTCACGCTCCTCAATTCACTCAACCCCCAAAAGTTTAAATTCGAGACACACAGTTATATGTGCGAGCTTTACAACAACCAGGCAAGTGCGCCCAGATGCAGAACATAGCAGAGAGAGTAGCACAGGGGAAAAGGGCACACAGGGGGACGTACGGAGGTAGTGAAACGCAGAGATGGGGGGCTGGCAACATGAAAGTCAGGAAGAAAGCCGCGCACGGGCATGTAAGCTCCCAAGCAATAGGCAAACACAGACAAAGGGCGATCAGCAAGAGGCAAGCCCGCACAGGCACGAGTACTAGGAGGAAAGAACTCTGCAGGCACACACACGCAAACACCAAACGGCGCACAAGCACACAGCGGCAGCCCATGTTTGCCAGATGCGAGGCCAGCTCACTGGAAGCATAAGGAGGGGGAGCAGTGTATTCTCTAAAGTTCGCGCTGGGGAGGCATTCTGGGAAGCCCTAAATCCTAATGAAGAAAACACTGTAGCCTTTATGCTCGTGTATGTGATGCATAAAATGCCATTTGATACACCGAGTAGATGATAACAGCAGTAGTTCTTGAACGTAACGGAATTAGGTGATCGTGGTATGGCTAGGACTGGCAGACTCAATATTGTTGCGAATTTCCCTACATCTAGAATAGAAAGCCTGAAACTGCGGCTCTCGTGTCAGCGTATCTACAAGCTTCTGTGTCGTGCTTAGTCGACTAAATATTCCTTCTGCTTTGGTGCTGCATGTTCACTCTGTGCATGTTGGCAAAAGTTTCGCGCCTGAAGTGGGTGCGCGAAGAATGCAAAGAATAGTTTTAGAGTGACACTTCGCCTTTTGCCTGAGCACGAAGCCTTATTCGATTGGTCAAGCACTGTGTGTGCACATAGTTTCATATTTCTTAGACATGTGTTAATCATAGAACGAGCTCCAAGGCGGGTACTGCAATTGGCGTGGACAACATGCGTGGGCCTTTGGGCAGGCCATTTCCGGTGCTTACTACTGTTGCTAACACGCAGCTGGTTGATCTATTGGCCCCACCTGAGGTGAAGAAGAATCCTCCGCCACTAGAAATAAAGAAAGACAACACAGGTATTGTGATGATACACGGGATCACGTTGAGGAAGGTAACTTCATCAGAAGCTTTAGAAAAGATATTTGAATACGGGCTGACCGCCAGACATGTTAGTGGCACTGCCATGAACGCGGAAAGCTCTCGATCGCACTTAATTTTCGCCGTCATCGTTAAAATCGAGGACTTACTCGAAGAAAAATTCACTATGGGCAAACTGTCACTTATTGACCTCGCTGGATCGGAACGCGTCTCCAAAAGTGGTGACTATACGGACAAGCCTAATAAGTTATCTAAGTCTATGAAATAATTAGATTATTTACAGCCAAGACAAACATTAAGCGTCCTCTAGTTTTCGACGTATAAAGGACAACGCGAAAAATATGAAACGCGGAGATCCACCGTCCGACTTCAAATGTATCTCCAGGTGTCACAAAGGAGCGGTTGCTTGAAGCAAGGGAAATCAACAAAAGTCTCACGGCTCTAGGTGACGTCATTTCTGCTCTTTCCAACGGTGGGCTGTCACTTGAGTAGCCTTTCCCTATCACGGCTGATTCGGCGTTTCATGCCTCCCCCCTATGTTGTTACAACTGACACATTGCTCTGCTGAGCCAACGGGACAGTGAATGGAACATGTGTTCTCCAATCATTTGCCGGTTGAGACGTCATAAAATATGCACACTCAAATCAGGCACGAGCTTGTAAACCAGTGTTCATGAACTTCAGAACATTAAAAAACAGTGATACTCCACCAAGTACACCTGCTGACCGCTTGGCAGATACTGCTGTATCTGTGCTTGTGCTGTTGTCTTTGTACATGTGACAGGTGAAACTTTTATTCCATACAGGAACCACAAGCTCACGCAAGTGATGAGTGACTCACTTGGAGGCACCGCTAAGACGCTGATGTTCGTCAACATAAGTCCAGCAGATTACAACACCGATGAAACAGTCACGTCTCTTATGTATGCATCGCGTGTAAAGCTCATCACCAACGAGGTGAGACGAGTCCCCGAGACCCGCCAAAAGGGGGAAAACGACGCATGACGAGTAGCGTTCACTTTTACGTTCCCCTCTAGGCGCCATTGGCTGAGAAGAGAGCGCACGGTGCCTTCGCTTCGATGTATTTTTCCTCGAAGTAGCAATCCATTTGACCATGCATTGCCCCCTTCCACAACGTCCTACTCTGCTGTTTTAGCTTCCAAGGCCCACAGGAATTGCCAGCGCCTCAAACATTGGGAGCAGCAAGTCGTCTCTGCCCATCCTGCATCGGCTTCAATGTTTCATCTTCTGCGAAATTATTCTCAGTCAACCAAACAAGTTGAGTCCAAGCAAATTGTAAAACTGAAAGAGAGAGTAAAGAAGCTAAGCAATGCTCTAGAAAAGGCGAAGCGGGGAGAAACCGTAGACTACTCCGTGCTAAAGGAAGCACAAGGTAATTTTCCCGAGACAGATGAAGGCCACCCTGACCATGAACCAATCAAGGAAGATGACTCGAACCTCGACGAGCCGCAGGATTTGACCTTTTAGGATGTCTGAACAACATGTCCTTCTCACTAGTAAAGAAAATCGCACATGTAGAGCACGAAAAGGGTTCAGCAGCTTTCGATGATTCGGTTCTTCGATGCTGGCTCCCTTGCCCTGCAACTCCCCTCCACTTGCTTCGATTAGATGTTGGCTGCTTCGCGTAGTTCAGGAATTCTGCCTGCGCGCTTGCAGCTCAGTGCATCCCTCCGTGTGCTCTCCGGTGGGGTGATGAACCCGAGGGCAGTTTTTGAACACTACACGAAAAGAGAACGGAAAACAGATGCCAAGTCCACGCTGCACACAATAAATATTCGGGGATGTCTTAGTATGCGCGAGACACATGCTTTCCCCCTTAGCCACGCCAATTGGGCAATATGCCGTGCGCAGCTCTGCACCAGTCGAATCGTCTTCGGCCCTTGATTGATCGTCACCTTAAGATTTGCCGAACGCTGAAACCTTCCAAGAGGCGCTCTCCCCGATAAAGTTCCCCTTTGGTATTTGACTGAACGTCACCAGATGCTTCTTCTCCAGAGAACCCGCCTGCGTAGACCACATGGCCGTTTCATCGGCCTTTTGGTAGTTGCACTTGATATCGTGCACTGGTGGTATTACTGCCTGAAATGCCAGCTAGTCCTCTCTGGATTGCAGACCCCGCAAGGGGAAGGACGATTGTATGGGAGCCGCAGGGATTTCTATTTCTTAAAACGATTCCATGTGGCCCTAATTCGATTAATCGGTAAAATCGATCGTGCCACAACACTTGGTTTACGATCCAACGGTGGTGTCGAAACTTCTTTCCTCACATCATGTTGCGGTGCCCCTTTCTTCGTGGATGTATCTTCGCTCAACTGCTTCTTTGCCTCTACCAGTTCGTTTACAAGCAGTTCCATCGTTGTAGAGTTGTCTTCGATGGTTTTGGCATACTCTTGCTCCTTTGACACGGAATCTTGGAGTCGAGAAGCTACAAGTTTTGCCTCTTCCTCGAGTATCTTTATTCTCTCTTCGGCTCTGTGATTATTGGTCTTCTCCGTCCTCAGGGCCTCTTCCAAAGTCAATATTTCCTCCTGCAGGCTTTTCAGGTGCGTATTCATCTTTTCCTGTTGAGCACGCTCCTCGACGCTGAGCTTCTCAAGCGTTACAAGCACGATAAAGACACCTAGCAAGAGGTACCCTAGATCTATACAGAGCCAAGTGACGAATAAAGCCCTCTGACGCTTCACGTGCTCCGTGGGCAGCAAGTGAACAGGCTCATGGTTTTCAAGGGAAGTCGCCGCCGCTTCATCGTCAAGCAACTCCGAATCCCCCACGTCCTCCGCTTCATCAGCGGTGAGTGTAGAGGACGCAGCCAACGTGACGTCTGTGGGTTGTGCCTCATCGCCAGCAGCTCGCTGCGGGTGCATACAGGCGCCGAGTGACCACACTGCGAGGACTAACAGCAGTTTCATCTTTGTAGAATTACAAGCAAGTCGACGAATTCTTGTGGTTGGTGCTGCTGGCTTCTGGGGCCTGGCTGTTGCTGAGGCACAGGCTCAAACCGCCGCAGCCGCCGATGCTGTTGGTGCCGCGGCTGCTGTATCTCATGAGCTTCTCCTGGGCTTTGCTGTCGCGGAAGCTTGCTGTTGCCGCAGCCACAGCTCCCGAATTCGCGGCGCTTACTTAGAGCTGCGGGGAATCTGGGGTACGACGGAGAGCCACTGGTAAGAGCTTTCCAACAGCGGTGGTCGGCACTCGCGCATTGATTAGATGCCAAGGAGCTTCCGAACGTCGTGGCGGCAGCAACGGCAGCGCTAAATGCGCGCAATTATAAGAAAAGCGCAAAAAATGGCAGCAGAAGCAGTGCGGAAGACCCCGATCCCTTATCCCGCGGTAGAGAGCGTAGAGGGCCCTAGGGAGACAACGGGGGAATGACTGGAACCCCTGCGGTGCCGGCAATTTTCTGAACAAGCATAAACTGAAACAGCAAGAAAGCAAGTTTGAAACGCATGAACGAGCAGTGCCAAAGCGGCCACAGCGGAGCACTTGCACAGGCAGCGGAGAGAGAGACGCGGTGATAGGGCTTCTTTAGACTGTGGGCTGGAACCTGCCGCCTTGCAGAAGGCCCCGAGACGCAGGAGGGGTGGCAAGCCTTTTGGGGAAGCCTTTCTGCGGGTATTTTCGTTTTAGAAGGTTCTTCCTTTGTTTGTGCTGGCCTGGCATTCAGAGAGCGAGCGACACCCGCCCATCCTGCTCCCCTGCTTCGAGGCACTGGAGCGGCGCAGCGAGCCGCGTGTCTCTTTCAGCCGTCTTCCGCGCCGAGGACTTTGCGATCTGGGCTTCGAAGTCAGGAAATTTCCCCTAAATGGAAACCTTGGTGCTCGGGAAGACAGCTGCAGCGGCCCCAATCTCGGGGTGCGGCGTCAACGGCAGCGGCAGCAGCAACGGCAGCAGCAGCAACGGCAGCAGCAACGACGGCAGCACCTTGCCGTGCTGCGGGAGGTCCTCCTCCTTCGGCGAAGCAGCAGGGAGCCTTGGAGCGGCGGGGGGGGGGGGCAGCGGCAAGCGCTGCCTGGCCTGCCAGTTCTCGCAGGTGGCTTTCAAGATTGCTTCGAAGACGCCTCCAGCGCGTTCCTGTCTGAAGGTGCGCAGTTGCGATGGAACCTTCACCGGAGGGACAGAGAGACCGGAGCCATTGCTGTCTTTGAGGGGCCTCTCTTCGCCTGCAGCGCTGGGATCGTTGCGAGCAGCTGTGGCCGTTCCCACAGATGGCAAGTCTGCGGAAGCGGACGGTGCAGAAGTCTTCTGCCCGAGCACTTCCTCCGCAACAAAAGCCGTCGAGAGTGCTGCCTGTGGTGGTACTATGAAGAGTGCTGCCTGTGGTGATACTACAGAGAGTGCTGCCTGTGGTGATACTATGAAGAGTGCTGCCTGTGGTGATACTATGAAGAGTGCTGCCTGTGGTGGTACTACAGAGAGTGCTGCCTGTGGTGATACTACAAAGAGTAATGCCTGTGGTGATACTACAAAGAGTAATGCCTGTGGTGATACTACAAAGAGTAATGCCTGTGGTGATACTACAAAGAGTAATGCCTGTGGTGATACTACAGAGAGTGCTGCCTGTGGTGATACTCTGAAGAGTACTGCCTGTGGTGGTACTATGAAGAGTACTGCCTGTGGTGATACTACAGAGAGTGCTGCCTGTGGTGATACTACAGAGAGTACTGCCTGTGGTGGTACTACAAAGAGTAATGCCTGTGGTGATACTACAAAGAGTACTGCCTGTGGTGATACTACAAAGAGTAATGCCTGTGGTGATACTACAGAGAGTGCTGCCTGTGGTGATACTACAAAGAGTACTGCCTGTGGTGATACTACAGAGAGTGCTGCCTGTGGTGATACTACAGAGAGTGCTTCCTGTGGTGATACTATGAAGAGTGCTGCCTGTGGTGATACTACAGAGAGTGCTGCCTGTGGTGATAACACAGAGAGTGCTGCCTGTGGTGATACTCTGAAGAGTACTGCCTGTGGTGGTACTACAAAGAGTAATGCCTGTGGTGGTACTATGAAGAGTACTGCCTGTGGTGATACTACAAAGAGTAATGCCTGTGGTGATACTACAAAGAGTAATGCCTGCAGCATCGACAGCGCCGGGGAGAACCTTGGCGAACAAGGCCCTCCAGCACAGGCCTTCACAGGTTCTCCCCCCTCCGCTGCTTGCATCCCACGGGAAATTCCCACAGAAGACTGCATGCCATCAAGGACAGAGGGCAGTGCTCTGCACGCCAAGCAACAAAGCGGCAGCGATTTGCCATCCGAGGCACCAGAGCTACGTTCGGATATGCAGTCTGAGCGTTCATCAGGCGCAAAAACAGAAAGCAGTGACACAGAGGCAGCGGCAGATGTCACCCGCAGACATGGCCCTCTGGTTCTGATTGTAACAGGGATGGCGGGAAGCGGAAAATCTACGCTCGTGAAGGCCATGGATACGTGAGCCATCTCCAGTTTAAACGTTTACCTCCTTATTCATTCATGCACCTAATTTCAGGAGCACATATTTCCTTCCCTTTTGATCTCGCATACCTCCCCTACGCGCCTATCGGTGCTGCATGCATCGAGTTTTTGTGGTCCTAAACACTTTTCTAGGCGATTTCCGTTTTTTCAGGCAGCTGCGTTCTGAGGGCAAGCGCGTCTACATAGTGAACTTGGACCCTGCGGTGTCTCTGCTACCTTTTTCGCCAAACGTCGACATACGGGATAGTGTGGAATACAAGCGAGTGATGCAGCACTACAAGCTGGGGCCCAATGGAGCCATAATGACTGCCTTGAATCTCTTTGCAACTAAGTTTGGCTCCTTGTTGCACTTGCTGCAGCAGCGGAGTAGCAGCACAGACGTCGTGTTGATCGACACTCCCGGGCAGATTGAAGTCTTCACGTGGAGTGCGAGTGGGGCCCTCATGACGGAGGCGCTTGCCACCACCTTCCCGACGGCTCTGGTGTACGCGGTAGACGCATGCCGAAGCAAGTCCCCCAATACGCTTCTCAGCAACATGGTGCATGCATGCAGCGTGCTGTACAGACACAAGCTGCCCTTCCTGGCGGCCTTCACCAAAGTAGACGCGGAAGATCCAGCGCTCCCTTTGCAGTGGATGATGGACTATGATGCGTTCCAGGTAAGGGCACAGACACACTGACATCCCACGGCAGTGAGGCAGCTGATGCTAGCGCGTGGAGTTCGAGGGAACGGCCTGAAAGTGGCAAAGTTGTTTTCCTTGCTGGCCATCTCCGCATGAGGCAACCGGGAAGTGTGCATATATATACATACATGTAATATATACATATATATTTATACATACACACAAATGTCCATCTATGCCTCTTTATAAAGTGCACATATGCACATACGTACATGAGGAAGCGCTGGTTGCCGCTGTTTTTTTGAATTTTTTTCAGGAAGCTCTGCTTGCAGATGACCGGTATATGGGCAGCTTGGGGCGCTCGACGGCCTTGGCACTCTGCGGCTTCTACGAAACCATTGAAACCATCTGCGTTTCAAGTGTCACGCTGCAGGTACGTCATGTCACGTACAGCCGTGAGAGGGGGGAAGGCAGGCAGGGGCCACGAGGAGGGGCCTTGCTGTCGGATAATTGCGAATGTAGCAGCAGCAGCAATTATCCGACGGCTTGGCGAGGCGTGCAGCGCAGAACCGTCGCCACGGGGACCTTTGCATGCAGGCACACTTTCCGCGCGTGACTCGAGATCTAGAGAGTTTCCCCAGTGCGAGCGAGGTGCATAGAGAGGGGAATTCGGGGGGTTGCCTATTCATACGGGAGGAATGGATTTTCCAAGAGCTCCTCGGCGCTTGCTGGTTTCTGTGGGCTTCTTTAGAAGAAGCCAAGCGTGTTGCCTTGTGTGCGTTTTTGCGAGCGTGGTGTCTGAAAACAGGGAATGGATCAATTGTGGAGTAGACTGGCGAGGCTTCGCCGGGAGTACCAGGAGAGCTTTATCCCATACCTCCTTAAGCAGCGCGAGACTGTCCAGCAGAGAAAGCTAGAACGACAGCAGCAACAGATGGCGAGGTTCAACGCCGACAGCAGCAGCGGGGGCTCGACGAACCGCAAGGAATCTGCTGCTGCTACTGCTGCCTCGCACGAAGTAACCGCGGAAGCAGAGGGTGCTAGCGCCAAGAGAAATGCGGAAAAGGATTAGAAGACCGCGTTTCCAGCAGCTATATATATCTGATGTAACCCTTTACTGGAAACAGATGTGGACTGTAGTGCGGCTATCTAGGCACATGCGCATTATTCCTATGGATGGACTGGGAGGAGGAGGTTTTTTCTCGCCGTCCTGCAGCGCATCCCTCTGTAGGGTTTTATACTTGGACATTGAGGCGAAATGAAGATATGTATGTATCTGATATCTCTATACATATTTCTATTTATATATTTATACGCCTCTCCCCTTCCCCCTACCAGCCCACCTTTTGCATGGGAGTGGTAATACTCGCGCTACTGGCTGCCTGCTCCCATGCGCGTTTGCAGAGGCCGACAGGCCTTGCACACAGTGCAGCACAGCACGCTAATTAGCTGTCTTTTGACGGATACACACAGAGCTCTAAACTGTAGTTGCTTCTTCGCAGAAGCGGCTGTGTGACTGCTGCTGCAGCAGCGGCCGCAGTGAGATGAAGGCAAGCGGTACGCTGAGCTGCAGCGCAGGTCGTCGAGCTGCACCTGTCGTGTGGTTCCCGCCAGGGGCGAATACGAGCAGCAGAGTGCATGATAAAAGGACTTGACTTGTCCTGTAATCGCGCACAAACGTGCGAGACACGCGATAAAGAAGCTGGACTGTAGATACAGGGTGCAACACGCAGAGCAAGGCTCCCACGCGTCAATCTCCCCAGAACATGTAGATCTACGCTGCCCGGACTCTGCATGCGGCCGCGAAAATGTAGGACGGTAGCACGAAAGGAGGAAGGTCATATAGGCAAGGAAAGCGCATATAAAAATGCGCCCATCGAACGGCAATGCCCGTCTCCAGATGCATGCATGCGGCGCACACGCCTTTTGGATACAGAAATGCGCGGCACATCGAAAGAGGATGCAGAAAAGCCCGTCCCGACGCATACACACACACACATACACACATAAAGATACACAGCGTTTGTTGCCTGCTGCTGCTCGCAGCAGCGCGTCTGCACGGCCAATAGCAGCAGCCTTACGTGTTTCTCCCGGCAAGGGTGCCGTGTGCGCAGGACGTCGAAAATGAGGGTTGCGTCGTGTTTTCTCGCGGCTCACTAGCTACCCAAGTATTAATATTGCACGCAAAAATCAATTTCCACCCACTCCCACCCCTCCGGCTCGGCAGACGCAGACAGAGAACATACAAACAACACCGTCAGCCACAGCGGGAACGTGTTCGGTAGGGAGGGGTCAGCAGCTCGCCCCTTCCCCCTCCACGAAACAAGAAGCGGCGCTTTTCCACCGTCGCTGCACTGCGAGCCAGCCAGTACGCAGCCGCCAGACCGGTGTCATTAGCTTTCCTCCTCTTTCAGCTGCTGCTGCTTCTGCTGCTTCTTTTGCCTTCTTTCTGCCGTCTGCATGCGCTGCACGCCCTGTCCAGAAAGTTGCGCATCTCCCAGCAAGCACAGTACCAGTTCAGTCGTCTGCAATCAACGCAAGCAGAGAGGACCACCAGCGAACGAGCCATGAACGCGCATGCAATGCTGCAATCGCAGCCGTCCTCTGTTGCCATCAACTGCTTCGGCCTTCAAAAAGGCGGCCCCTGCCTGCCTACCTGCCTTCCCTCCCTCCCTCTGGCAACACACGTCGCCAATGGAATAAACATTTGGAGGAATAATAGCTTCCTCTACAACAAATAGCCCCTTCCCGCTTCTTCTACACCAAATACCCCCTTCCTGCTTCTTCTACAACGAACAACCCCTCCTGCTTCTTCTACAACAAATAGCCCCCTCCTGCTTCTTCTACACCAAATACCCCCTTCCTGCTTCTTCTACACCAAATACCCCCTTCCTGCTTCTTCTTCAACAAACAACCCCTCCTGCTAAATCTGTCTTGCCGCGTGTGCAAATCACACGCCTTGCAACCCCCCGACACTCGCTGCGCGTGTGTCGGTTGCTTCCTCAGTTACCTGCAGGTGCTTCAGCAGTTCCTTCTGTGTAGGATTTTGCGCTGCTTGCAGGAGGAGCCGCATGCAGAGAGACGCCACGCGGCCTCGCTTAAGCAACCCCGGAACTACCTTCCAGCGGTAAGGGCTGCCCTGAGCGGCGCATGCACACCGATCTTCACACCCCTCCCAATTGCATGCTTCGCAGACCTCCTAACGTTAGGCACGAAACAGCCGACAGTGCGTGTGCAAATACACGATAACAACTCGCGCGCACGCACGCACGCTCATGTCTTGCCCCGACTTCGCTGCACAACACACGGCTTTAGAGAAAACTGCCAGGAGGACGTGTCAGAAGGTGTGTGCGTGTGTGGGAGAGATAGACGAGCAGGAGACAGACGCAACTTGCAGGAAAAAAAGGGGCCGAGCCAAGAAGCAGAGCTTGCCTGAAGAGCAGAGAAGGGTGCCACCATAGGAACGGCTGCAATGATCGAATCCTCGGGAGTGGGATTTGCTGTCAGCAAGTCCAGTTGACTTAACCTTTCCTGCAGCACAAAACAATAATAACATGCAAAGCCTCAAAAAAATCCTCCTCTTAACTGCGCACTGCAAGGAGCTCTGGCCCTGCCATGCCAGCCACAAAAAGCACTCCACTCAAGTGTTTCCTTGTATCAACCATTCGTCTTTCTTTCTTTCTTTCTCTCTCTGTCTCTGTCTCCCTCGCTTCTCCCTGCGTGGCTTCGCATCTGCACATGCTCTCAGGAAGTGGACGCACAGCGAAGTCTGCAGCGGCAGGCGGGGGTTCCTCTCCCTGCATGTGATGCAGCATGCTTTTCCATTCATGCCTCTCCTTTTTCCGCCTCTGAGCCTCTGCAGTCCGCTGCGCTGCGGCCGCTGCCTCTCGACTCCGCGCCGACTCCCCCTGCACATTCCCCCACAGCTCACTTCAGCTCAGCTCAGCTCAATGAACGAAGAGAGCACACGAAGATACACACCAGCGAAGGCTCCAGGAAAAGCAAGCCTTTCTTTACACGCAGACACGGATGAATGCAACTCCACAGCTTCCCCGTAGAACAGCGGCGGCGCGATGAGAATGCGCTAGTGTATGTACAAGAAAAGCAGCACCCTGGGAGAGCAGATGTGCTCATGTCTATATTTTCCACCCACATACATATACATATATCTACAAACATATGTACATATATAAATATATCTATATATAAAAATATGTTTGTATTCTGAATACACGTGGCAGCTCCTCCTTGCGTGGGTCACCCTACAGCGCTGGCAATCAGCTTCATTCTCTGTGCCCTCTCCTCTTCGTCCTGATCGGCGTATTTCTTTTGCGCGCGTTTTTCCTTGGATCTCCGTCCACGAGGAAGTTGCTGCTGCTTCGGCATCTTGGGTTGCTGTTGCCGCTGCGCCTCTAGGAGTTCCTGTTTGGAAGTCTCAAATGTTTCCGCTGTATCTACGGCTGCCGCTGCTGCGCCTTTTTTGATCCGACGGCGCGCTGCAGCAGACAGACGTGCTTTGGCCTGCTGCTGCTCCTGCTGCTGCTCGTTGCATGTCTCCAGCAGCTGCAGCAATGCATCGTGGCTTTGCTTCTGCTGAGTGCCGTCGCCGTCCTCCTCTTCAGTCTCGTCCTCCACCTGCTGCTCCAGAGTCTCGTCTGCTTCTTCGTCGCCTTCCGCTTCTGCTTCTGCCTCGTCTGCTTCTTCCGCTTCGCTTTCGTCCTCTTCGGGAGTGCCTCCCTCTCTCGCCGATACCGTGTCCTCCTCCGCTCCCTCCTCTGAAGACGAGTCCAACCAATCACCACCAGCAGGAACCAAATAAAAGTCTCCCGATTCAGCAGCAGCCGAAGCTGCCGCTGCATCCTCCGAGGCTGCCGCTGCAGCAACAGCTTCCAAGTCACGCCGGGTGTCCGCAGAAGTCGTCCCTAGGTCATCGTCATCTGAAATTCCATGCAAAAAAGACGCCAATTTTAACATATGCAATCGCCAAAAAATGCCACATCAACGTCGCTAATCCCTTCAGCCCCGCTCTCTCCCTACCCCCAAAAACAAACACGCTGTCACGCATACATAGACATATATATAAATATCTATTTATATAAATATATCTATATATATATATATGCCTGATATGTCCTAGGCCCTCCACCGCCTCACGCAATCGACCATTCACATTTCTTTATTCCATTCTACTCCCGTCACACCTCCCTCTCCACCTCTCACCCCAACAAAGATACTGCACACACACACCCCCCAGAATGCAGCGCTCAATCCTCTACTGACCTAGGTTCATGTCCAGATGAAGGGAGAGCAGCTCTTTTGCAGAAGGTGTTTCGCATACGAAAAAGCCGCGAGGCGGAGGGCCATGATCTGCGCTGCGGTGTCTATTCAGCATCTTCTCGACATCCACGCTAATTCCAGACACCTACACCACAAAGGCCGTATCGTGGGCATGCGCTGCCCTCAATTACCAAACCTTCTACTAGCCGAGGCGAAAGCAGGCAAGGCAACTCTCTTGCCGTCTCCCTCAACGGCCCCGTCCACACAACACACCCAGTCATGTAGAAACACCCATGAACTCCTGCTCCTGCTGTTGCTTCTGCTCCAGAAGACACTGTGCATAGGCATATCCCCGTTGAGAAGCGTTCCTGCTGCAGCAGCGCCGCTGCAGCAAAAATGCCAAGCCTCCCCTCCTCCCCATTTTTCTCCCCTCCTCCCTCCTTTTTTTCCCCTCCTCCCTCCTTTTTTTCCCAACAAAACCTACAACGATGTGGATGTCAGGATCATCATGCGTCTCCTCGCCAGCTGCTTCTGTTGGAGAAAGAACGTGCATGTCCGACGCTAACTCTGCAGATGAGTGCGAGAGCAACTCGCGGGGTGTCGGCAGCGTTTCCTCAGTGTATCCTGAGGAACGCAAAAAACCGATTTCAAAGCTTTAAAAGGTCAAAAAGAGGCCTCCCACCCCCCTTCCCGCCTACATAAGGCCCTCCTCCTCCCTCCCACGCATGCACTCCCGCATAATGGGGTGGCCTGCATGCAAAACAACACCACTTCCTTCCCCTCCCCCGCTCTCCGACATTCGTCGTCTCCTCCTTTTCCCGCTGAAGCAACACACCAAAGCGAAAACATCGCCGCAGCGCCAGCAGGAGAGAAAACCTCCCAACGCACATACCGGAAGGTGGAGGCCCCTCGTCTACAGAAAATCTTCGGAAAAAACGAGATCCGAAGCTGCTGCTGGTGCTTCCACGCGATTTGCTGCTCGCAGCGCTGTAGGCAGAAGCACTGCGAAGGCAGCCCGTTCCAGGAAGCATGGGGCCGCTGCTCAAGCTCTTCCTGGCACTGCTGCTGTGCAATGGCAGCGATACACTGCGACCTCCTGCACGTGCGAGATGCTTTTGATCTTCTCTCTCATCCTGAAGCGCAAAAACAACAACACAACAGTTCCGTTTCCTCGAACACGCGCCCTGCGTGCCAGCAGGCATAGGCTGCTGTCAATCCCACGCCTATTCCTGCTGCTAAATAAATATATATACATGTATAGATATGTTTACACGTATAAATATAGATACATATATATATATGCGTATATATGTAGATACATATATATATATATATAGATACATATACATATGTATATACGTATATATATGGATACATATATATATATATACGTATATATATAGATACATATATATATAGATACATATATATATACGTATATATACAGATACATATATAGATAGATATACATATATATATCGGCAGGCTGGCGTCATGGGATGCTGCGCACCTGGGAGTAAGTCGGAGGGGCATCATCGACAGTCGTCAGTTGAATGGACGGTGCATCTGCAACAAGCCTCAGGAACACATCGGCAGCAGCCCTCTTTCCTTCTTGCTGCTGCGTTCCCTCTGCAGCAATAAAGCGTCGTCCGAACGAGGCTTGCGGATCGCGGGAGGCGCGCGAAGCGGATAAACCGATTGCCACGACTTCCGCTGCCCACCGTACACCCCAGGAATGCACGAGAGGGAGGAGCAAGAGCAGCAACAGGAGCAGCAGCAACAGAAGCAGAAGCACACGGCGCCACCACTAATGCCATACGAGCCGCCTCCCTCCCTCCCTCCCTCCCCCTTTTTCCCCGTCCATATGGATAAAGCCCCTGCCTGCACCTACCGCTCTGAGACTGCTGCTCTGCTTCCTGCAAAACTTGAGGTCTCTCGATTGATGAGGCTCTCGAGGATTCACTGCTGCTAGGAGGGAGCAGTCCTGACCTGGGTGCCCATCCCGTGCCTGTGCGTCGAGGCGTCCTACAAGCCGGAGACGTCTCGCTCCTCTCCCTTGCTGCCGAAGACAGCGTCCACTCATCGTGCTCCTCTTCTTCGGACGTCTCCTCCCCCCCCTGCTGCTCCTTCGCGGCAGCAATGGCAGTGGCGACATCATCCCTGCCTTCCTGCTTCTGCCCAGCCTCCTCTTCTTCTCCGTCCGAGGGGCCAAAAAGCGAATGCCGCGTCTCTTCCAAGTCGGGGATCTCCTCAGGGGGTAAATCGTCGAACTCCACGTGCTGCACAAACATATGTACATTCATATATATATATTCATATGTATATTGAATTTATATATATTCATTTATATATACATTCAAATACATATACATACACACATTCATGTACATATGCACATGCAAGTACGTGTGCAAGGCACCCGCCCCCGTACGATGACAACAACCCACAAGGCGACCTCCGTGTCACTGCTGCTGCTTCTGCTTCTGCTGCCCCTGCATGCTCGTAAAGCAGCACCCTGTGCACCAACGGAGCCACCAGAAACGACTCACGAGGCAATCAAGAACGTCTGACACGACGCGAGGAGGCTCTGGCGAAAAGGTCACATGGCATGCCTGAAAGTGGAAGTCGCATGCAGCACAAGAGACACCAACGAACGACAGATTTATTACCTCCAGGAAAAAAGGCATGCTCCGCCATTCCTGCTGCGGCTGCAAAGGAGACTTGCTACATAAAGGCCTCGTCACAGAGCGATGCAATTGCATACCTCCTCTACTTGCTTCGTCTTCAACGAGCTTCGGCGACCAAACTCGTGCCCCTGCTGCTGCTGCTGCTGCTGCTGCTGCTGTTGCTGCTGCTGCTGCTGCTGCTGCTGCTGCTCTACATCACGCTGAAGCTCTCGCAGGATCTCTGCGGCTTCTACCCCTGTACAAATGAGCGAAAGTGTGGATACCCTGCCTGCTGCCGCCATAAGCCTTTACAGAAAGATGCAGCAAATCTGCAAACGCTAGAGAGAGCACTCCCCACAAAAAGCAAGCGGCATCAAGCAGCCCACAGCAGCATGCCACACACCTCTTTGCTGCTCAATATCCTTTACCGAAACGTGGCCTGTAGGTTTCCGACGCCTCCCACGACGGGCAGTAGCTGCTGCTGCTGCTGCTGCTGCATCCTCCTCGAGGTTACCTGAATCAGCTAAACGAAACGCAGCCTTCTTTACGCGGCGAGGCGTTATCGTGGATGCTAGGCCCCCTTCCTCCTGTTGCTGCTGCTGCTGCTGTTGCTGTTGCTGTTGCTGCTGTTGCTGTTGCTGCTGTTGCTGCTGCTGCTGTTGCTGCTGTTGCTGCCTCTGCCGTTCTTGCTCCTCCTCTTGCTGCTGCGCCTTCAGCAGCAGCTGCTGCTCCTGAGCCATCTGCTTCTCTGCTTCTAGACGCATTTCCTGCAGCTCTTCGAGAGCCTCCCTCCCCTGCAGCAGCCCGAGGATACCCGCAAATACACACGGGATTATTTTTTGTCGAGGCACAGGAGAAAAAAGCCACAAAAAACGGAAAGAGCTACACGCAGCTTGCCGCCAGAGAGGGGGCCTCATGCGAATAGGCGCTACTGTACACTGCATCGACGTCTAAGTACACACGCAGGGGCAAAACGCAGAGCCTCCAGTCGCAACAAGCAGCGCAGCAGCAGCAGCTGCTGCTGCAGCCGAACAAGTGCACCGTACGGCATGTTTCAAAACATTTTCTGGTCGCGAATATCCAGTAGGCTTCCGTGCAGCGCTGCGAATGCTCATAGCTCTGCTGCTGGTGGTGATGCTGGTGCTGCTAACTTCAGTAAACCCCAAAGCTTTCTTCGGCTTTCTGGGAGCTGTTGCTGCTGCTGCTGCAGCTTCACGATCGACCTCTGTGCTAGGAGCTTCTCCAGCAGCAGTCCGTGAGGCAGACGCTGCTGTGTCTTGACCAGAAGCATCAAATGCCGTAGCCGCAGCTGCGCCTACAGGCGAGCCGCCCTCTTGTACTGCCTTCTCCTCCCGTTGCTGCAGTTGCTGCTGCTGCAGTCGATGCTGCTGTTGCTGTTGCTGCTGCTGTTGCTGTTGCTGCGTCTTGCACTGGGATACGACGTCCTCTTCGCCACACAAAGCGTGCTTGCGAGCTCGCTCTCCTCGATGTCTCGCAATAGATGCATCGTCACCAAGCCTCCAAAGAATGGTCAGGCCCATTTCTAAGCGATGCACGCTCACGAAGTGTCTCTTTCCCCTAATCATAAAAGCCCCCGTGCTGCAAAAGCAGAAAACACGCAAACGCAAACCCACATTGAGCCGTGTGTCTTTGCCTTCCCCCTCCCCCCTGCATTTCCCGTCCCCCCTGTTCTTCCTGTAGCACCCGCCAGGAACCGTCGCTTGGAATTTTCACAGCTCGCGCGGTGTCTTGACAAGAAAGAACCACGCTCTAAAGGCGTCCATCAATCCCCCTTCCTCCTCCCCCCTCCCCCCCCGTGCATGCAGCCAGCAAAACACCCACAGCCCCAGCACGAGCAGGAATAATTGCAGCAGCAACAACTATAGCAGCAACGACTGTAGCACGACTAACTATAGCAGCAACAACTATAAAAGCAGCAACAACTGTAGCACGACTAACTATAGCAGCAACAACTATAAAAGCAGCAACAACTATAGCAGCAACAACTGTAGCACGACTAACTATAGCAGCAACAACTGTAGCAGCAACAACTGTAGCACGACTAACTATAGCAGCAACAACTATAGCAGCAACAACTGTAGCACGACTAACTATAGCAGCAACAACTGTAGCAGCAACAACTGTAGCACAACTAACAATAGCAGCAACAACTGTAGCACGACTAACTATAGCAGCAACAACTATAAAAGCAGCAACAACTATAGCAGCAACAACTGTAGCACGACTAACTATAGCAGCAACAACTATAAAAGCAGCAACAACTATAGCAGCAACAACTGTAGCACGACTAACTATAGCAGCAACAACTTTAGCAGCAACAACTGTAGCACGACTAACTATAGCAGCAACAACTATGAAAGCAGCAACAACTTTATCAGCAACAACTATAGCACGACTAACTATAGCAGCAACAACTATAAAGCAGCAACAACTATAAAGCAGCAACAACTATAAAGCAGCAACAACTATGAAAGCAGCCTTATTTCATACCTCAGATACAATCCCGAAGGTGCTGCCTTTGATACCTGATGCCCCCACACCCACCAAGCTCCCACAGGAGCTTTGCTCTGCCACGCGCTGCTTCGACAAACGGCAAATTCTGCAGCTTGCTGCAGCGTGGGGGGAGGGACAGGAGCCTCATCTGCTGCCACACTGGCAGCATCTGCCGTACTTAACGCAGTCTTGATGACACACGTGGCAGCACCGTGAATGTCGCCGTGAACATACAAATCCTGCTGCTGCAAGTAGCGGCGGAAGAGCAGCTCGTTCTGGTGAGCGTCTCTGCCGGCAATCACGAGATATCCGTCTGCAAAAGCAGCAAGACAGCAGAAACTGTGCGTCACGTCACAGACCCCAAAAAAACCTCTTTCGCAATGCCTAATATGCAGCATTTGCGCGCGCGAACTCCTCAGTACGAGAACTGCCCTTCCCCCCTCCCCCCCTGTTCTTGCAAGAAAGACATCCGTCCATCCGCCATTGTATCCAATCCCCACAAACACACAGAAAGTGCCAGTCTCCTCGCCGCAGCAGTAAGAAAACAACACACGCAAGCTTTGCATATTCTCAAGCCTACGGAATCAGGAGCTGCAAATGACGCGATCAGGCAGCACGCGTTTGCACATGCAGACAGGCGGCAATTCTGGCTAACCTGTCGTTATGAACCAATAAAATCTCTCGAACCAAAAAGGCTTCCTCAGCTTCTTCAGTTCCTGCTGCTGCTGCTGCGGCTTTAACCCCTTGGCATGCTGTTGCTGCTGCTGCTTCGCCTTGCCTCCAGACGCAGCAGCAGCGGCAAGGGCGGCTGCCATTTGCTGTGTCGTCTTGTGCTCCTTCTCACGCAAAGCCTTGCGAGCTGCATGCAAAGCCTCCACATTGCCAAAGGCAGAAAGCGAGAGGTTCACAGGCACCAGCAGCAGCTGCTGCTGCTGCGGAAGATCGGCAGCAGCAGCTGCTGCTGCAGCTGCTGCTGCGCTCCCTTCTGCTGCACCCCCGGCGTCTCCTGCTGCTGCTGCTGCTTCTTCTTCCGCGTCTGCCGCTGCTGCGGGTAGCAGCAAAAACGCCTCATTCTTCTCCAGAGAGAGTCTGTGAATATGCGAAGCTACGGGGTGCCCCTTGCGCTGCTGCTGCTTCAGATGCATGTTCAGTTCCTCCCACGATACACCCGCCGCAACGGCTGCACGAAGCAGCTGAATGGCGTCTTCTACCAGCTGAAGGTTGGCCTCAATAGCTGCAGCTTGCTGCTCTTGCTCTTGCTGCTGCTGCTGCAACTGCAGCAGACGCTGCTGCTGGTTCTGCTGCGCCTTGCCCACACGACTTGCTGCCGCAGTCTGCTGCTGCTGCTGCTGCTGCTGCTCAACGCGCAGATCCGCCGCAGCAATAAAGTCGTCCACGCAACTGCTGAAGTCTCTGTACCATAAGGCCACAGTGCTGCCTGCTGCTGGAGTCGCTGCTGTCGGAGTGACTTCTGACGCCTGTGCTGCTGCTGCTGCTGTTGCCGCTGTTGCTGCTGCATCCGCTGCAGAGGCAGCGGCAACAGCCGCTGCCGCTGCCTCTGCAGCCGCAGCTTCATCGCGCTTCTGCTGCTCAGGAGCCTTGAGCACTGGAAGAGAGGCGTGTTGGTGCAGCAGCACTGGCGTGAACTCCAGCAACTCGAAAAGCTGATGCTGACGCTGCTGCTCTCGCGGCTGATCTGTCACCGCTGATGCTGCCAAATCGGTGTCTGCTTTTTCTGTTTCTGCTTTGCGGCGAGCAATTATGTAGCCGCGGCGCTCTCCAGACTGCTGCTGCTGTTGCTGCTGCTGCGCGTCGGGCACATCACCCAAAAAATCGTCCTGTCTGCTTACCTCCGCCAGCTGTACATACACATACCCACAGTATTTGCCAAAACCGCAAAAAGTTCGAATACACTCGTATACATAGATATACATATTATATATAGGTACATAGATGCAAATATATAGATACAGCGCAATCATGGTTGGAGCAAGCGCAGCAGCACCTGAGAGAAGGGCATCTGAGATATCAAGTCTCACCACGCGCATAGCCTCATGAATGGCGAGAGAAAACTGCGGTGCTGCAGCTGCAACGGCAGCTGTCGCCTCTGCCGCCCCTGCCGGAAGCTTCTGCTGAGGCTTAAGTCCATGCAGCGTAAGACAATGCTGCTGCAGCGCCGGATGCGAAAAGCAGACAATTTTTGAGAAGAGGCTTCCCAAAGTCAAGGGTTGCTGCTGTTGCTGCTGCTGCACTAGCTGCATCAACAACTCGGCAGTTTTATCCGCAGTGAAGAAAGCGGCATTTCGTCCTCCTAGCAGCAATGAGGCGGCAGGAGGTTCAACAACATAAGTGCTGCCGACGGCTACCCTGATGCTTTGTTGCAGCTGCTGCTCCCCTTCCTTCTGTTGTTGCTGCTGCTGCTGCAGCGAGTGCGTCCTCAGCACAGCAACGATGGTGTTGCTGCTGCTTTCTGCCACAATGAGGTTACCCAAGACATAGACTTCAAGGTACAGCGACAGGCGTTCGGTAGCACTCTGCAGCAGCAGCTGAATCACGCGATCGCCCCCCAGCTGCTGCAGCCGCACCAGCCGCTTGCCTCGCAGCAACTTTCGCAGCCGCATGCAGAAGGCGGAAGGCAGTGCCTCTTTGCTGCGCTTCCACTCCGTTAGGCAAAAGCCCACGCCAGGCTGCAGCAGCAGCTGCTGCTTCTGCTGCTGCTGCTCCTGCTGCTGCTCCTTCGCTGCCGTCGAAACGCCGCAGAGCTTCAACACAAACCGGTGGCTGCAAGCACCCGTTCCGTAACCAGACACCCGCAAATCGTAAACATTTGCAACCCTCAGACCTTCGCAGAGGGGACGAATGCTGCTGCACATGGCGCGAACGTCAAGCGCGCTCATGCGCTGCTTGCGTTGCTGCAGGCTTTGCGCAAGCCCGGATGAAGAAGCCATCGAAAGCGAGGCAGAGGCTGGTGGTGCTGCTGCTGCTCCTCCCGGTGAAGATGCAACGGTCGTCATCTTCGCAAGGAAAGGCCCTAAAAGTAGCCACTCTGCCGAGGAGGCTGTTGCTGCTGCTGCTGCGCCTATATATATATGTATATATATGTGTATATATAGAAAGATCTACATGCATGTATAGATAGATATATATATATATTTATGTAGAGATATCTACACGGGGGGAAAGGGAGGGCCGAGAGGCAGATCTTCCTCCTCTGTCTGTCGGTACACCCACACACACGCACAATGTCTAGCCCAACGCTGGTTGCACTTGCAGCGAAGCCTCAGGAAGCATGCCGCGCGGGAAGCTCGTTTGCGCGTACAGCAGGAAATCCACGCATGCTCATGCTCGAGGACGCAATGCGAGGGATAAAACGCCGTGCTCAAGATGCAGGCAGAAACTCCCAACGGAAGGCGCTTTTCCTACGAGGGAGGGGGGTGGCCCCCTGCGCAGACGTGTCGGGAGGCGAAAGACTACAGAAAATAGATGGATAGAGACAAAGTGCTGGAGGAGGTGCTGCTGCTGCAGTCCGGCGAGACATCCAAGCACGCGTATTGCTGAAGCAGTTGCTGGCACTGCCCCCGAGAGACTGACGGGTGGCACAGGATTCTGCTTATCCTGCAAGAAAGAGTAAACGCTGCGGCGATACAGTTGTGCCGCGGAAGCAGCAATTGCAGCAGCGGCAGTAGCAGCAGCGATGCTGCTCGTCCTCCCTCCTTTCCTCACTGCCACATCAAGCAGCAACGCGCTGCTGGTCAAGGACCTCACACCACCGCATTAGGTGATGATCTTGCGAAGACTGCTGTCCGCAATTTGATGCTAACTGTTTGCAAGCGGAAACGGAGGAGGAATAAATGGAGGCAGCAGCAGCGCCTGCTGCAGCAGCGCCTGCCGTGGCTGTTGTTGGTTTGCCTGTGCAAAAAGCCCGTTGCTGCACATGCTGCTGCTTCTCGCAGCAGCCAAAGAAATTTGCGAGTTTTCCGTGTTTGATGCAAACACGGGTGTTATTCCCAATGCAACAACGGCGGCAGCGGCCTCAGCAAGCGCCGCCTCTGCTGCCGCACAGTGTAGTTGATGCCTTCATCACACCAGCCGCTCAACAATAGCAGCAGCAGCTGCTGCAGTAGCAGCTGCCGCCGTATTGAGGATGGACTTTCTAGCGCGTCTGCTAGTATTGCAGGTGTTGCACTGTGTCTTTGGTGGGAATTTAACACAAAAAACTCTTTTCTGGCAGAAAGGCCGCGCGACAACAAGCCCTCTGCATTGTTGCGGCTGTCATACCGGCGTTTGCACCCGTTGCGGCTTCTCGGCTGCCGCAGCGGAATGCGTTCGTGTACGGGCAGTCTCTTGCGATTTGCATGAATGGAATTGTGCGGGACCTTCTGTTTTTGAGGGGTTTGTGATCAGCGGGAGGTCTAAGAAGTGCAGCAGCAACAGCAGCTGCAGCAACTCCTGTATCGGGATGCCGGCGGCGCTCCTCTTCGTAGCGATCGCGTCACTAGAAGTGGCAGCACAAAAGAAATCAGAAACGACGGCGTGAGCTCGCAAACGCACTTGCGAAGATCGGCATTCATTGGGAGGGGGCTGGCTTCTTTCTTTCCCCCTTTATGGACTGCTGCAATGAATGGCCATCCTGCGGCAGAGGCAGTGCTGCCTCTAGGATGGGGAGTTGCGCTGCTGCTTGGTGCCGAGTTTGTCGCCCTTGTTGCAGTATGCGTGTTCGTATGCCTGCACAAGGAGACGGAGTCACAGGTAAGAAGCCGCCACCCCACAGCGTCTGGCACCGATACTGCAGCAGCAGTAGTAGCAGCAGTAGTAGCAGCAGTAGTAGCCAATGAAAATTTGACGCATGCTGCAATCCGCGAGTCTCGACAGTCCCGTGCGCCTTGATCTTCGCCGCGTCGCAGCGTGTTTCGTGATTGGGGTGCAGGCAGGCAACACGCGGAGGCGCACAAAAATACACATACATATACATGTACATATCCATGTACGTATGTATATACACATGTTGTACACACAGTGCCATTAATAGCGGTAGCAGAATGCGCGTGGCTGTGTGCACCAGCGTGTCTGTTTGTTGCAGGGTCGTGTATTATCGCGCCTGCTGGACGTTGATTACCGTGGGAATAGCAGCCTGTGGCGGCTCGCGTTCTCTTTCTTTTCGTGTTCAGTTGGATCATGGGTGCTCTTCCTGCCGCCTGCTCTGGGGTGGGATTGTCGCACTTCTGCTGTTGTTTTATTGTATGCTGCTGCCACTGCAGTTGCCCCTCTGCTGGTCGGCCTCGTGGCTCCGCCAGTGCATGCGGCTCTTAGAGAGCTGAAGCGGGAGCAGCAGCAGCAGCAGCAGCAGCAGGAGAAGCAACGGCAGGATCGGCTATCGGCGACGCTGCAAAAAGAGGAACGGGCAGTGGACGTGCAGCAGGGGGGGGAGTGCGTGTTTGCAAAGTCGGAGGGGCGTCAAGACTTTGGACTTGTTGAGTTTGTGCTGCTGTACGTCTTGGTGATGCGCGTGTTGCGAAGGTGTTGAAGCAGCTCTTTGCACGGCAAATATGCGCCGTGGATGTCAGAAGCCGTCTTGTTGGCGGAGAGCTGCTGCTGCGTTTTTTCCCTTGTTTCTGCTTCAAAGCTTTTGCCGGCTATTTTTACCGAGGCTAGCGGCTTCGGTGTGATGCATGCATGTGCCTTCGTCGTGCACCTGTGACGCGCAGGAGATTCGGCCGTCTTCACCATGTGAGCCTTTCGGCGGCTGCGCTCTTGTCAATGGTGCTTTCCTCCGCGGGAGAAGCTGCCTTCGTGGCAGCGGCAGCCAAACTGCTCTGTCCTTCTCTTCCAGCTGCTCTTGTCGCCGGCAGCGTGCAGGTTGTGCCTTTCGTCTATTCCTTTCTCTTCGGATTTAGGGCCTCGCTCTTCACGGATATGTTTCAGCTGCCGCTGCTGCTTCTGCTGCTGCTGCTGCTGCTGCCCTACACGGTGCGTGCGACCACGGCTGCTGCGGCGGCAGGCACGCTGCAGCCGCTGCTGCAGCCTTCTGGGGAAGACGGCGTCATTGCAGGCCTTGTCATGCTCCTCTCGTATCCTCCGGCTTACGTAGTGGATCAAGCGGTCTGGGCAAGAGCTGGCCGTGCCAAGACACCCCTGCAGCTGCGACTGGCGGTGCTTGCTGCTGCTGCTGCTGTAGGGCTTGTGCTGCTTGCCGTGGGTTATACTGGGCTTCTTGCGGCAGCGGCTTTTGACCAGCAAGCTGTGCCCTTGAATGGCGCCACTGCAGTCGCTGAAGGGAGGGCTCCACTCTTCTCGTTGTTTCTGCCAGGCGAGAGCCTCCCGCTATTCGCATGCGTCCTAATAGGGACTACTTGGCTTGCGATGAGCTCCGCAGACGGTGCTCAAAATGCTCTGCCTTGGATCATTGCTGCAGACATCCTGGGTAGAGATGTGCGTGCGCAGCACGTGGCAGGGCCCCGCGCCATCGCCCTTCCCCCGCTTGATGCCGACAGCAGCAACAGCAACCCTGACTACAAGAATAACGGCAGCAACGAGAGCAGCAGCAGCAGCATTAACGAGAACCGTAACTCCTGCGACCTCAATAAATGCACCAACAAGAGCAACACCTCGAAAAGAGAAACCGGTTATCTGGAAGACCCTAGGGCATTACGCAACTACCGCGTTTTAGGCTTAGTGGGACTGCAGGTGCCTAGCTTGGTATTGGCTGTCTCTTGGTCCGATAGCTTGGTAATTTTGTTTCTTATATCCAACTTTTTAACGTCTGCAGTGCTCCCCCCTGTCTTGCTGGGGCTGTGGAAGGGCACGACTGCAGTGGCCGCTGCAGCGGGCATTGTGTGCGGCGTAGCGACGATCCCCATCTGCGGCCTCATTTACACGGGGACGCCTGCCGCGATGCTTAGCTGGTTCATTGTTCCTTGGGGAGTCACCAGCGGAGCCACGGCTGTTACGTTCCTAGCCGTGCCAGTAGTCGCTACTTTTACAACGATCTTTTTGTCGCTGGCCTTCCCATGCCGCACGCAGAAGCGTGTCGAGACGCCACCAGTGGCTGCGGCTGCCCCTGCAGGAGTCGCGGAAGCGAATGCAGGTGCACGCTTGCACGTTGAAACAAGGGGGATTCTTCAGAGTAAGGGGCCCTTCATGGGGCCCCAGAAGCAGCGCGGGCGCACGCTGCAGCGGTGGATGCATCAGGAGAGGCAGGGGGTACAACTGAAGGAGGAAGTGCGGTCTTGCTCTTCGGTAGCGGAGGAAGACGCCACAGGCATCGGCTCGAGCACTCCGGACGTGTGAGTGCAACAGCAGCAGCAGTGGTGGCGGCTACCGTCTTCGCAGGGGCAGTGCATTGTGCACATTCACCGTCCCAGGCGGCCGTACAGCGGCAACTGCCGCAGGGGCTGCTGCTAGGTCTGCTTCCAGCAGCAGCAGCATCTGCATCCGAGATGGGTCCACCAGGACGTCTTTGGAGCGATGCTGAGCTGCGCAGAAGGGGCGGCGGCCAGTGCGTCATATATATTTAGTGTTGCAGGCTGCAGCAACAATTAGAGCGCCCGTAGTGGCAAAGACGTGTGCGTGCGTCTGTTTTAAAGAAGTGTCTTCAAGTGTGCGCGAAGCATGCGCATCTCAGTCATGTGCTATGCGTTCCGCAGCACATGCCTGTAGCAGTTCGCTCAAGTTGCGATTTCCCAAGAGGCAGTTATGTGCGGCTGCCCTGCGACCTTGGGCAGAGTGCTTGGCGGTGTATCGCACTTTTGAAAAAAGACTTTGCCGACGTCGCGCGGCACGTTCACGTGTGGCTGCTGCGGAGGAGCACCCGAGTAGGAGCCCCTTTAGAGCGGAATTTGCAGCCTCCCGTTTTTTGGAGCTCCTGGTTGTGGCGGCAGCTACTTCGGGAGGCATCGCTAGGCTGCTGCAAGCTCTGCAAAGTTGCATTCCACTGAGAAACACCTTCTGGCGGCTGTTCACCACCAGAAATTCGAAGGCTTCTTGGCACTCTTATGGCTCATTCGCGATTCAAAAGTGCTGCGAATCGTGGGGGCCTTCGTGGTCAAGTGACCCTTAAAAACGCACGGGTTTCCTACAGACCAAGGCATCGGATGTGGCCTTCTTTCCATATACATAGATATATAGATGAAGATATATATGCTCAAGATAATGCATCTGGATTCCACTGACGAAGTGTCTTGCATTGGCGAATGTGTGGTAGAGGGCACGATGACCTGATCTGCATGGAGCGGTCCGCCGTGGTGACCGCGCGCAGCTACCTGCTACATCGCATGCATTGAATTGATCGTCGCGAACTTCTCTGCTCATATCTTGATATTTCTGCAGACAGATAAGTATATCCGCGGTAGCAACTCTGCCCCTAGGCGGCGGACTTGCAGCAGCAGCACCATTACCACCACCGGTGACTTCTTTTACAGAACACATAACCAAGTGTGCTTCGACAGCGACTCGGTAGGAAGAGCTGTCGTAGGCACGAGGAGCCTTTTTTCCAGGCTGTTTGACTTTGTTCCCGAGGATGACACGGCCCTTGTACATAGAACCCCAGTGCACTGGTTTCTAAGGAATACAGCTGCGGCGCAGCAACAAGCATCGGAGTGCATCTGAAGAAGCAGCGCTTGCCGTAGGAACGCAGCAGGGGGGGAAGGAGGGCACTGGCAGCAGCGTTACGATGACCGCCTCCTTGCTTCTGGGGGTAGGCCTCAGCTGTTGTGGTGCCTGCTGCTCGGCAACAGGGCAGATCCTCCTCAGATTGACGTTCATCCTTCGCAAGGCAGCATCAGACACGGCAGAGGAAGCAGCGGTAGGCGCAGCGCAAGCGTCAACTGCGCCTCCGTCTCGGAGTGCAGCCTCCGCACTCCCCAGGAGCAACTGCCTGCGCATGCAAGAGGCTGCTGCTTTGCTCATGGTGTCTGTTCTGTCGCCCGCCTTTACGGTCTGCGGAGCCGCGCTGCTGCCGGCCAGCGTCTCAGGCTTTGGATCTTTGCAGCTGCTGCTCCTGCTGCTGCTCTCCAGGTGTATCCTCAGCGAGAACGTGCCGACAATGCAGTGTGCAGGTCCGAAGCTCCCTTCCACCCTCTCTCAACCCTACATTCTGTTTAGACTCCTCACCCCATGCCGGCGAGGGACCAAGGCGCGAATAATGGGAAAATTTTTCTGCTATGCACGCCGTGTGTGGATGCCATCAGCGGGCTTGCTGGCAGTGCCTGCACTGACGCTGGAGGCAGCTGGAGCCCCCCCCCAGGATCGCCTCCTTTCTATTGATCAGCTAAAACTGCAGCTGTGCCGGCCTCAGAGTCTGCTGCTGGTCGTGGTGCTGCTCGCTGTGTTGTTGCTCGCCGCCGTGAAGATTCGCTGTACGGACACCGCGGCAACAGAATATCGCACTGTGGACGAGGACCAGAGCAGTAGCAGCAGAACTGCCGCCGAGAGCGACTGCAGGGCAGTCGTTACACCCGCAGAAAGTCTTCTCCAGGAAGATGGCTTGTTGCAGCATACACAGACGTCACAGCAAGAGCGGCTGCAGCCACATCCTGTGTTAGGGGTTCTTGCACTACCCTTTGCTGCAGGCTCCTGCGGGGGAACGAACCGTCAGTTCGACGCATCTCCCACACAACCGGTAGCCGCTGCTGCAGGGTGCTGCCTCCACATTTCTACCGCTCTAGACCTCTTTGCCTGTGCACGCGAAGAGGTGCTGCTGCCAGTGGCTTTGCTTGCGTTTGCTGTACGCAGAGCTGCTCATTAAGATCTTACAGATTTGGGTAAGCGGAATGCGGGCGGCTTGCAGCACCCCAACGGACGCTGCGGTTCATAGCAGCACCAACTTATTGCCCTGTTGGCTACAGCCCGCTGCGTTGGAGGCGCGTTGGGGTTTATGCGTGGTGGTTGTGTTGCTTGCCACGATCGCTGTTGTTGAACTGCTGTTTCTCATGAAGGCGCTGCAGCTGCTGCCGGCGTCGGCTGCAGCACCCATAGCGCACGCTGCGTCAGCAACGGCGGCCGCTGCAGGAGGCTGTCTGCTGCTGCAGGATACACCGCGCCAGCCCTTCATGTGGGTGGCCGGCTTGCTGCTGCTGCTGTTTAGCCTGAGCCTCATGGCTGGAGGGATCGCCATCTACTCAGCTATCTGTTCGTGTGCAGTAGCCTGCTGCGGAGCCGCTGCTGCACTGATCACGGCCGCAGCGGCTGCAGCTGCCGCGGGTGTTGTTCTGCCCGGCTGGAATGCTCTAGTGCATCCCCCCTCCTCCACAAACTCTGCTGTTTCTCTTGTGGGGTAAACTAGATGAGGCAGTTTGTTCAGCAGCCAACGGAGCAGCAGGCGGAAGCAGCAAAAGCATAGAATGCACCCATGCGACTATGGTGGGCTAAGCTGCTGCCGCCTTGTTACTCTCGTCTGCACTATGGACGACACATGTGGCGCGTAGCAGCAGCAGCAGCTCGACTGAGTGTAGTGGCAACAGCGGCAACAATGTACGTGCTTGCGTCTGCTGCCACATCAAAGACACGTTTTCTGCATAGGCGATAGAGGCCTAATCGTGCTAGCCAAATAAGGTCCAATCCGTCGTTTGTGGGCCACGTATTCTCGTGCAAAATAATACAAAAGTCCGCGTGCAGCGGCCCTCGCATGCGGCACAGCAAGGCGTTTTTCGGGCAAAGTCTGTGCCTAAGCGCAGCATCCCCGCCTGCTTCCTTTACAGCCGCGTGCCCTTTCATACTCTATATCGTCCATTCAGGAGCAAACTCTTGACAGCTGTTTCTCTCGCACGTCAGCCCCCTGAGGCCGCACCACCTCGAGAAGAAGCTCTCCCTCTCTCACAAAAACCCATTATTGCCTTAGAAGCGTCCCCTGAAGGAAGCCCAAGATCACGACTTTGCTCCCATACGCGCTCCCTCTGTTGCTGAGATGCCTCCCTCTCTCCCTCTCGTAATGTGCTTCGTCTGCGCAGTACTACTGGTCACCGTTCGTGCTTGCGCTTCTTCAGGCACGTCTGTGGCGCTGCACTCGTGTTGTTGTGCGTGGTGTACTTTCAGTTCTCGCTACGGCCAGCTCTACAGCTTCTTGGTGGCGGATCTGATGGTTTCAGCACCGTCGTTATCGACGGTGACTTCGCACTGCATGCCGCTGTCTCTGAGCCTTTTAATAAGGGGCTCCCCGATGCCAGCAGCAGGAGAGACAGTTCCCGTGAGCCGCGAGCAGGAGGGCAACTCTAACGCAAGGGCCAAGGCGCACTCGACCACCATTTTCGCAGTTTCTTTATATCCGGGGTCTCCATGTTTGCTGCCGACTGTCGCTCTGAGGGTAATGCCCTCCACCCTACCGACTGCCTCTACACTGAAATAGCCACTGTTCATTGTCTGCATAGTAGGCCCCTCCCCGGGGTCCGGTACGAGGCCTAGATATCTCCCCAAGTAACGCGTGAGCGGGCAGCCTACCGCCAGCAACGCTGCATACGTTGCAAACATGGTGAGGATGGCGGTGAAGAAGTTGAAATAGCAGGCGAGCATCTCGTAGTACACAAAATCGCGACCGTATGCATAGTCCTGTAGGGCATTGCTCCACCTGCGCACAAGGAGACAGGAGGCAAGCACACCGGACGGGCGCGTATTTACAGCACACAATGGATACGCCACTACACCAAATGCTCCACCGAATCACATACACTACATGATAGCAGCAATCGGAGGAAGAAGCCACCGCCCCCACCATCGGCACAGGCACCACGGCTGCATTCAGTGTTGCAACGCCTATGGGTACACTAAAGAACGTGCAGAACGCCCGATGAAGCAGAATGAGAGAGAGCAGTACATGAGGTGTCTGGATCCCTTCATGCATTCACAGGCAATAAAAGCTGTCTGTCGTAGACAACACAGGTCCCTTCCCAGAGGAACAAAAGGCCTCTTTTCGCCAGTTCAACATTCAATCCCTGCAAACACACACCTCACGACGTTTTCGTTCACGCGTGACATCACGAAAAAGGTGGAGTAGCCAAAGTCGGGGTCTCGGTGTAGCGCGCATCTGCCACCAGAACAGCCACACAAGCATTAAAGCAGCTCTTTTCCAAAGGCATCGGCTGTTCCTGCGCCAGGGGGCCATGCGCAGCTGCGCTCGCAAGAGGAGATGGCGCCACAGAGCTACGAGCACAAGCACTGTCAGCAGGGCAGGGGACCGTACACTCTTGGCTGCAGAGGAAATCCCTTCGCATTCAGCGGCGGCGTATCAATTGCATTCAGAGATAAGTAGAACGGATCTCCCATGGACCGATGCCCCATAAGATTCAGGCCGGAGGCCACAGTGGCGCCGGAGACGCCTCCCCGCATACTTCTCACCGCCATCTTCACCTAATCCCAGACCGCAAGCGCCAACAGCACACACGAAGACAGATGCCACAGCGGCAAGGCGAACAGCGGCTCTCCGGCAGGCGACACAGCACGAAGGCTGAAGCAGTGCGTGCTGACACCTAGGGCCAAGTAAAAATACTACGCCAAGTAGAGGCTGCACTACTCCACAGCCGGCAAGGTGGTTGCGCGTGCGCAGGTTGAGAGATGAACATAACGTAGCGTGCTTGTGGCGCTCTTTCCGACCTGAGAACAAGGTCGGCGTACGAGTTCCTTCGCCTTCTTCTGGATCATGAAAACGCACATGTCGCTCGGAACGCTATCAAAGCCGCAGAAAGAGACGAGCTTCACCCCTCGCTCCTTCGCCGCTTGGCCATGCCGAGAATGCAACAGCGCCACAAAGGGCATCTCTGGAACAAGGCCAAGCGCAAAAAGAAACACAGCAACGCCGCACGTAACAGCAGCATGTGAAACAGCAATAGCTGCCACAGCTGGCTGCGACACATGCAGAGACAGATATACCCACCACATTACCCAGTATCGATGAGCACGGGCACTGCAGGACTCCATCTTGCCTACTTGCATGGACATGCAAAATGTATGCATACAGCGGCATGCATGCACGCAGGCCTATTGTTCCCCCGATACGTCCTCTTTCTAGGGATGCTTTCTCAAGCCCTGACTTGTTTCCCCCTTTTCACACGCGAACAGTAGCCACACACGCTACAGAGTATCACGTGTTTTGACAACTTGGTGCACCTGCTGTAAGGTCGCAATAGTGCGTCCTCGCCTCCACGCAAGCCCTGGCTACGGGTTCCCCGTATAGCATGTACGGCCCGACTGTAGTTATTAGAACGCGGCATCTAAAAGCACGCAAACACACAGACACACAAAGTCAACACCAGTGTACGTACACAAAACGAGGGACCGCAGTGGAGCTTAGAACCTAATCGGGACACCGCGCGATCGTGCAAAGTGTTTACACACAAAGGCAGACAGCAACTGTTTCCCCTCTTCCATGTTTGCAATTTTAACAGCCTTCGTCCTCCCCTCCCCTTAGCCCTTTTGGTATCATTCACCCTCACTCGAACAATGGCCCTTTCTGCGAGCTAGGGAATCAGCAAATGTGGCGCTGAACCCCGTCACCCCAAAATGACACAGTCCACCCCCGCTCCTCCCCCCCCCCGATGCGAGAATTCAGACCTTTTTGCAAGCTCGACCAGTGATGCGTAGTCATCTACATCAGCGACGGCGGTATTAAGCACTGAGGGTTTCAATCCGTGTCGTGTGCAGAGCTCGTTCTTCAGTTCCTGTAGGCGCTGCGGATTGCGCGCGGCAAAGACGACTTTCAAGGTTTCCTGGTTCAGATAATTCTGGCACAGGTACGAGGCGATAAGTCTGAGCAGCAAGCGCACACATGGGAATGCAAAAGGGTCCGCGGTAGCAACGCAACAGCGAGAGGGGTGCAGTGGGACGTGTGTGCTGCTTCTGCGTTGTTTTGTTGCTCCAGCTGCCGGCGGTGAGGGGGCTACCGAAGAAAAGGTGGCAGGGGTGTCTGAAATGAAGAGTCAGAGAGGCAGAATGAGGCAAAAAGCAAGCGGGTGCGCGTGCATGGCAGAAGAACGATTTGGACAAGGCGGCGAGCGAGAAGGAGGTAAGGTGTGCGGCATTTCGGACGCAGATGGACTGAATAATGACCATGGAAAAGGAGGCACATCTACACACACATGGGGGTAACGCATAGCTGCGGTCCTCAGTGCCCATGAACACTGATTTGACCAAGGAACAGGCGCTCACTTTCCTACGAATCCTGTGGCACCAAAAACCCCCAAATGGAACTCCCGAGGTTCATTGACCGGGGAAGCTAGGGCGTTCATTTGCGACATTTTACAGTTATTAATCGAAATAGGATAGGCATCAAGCAGTTATTTCTATGTATTTTAGCTTGTCATCTCTGGCTTCAGAGGCGTGTTGCTTCTGAAGCAAGTGAACCGATGCTGCGATTTGACTGTTGATGGCTAAGCGGTGTGCGGTATGTCTGCTACACGAGGTAGGCGAAAGAGATCCACCAATTACGGCGCACAAACGCACAGAACAAACAATAGTAGAAATAATTGAGGGGTGCCCAAACTCCAGCAGAAAGAAGGCAGTAGGTTGCGGAGGAGAGCGCAGTCGTGGCATCGCTCCAGCTGCATTGCACATGCCGCTAGCTCACAAAACCACCGGAGAGCCAAAAGCGAAGAGAAAAGGTGTTTATTCCTTTGCATGCTCATTTTTTGCCCTGTGACACGCATATAACGGAACACAATAGCGCCCCGATACCAGAACTGTCCCTAGGTAGTGCTTTCACTGTAACTAGGAGACCAGTTGGCCACTCCAGCAGCTCGTTTGAGAGCCAAGCACCACATTGCCTTGTTTTCCGTGCCACGAATATGTACTATACAAGGTGTTCGAGAGCTGCGATACCTGGGAAATGGAGCGCCGAAGGGAGCTAAGAGAGTACTGCCCATGGATGTTCGAGGTCACGCACGCAGGATCCCTTGAAATAGTAGGCTGCAAGAAGTCTTGCTTTTGTCACTCCTTTAAGAACGCACCGTAGAATTGCTCCATGTGGAGTCTTGTAATGGTTTTTGGCGGATAAAAGCGCAGAACTCTGGGCTTGTCGACCTCTTGGCTCGGATACACTGTAAAGGGGTGGTATGGTCCAACAATTTCCGCTATAACAGATTCACTTAATTTTGATTCAGTACAGTCTTATCCTAATGATTTGATTGTACCTAAGTTCTTTTTGTTGATCAGCAGTGCTAAATTTTACACCAAAGCGGGAAAGCTATGTGCGGGAGCACTCGCTACTACACTATGGGCATTTGGGAACCATTGCTCGGATTAGCCAGATGCTCGAGCAACATTCACTCCAGCTATGCTTCCTTTTTTTTCTCTCTAGGTGAGCCCTGTGGGTAGGTGTGGCAACGAGAGGGGCGAACTCTTCAGAAAAAAAAAGCACTAAATGACATCCTCTTCTGTTTTGATGTGATTTGTCAGCCCAAGGGCCTCAGTAAATTGTAGCCTTATACATATCCACCATCCCTCGCAAGCCGGCTCCCCCATCCTTTGCACAATCACAGAAACAGCTCAAAGGCGAACAGTCAAGGTCAAACGTGTGGCGACGATGGCGTAATTTTGGTCACATGCTCATGCCAATAGCTTTATGCAAAAGAGACGATCTCCGGTTATCATTTTTCCAAGCAAGTGGCTCCTTATACTACCTACATGCACTTCAAGGGAGAAGCTGCCTTCTTTGTTTCCTTCTCGAGTTACCTTCCTCTCTGGACGCACTTCCACCGCCTCTTGGAATTCCACCGGCGCTAGAGGTTCTTCCTTGTCACAGCTGTGCATTATTTGCCTAAAATTGAGCGGTGAAGCGTTACCGGCAAAGGACGCTGGATACAAGTCCAACAAGTAGCAGTGCTGCCATGGGGCGGATGCAACACCAAGAAGCTGGTTAATCAAGCCTTCAGCTGCGATGCACAGGTGAAAGCAGCCATGTAATTTTTAAAGTGCTATCGGATGGATCTGTGAAGGCTTGCAAGACACTTCTGAAGCCAATTTTGTGTGGCCTATTGCAAGATCGCTTAGACTGACTTGCGCTGGCCACACAATACTACTGACCCCGGGAGTGCGATTCCGATTGGCCCCTACTCCTTACGGTTAGTGGGCCTAACCACGGGAGGCATATCACCCTGTGGTGCAAGCCCCTAACAACTGCTTCCTTGCTGAAACCTCATTAGGACAGCCTGGTGCTTAGAAAGGGGGCATCGCTCAAAACCCGCCGAACAGCCAGCCACAGAGGAGCTGCGGGGGAAAAAGGAATTTCTATCTGAAAGATCGTATTCAGGGCATATACAGCGGGCTGCAAGACCAGAGGATGTCATCTCCTGCTAAGGAGGATCAGGGGATCCCGATCGATGCCGAATAATTTTAAAAACCAATGAACCAGAAAAGGCGTGCAATGCATTCGGTACATCCAAGAAAGCTGTGCACATCCATCGCCTTCCACTTAGCTGTCTTCTCCGTGGCAGGTCATGCCGTACTGAGAAACCGGTGTTGGGTACTGGCGTCACTCAGGGCGTAGTCCTCTCCTACTCAGCGCATTTCACTCATACCTTCTTAAGGAGCACTGTTCGGGGCCCAAGAGCCTTTCCACGCTCTATGAAACATGGCAACGGCCTTTGTGACTTGGGTCGCTTACAAGCGCCATTATACAAGCTGTCCTGCTCCCTCTATTGAAACAAGTAGAGCTAGAAACCGTTGCAGCAGCTATTGCTGCAAGGCAAGGCTTCCATTAACAGCTTGAAAGCATGCATGCATCAGCAGTCTTTACATTCACCCAGAGGCTGTGGCTTCAGCTGAGTGCCTCCCCACTTCGTGCCTACAGTTTGGAAATCAAATATTACTGCAGGGTCGCCGAGGCTTATTGTGGTAAGCCACTTAAGGTAGCGCTGAATAGCCCAGCCCGTTTCGTTCGATGCCTCTTTCCGGCACACCCTAAATCGCCAAACGTAGGAACTTTTTATGCTACCTTTTGCGCCTAAGCTGCCAATAGGAAATCCACCATTTCTCGTCGCTTTTCACTATTCAGGCCCGCACCGTGTAGCACTGAGCCTTTCAAACCGAGTTTTGATGGAAGTCTTGAATGAGCCTGCTTCGTTCTACTGCCCAAAGGCTACATGTTTCTGGGCTGAAGAAGAGGATTGCCTGCAGTATTCCTGGCTGCGTCCGCAGAGCAGTCTGAACCGCTGTGTGTGCAGTTACTTTGCGCGCACACACACGCACACATAAGAGGCTGCCATGGCGTCGATTGATTACACCCTGCCAAAAATACGATGCAAAAATGTTCACCCCAATTGATATTATTATAGAGATTCTACTCCTAAAATCTTCGAGCTCAGCTCCTGTGGAATCAGTTACTTTTAGCGTCACTGTGAGACTCGGTTGTGTCGTATCGCTTCTACCAGTCACAGTAGGGAGATTTGTGGCGCCTACGCCTTACCCTGGCATTGCACAAACTCTGTAAAATATCGAAATTCCATAACTCATTCAGTACTTGGTTTAGCTGATAGGGCTCTGAAATGACGGAATAGAGGACAACTGGGATGCGCAAGCATCTACAAAGTGACCGGAGCGCTTGGCCCAAACTAGGCGCAACAACTTCAAATGAAGATGGCCTCAGTTTTTATTTTTGTACAGAAACGCTAGCTAGTTTCACTTTTTAGAAAGTAAAAAGGACAAATGACGACGGCAAGCAGTTCATACTCTCGTGAACATCAGTGTAATAGGCTGGCCATACCGAAACACTTTTTACCGTTATGTTGGACTACTTTCTAGTCTTTTATATGTTCGGTTAGCTTATATGCTGCACCTTATTGCTAATTCGATACAAGTAGCTGCAATTTTGTGTGCGTATACGCTAGATAAGCTGCGCGCCTCCCTTCCAGTGCTCGGACTGCTTTGAGGGTGCAACTACAGGAGCCTAGCTGTCCTACCCTGATATCAAAAGCTATAAGGGCGCAGGCAAAGACAACCTGGAGCTGTTTTGACACCACTCTATGCCTGCTTACCAACTCTAAATGAAGTCCTCAGCTAATTGTCTGCATAGGGGGAGCTTGAATGGACAGCTACGTGAACTGCTGCACTTTTGTACACATCAACTACACTTTGGTAGCATTAAGTGCTGCAATGGCCAGCTCTCATCTCTTGATTCTCAGTGCGCGTACACTTAATAAATGTCTTGAGCTGTCAGCTGGCATGCAGCTCTAGTCGGCATTTGCCCTTGACCAGTTTAGCAGTAGTTTCGAGTTAAATAGCCTGCCTCCTCCTACACAAGATCGGAACGGTAGAAGCAAGCTCGAATTATACTGTCCGGTAAGGACACGATATCCCAGTATTGTGGTAGGCAAAGTCATACGTATGTGCTGCGGGTAGAGGATGCCACCCCGCTCAGTGTAACTTGCCCGACGATGTCTATTCAAAGTATGACTCCGTCGGCATACACATTCATTCCTCTCAAATTCATTTACTCAATTATTCCAAGTTTTGTAAATGCATTGTGAAAGCTAATTACAGCGTGCCGGTATGACTTTGGACAAAGCGAGTGCTAAAAGAACCGGTGGTTTCTATGCACCGTTGGTGGTGCGCGACTCATACTCATGCTTTTGGAAGCTGTTTGCAGGATGTATACGTAATACCCCAAAAGACTATAATACTGGTGCTTTTGTTATTATTTGCTGGTAGAATCTCAGTGGATCCGCGTCGTGTACCGTAACGGCGTTCACTGGATCCAGTCAAGGCACAGGAGCAACAAGCCCAGCTGCCAAGGTACATAAAAATTACCGTAGGGGAGAAGTGCAAACCTAGATGGCTTTATATAAGCTCGGGCTGTGTAAACAGAAGACTGCACAGGAGGCCCCATACCAGTTCAGCTTGAGGGCTCCCACCGAAAAGGGGCGATCCTCAAAAGATTCTTGCTTAGTGCTACTTGGGGCGGTCTTCCAAAAGCGCCACTTGCACAAGTCTTAGCGCCCCTTCGCGCGCTTTGCTTTTTGCCAGTGCTTTCTCCACCTCCCTTGGGTGTCCTTTCCAGTGTTGGTTCCTTCCGACCGATGCTGTCATCCGCTCTGGTTCTGTTCACATTTGTATCTCCGCAGTATTTTCTGTTTTCCGCTCTTTTTCGGCGTTCCCGTGTGTGATTCCTCCTGCTTGAGCTAGTTCCTACCTGTGTTTTACCCTCACGCCGTTTTGCTCCTTATCGGTCTCTGTCTCCCTTTCCGACGAACTGTTAGTTCGTTCGTTATCATGAAAACGTAACAAAATAACAACGACTACAGTCTTGGAGGATTCAGGATGGGCCCCATGTGATGCTGTATAGAGAGCAGCAACTCTTGGAGTAAAGAGGACACCGTAACTACTGACTCACAAGTTGGCTGCGTTTGCCTCCATACGACAACGCACGTTGCAATAAATGTCCTTGGAGAGGCTGTATCGTTTTCCTTGAAGATGCTTCAATATCGTCAAAGGCGAATCCTGCATCACGGGTTTTCTCCGCATTGGAGCAAAGTTACAGACCATGCTACTGCAGTGGAATACGGAGGGCTTCACAAACCCCCGCTAAGCTTGATGGTGCTCAACGGAATAGCTGCTACAAAAGGACCTATACAGCAAGATTATCCTGTTTCAACACTTGCTGCCTGTGGTAGCTCATGCCCAGTGAAGTGTGAATGTAACGGGCTAACCTACCATTGGACACTTCATAGCGCGCTAGTAAAATTTATATTAAATTAGGAAGGCATTGACTAATTGGTTTGTTTCCTCGTACAGGCAATGTTGACATAAAATGGCTGGCCTTCTCCCCTCATCGAAAACTCTGCGGGGCGCGGGAAGGAAAGGCTGGGAGCGCTTCTAAGAAACACTAGATAATTTTTTATTGAGTTTGCATTCGGTCTGGATTAAAGTGACCACGTATGGAAGCCTTATCTAAGCACCGTTATTGTTGAACTTGGCCGGCTATTCTGAATGTAACGAATGCCTGTGAGTCATGATATCAATGTTGGGGAAAAGCCCACGCAAGTTCACACTAACGGGATACGGAATAGTTCTAACGTTGAACTGTATTGGTTCGTTTGTGATGGAGGCAGTCACACATCAAACGGCCTTCTCAGCTCATTTCGCCACTTTGTGATTTATCAACTCACGGTTAATCCCGAGAAACTAAACCTTGATCCCCACATAATTCTCTCGTGAGCATAATAATGTCGTGTGAAATCTAGCAATAGTGCAGGTTTTACGGAGCACTGCTCATATGGCTTCGTATTTCAAAAGCTGCCCTCATACCCATCGCGCAGCCATTCCTTGCCGTTCTCCAGTAGGATTGGCATTCACCGCTAAATACAGACTGATAGCCACTCGAACAATACCTCCCGAATCACCGATTCAGACATATAATAAAGCATAAGGTGTACTCCTCACTGAGGAAGTGTCGGTTACACAGAAATGCACGCACTCGTGTAAATTTAACCCGTCCATAACCGTTGGCGGTGTACCACCGCAGGCACTCGCCAGAACTGTACTCTTCTAGACAGTATGTACGGTCATTGCCTCAATTGCCGTTCATGCCGCATGGTTCAGGGCTGAAAGCATGCAGGCAGCCCCCACAAGTAGTACAGTCACCGCCTTGATTGCTGTACATGCTACATTGTTCAGGGCTATAAACATGCAGGCAGCTCCCATAATCCATCACTGCTTGGAACCCTGATCGTGCTCGGCTTGAGTCCTCGGCCTGCCTCCGCAGTTACAGCGTTGCTCCATCCTCACGCCTTCCAGGCAAGAATCTATGTGATTTCCACACCCTTTCCTAAGCAGCACACGTATTGCCAAAGACAGGGGGTCCATATATTACTCGCACCCTAGTTGGTGTCTGCAGGTTCATTGGTTTTTGCAAAACCCTAGATAATAATGGGGACGTGCAGCTTTTTCGTTCCACTCTAGCGACTACTAAGGTGTTGGGGTGAAAGTAACTAAACGATTGGCAATGATCAGAGCGACTGGGTTTTCAGGCATGCAGGTAGGCCACACATAAAACTGGATGAACGGCAATGAGAAGGGATACAATAGAAACAAGGCAGAGTTTAGTATGCAAAATTGCTATAGCCCGAGCAAGTGGAAACGTGGATACTATGCAGGAGGCTTATTCCTAACCCATAATGGACTTACCAGGTGGCCTTTCCGCAAGTGGCACAAGTTGTTTGATAGCACATCTTCCTTTGGCATCCAGTACGAACTAGGAAGAAAACGCAGAAAAAAGGGTGTATAACTCACCAAAAACAGTTGCATCCACTAGATACCGCCATGGATTTTTGACGAACATTTCTGCCATGACAGTTTCGGGCGGAGCCCCTGGTTGGCACTGTGCTGCACAGTCGCAAGTAAGGATCCCTTTCCCACAAACCTCGCAGCGAAGAGCGATCATGTTGTAGCTGTTTAAGATCAGTTTTCATCATTCCGGGAGGTTGTCTATTTGCATGATTGGAGGTGTATAGTATATTTTTTCGACCTGCTGGTGGAACCGCTGGTGTAGAGAAGAACTTCAGCCCTGACAGCATAATGCATTGCTGCACTGCGCTTTAGACTACTGAAAGGCAGACTGTCTCTCAATCTTTGCATTTCAAGCTGCTTTTCAGTGTGGTTTGCCTACATATGGGAGAGCAACGGTGGTGAGGTGGGGAACAATGTTCATCCAATTGCCTCCGTGTTATCGTTTCCCATATGCCATACAAAGTGAGAGCAATTTAGAAGCAAAGTGGGTGCACAACTGTGGAATAAAGTGAGAGCAAAACAAGGCATATTGACAAGTACGGCGACGTTGCTCGGCCTTCAGGAGCTAACACGTCCTCACAGCAGCTCCGGTGCCGTAGTCTTCGTCCTACTGGTCCAAACCTCTACAGCACTTCTGTAATAGCTAGGTGAGTCATTGGTCCGTAGAAATTTTTGTTCGCCGTATGAGTTCCTGAACTTGAATCCCGTGGTCGCTGTTTTGTAGTCTTGCTTATGGTGGTGTATACACGACTCCCACAGGTGAGATGGTGCACTCCCCTCGATATGTGGTACCCACAACTAAGGGAAAGTCTTCCAGCATACGCTACTTCTGTGTAAGTAAACTTTTTGTCCTTAAGAAATGCTATATATGTTGGGAAACCTATTTCCAGTAGCCTGCAAAATACCTGGACGAAGAACTACGCCCGAATAGCGTACTTGCGATGGATCAGCGTTGAATTCACTAGCGAAGCGTCATGTTTACTCTCAAACAGCTTTTGTGGTGACATACTACTGGGTAACCATACTGGTAGCGGTTCTAGAGGTCAGAAGCTGACTGCCAACGAAATCCCAGTCCTACATATGGATCCACGCGTTTTATTTCCTTGATGCGATTGGCTTCTTTCACCCTTAGTTGCAGCCAACCGGGGGTCTCGTCTATGAGGGCACTGTATACCATGTTTAGGCATGGAAGGAGATCATAACGTGTACGCCAGTATATGGTTCCAACCGAGCTGTAAAGCAGCGAAAATTCGGGCAACGCAACACGGAGTGGCATCGGCTCTACAGGAGCAGCCGAAGCACAGCTCGAGGTAGATAACTTTTGAAGACTCCCTAAAATTTGCCCTCTCGCAAGCAGTAATACGCGAGCCAGCGTTAGCTAATAAACGGTATCCATGGATTGATCCTGTCTGTTGCCTACACAGCTCAACATGCGATAATACAATTACAAATGAGGACTGATATTTTCAGCTCGCAGTCAGATGTTTCACCGTATGGACTAAGCGGCGTTAAGCCATGAGTTCCATTAATTTTATGGCTCGCATAGTGCTATCGATTCGAAGTGTACATCAAGATGACACAATACTACTGCGTTGGCTGGACGAAATGTCCATCTATAAAACTATGAGAAACTTTATTGCGTCGACTCGACGCACACCAATGAAGTTTCCCACTCCTGTCTCATCTCGGTGTGCGCCAACCAGGACGTCACTCCTGTTGAAGTGGTTTTATATGGCAGCCTAATAGGCCCTTGCCGTGCCACTGGCGGGGTACTAGCCACAGTGAAATGACCCTACTCCCACGTTGCACAACAACTGGCATACGTTCGTTCTCGTAGCGTGCAACCTCTCCAGGCAGCAATTCAAAGATTTGAGTAGCAGTTAATGCACGACTGCTGCTATCTCCGCCAGGTAGGGGCCCCTTTCTATGATTCTGAGTAGAGCCCGCTGCTGCATTCCGTCCGACCGGAAGGCGCAGAGTGCCAAGACGTAAGACTCGGTCACCAGCAGCTATTCCTGCAATGCCACTGGGGCCGCCCGGCTGTAGAACATCCACTACCGCGAATGCGGGGCCCTCGTCTGAAGCAAATGCAAAAGAGGCAAATGGGGGAGTAGCATAATACAGCAAGTCCTGCAATACCTTAAACGTTTAGCACTTCGGGTTGTGCAGCTTCAATCACAGATAACCTGTCTAATTGCCTCAATCAGCGCTGCAACGCTGGCTTGATTCTTCCGGCATGGGTCTTTACCTTCAATCGGAGGCGGGGGCACTTCGTCCTGCTCTCCAGCCACTTCGGTAGTGTCTGGTTGCTTAGGTGCTCTAAGGTCCTGCTGATCGATCTGCGCTTTCGCCGACTCCGCATGCACACGCAACAGTATTTCCTCAAGCTTCCGCTGCACCTCCCGGTAGTCTGTCTGTAGACAAGCCAGCTGATTCCGCGCACTACGCACGGCATGCACATCGATATCTGCCCTAGGAAAACCCTCCTCATCAACCAAAGGGCCCTTTAGACCCGGCATCCCTGAGGCAGCGGACACAGTTCAGACACTGCAGGCAATACAAAGAGAAACTAGGCGCGGCGTAACGACCAAGAGTGTAGCTTCTAGCAGTACCATCAGCAGAGGCCCAAAGAAAGGTGCCAAGTAGAACTAGGGTTGAGGAGGGCATTCAAGGCATCCCTTGACGAGCATCAGATTCCATGGAAGCACGACGGCCAGCCTGGCCACAGAGTCGTGTAGCTGAGTTCGCTGTGCCTGCAGCAGTGCAAACAAAGGTTTTTCAAGCCCACCTTCGGATGTAAGAAAGCTGGCGATAGCCTCCATTCTCTCTTCAAGCATCTGCCGCTGTTGATACATCTGCTCAGCTTCGACAGCTGGGGAACAGGCAGCCTCGCATTTTGGGGGTACCTCAGTCGCCATTATTAACATCAATGAGGTGCCTGAAAAAACACTGTGATAGTATGGGGCGTCTTTGGCGGCCAATGACCAACACTCTCCGCTAATCATGAACCGCCCACTGTAAGTGTTTCCGTCAGTGCATGGAAGCTGCCTGACCTGAAGAAACCTGCGTCCCGTACTGTGCACAGTACAAGTTTACGGCTTGAATTTATCTGTAGCAACCCTTAAGTGCAGTCCTGCAATATTACATCAGGTACGCCACCACTCCACAGAGCAGCGAACGGGGCTGGTGGGCGCCTGTTCTGGTATTATTAAACGTGCATACAGTTCGCAGAAAGCTTAACATAGGATGGTGGATATGCTGGACCGTTCGCTTTGGTGTAAGCTAAACGAAGAAGATGTTAGCACCCAATGAGTATCCGTGCTCATCAGGCTGAAGTCGATCCACGTCCATTACGCGAAAAAAGTGCCGTAGAAATCTGGGGCTTTGGTACGGTAAATTAAGAACATGTGTCTGAGGAATTATAAATCGAAAACACACCCTCAAAACACTTCCTTGTCAAGTGCTGTGCAGTGTCCGAAGTGATAAAACTCCTGTACCCACTGGCGCATGCAGGGCGCAGCGCGAGGGAACGCACTCTTCCGGTCTTGTCACAAATGGCCGCTCATATTTACGAGAAGGAGGGAGTTTCTTTTCATGATGAGTAACTACTAATCAAAACAAGTTTGTAGCTGCCAGTTTTCGACACCGGTGATAGCTCAGTTGGTAGAGCGGCAGACTGTAGATGCTGCGGGAATCTGTTGGTCCCTGGTTCGATTCCGGGTCACCGGATGCGTTTTACTGTCTGTGGGGACGCTAGGTGTTCAGCGTGAACTTCGGTGCAGCGCTTTGTTTATCATCTTGAAAATGTAATTAACAAGATCTATGGGTAGCGGTGGCAAAGTTTTAGAAACCTTCGTAGAAGACGGCCACTGTCTACCCAGCAAAGAGCCCTAGTCCAGAGAACGCAAACGAATACAGCTGTGTGGACGCTATGCCTTGCACCTTGAAATGTGCAGCAGAAGCTCCAGAGTGACACCAGCAGTCGGTTAGCTTTTCGCCACGTCGAATGCTTGGCCATTTATTTCTAGTGAAAGTATTTGATCAGACCCGGCATGGGGATACATAGAGCAGCAACCTTCTAAAACTGAAAGAGTCTCTGTCAGTACGAGGAACCTGCTGAGCACTTCATTCGTTTTCTTACGAACGCCAGTCCGAAGGCAAGAAGCGATGGTGGTTCGCGTCTACAGCCACTACACTCTACCTGGAAAGGCTTTTTCCTGAGCCAGCTAGTGCCACCCTCACCGGGCGACTCTAACCGTGCCAAGCAGTCGCACTCGTCCACATGGAAAGCCTCTACATGTCCCAGTGTAATTAATCGATGTAATGCATCTCGCATGGCTCCCTAATTAGTGCCGCTCGATGCAACCTAGTCTTGGAACACCTGTACTAAGCCTTGAACACTCACTCGCAATTTAGTTCTCTAATTGCCATGCTGGTTTGAATCCACCGTACCCAAAGAGGGAGAGACCGATATACAGAGAACGCAAGATTACAGCACGAGATCAGCAGCTGCTCCTGCAAATACTGGAGTGTCCTATTACATCCCATAGGCACATCTAGCCAAGAGTTAGACAACTGACCTAGCTTCAGAATCGTGCTTCATGTGGCAACTACAAAATGCCGTAGCATGCGCAACAACAGAAACTGATACAAGCCGAAAATGCAGTGCAGTGCATAAGGGCTCAAAGTTCATGCGCAGTGTTTGGAGAGATGTTCAGTCTATCCGAAAGACAGAATTTATCGTGTGCACGAAAATGCAGATGCCTCGCATCATCAGCTGACTGCCGTGCGCTTTGGCAGCTGCTGTCGTAGTGCTAACGCCAGGACGTCCGTGTGCCCCCCTCCTCCCCATCATCCATACATCCGCTACACCACCAACATCAACAACCAATAACAAAACACTACCCTTTGTGAAGAAAAAAGTATGAGTAATCACTTATTCTTCGTCAGCCTCCTCCGGGGTAGGTGAGCTCCCCTCCGCGGTTTCTCCGTCCTTCTCCTCTGTCAGCTTCTCCTTCTTTGCTAGGGCCGCGATTTTCTCGTTCACTGTCTGTATCTTTGCCATGATGTCCGCTTTCCGTTCATCAACCTAAGAAGACAATGAACGGAATATGATACTCTGACAGGCACAGTGACCCATTCGGTCAACAGCTGTGCGCCTGCTAAAGGCACTTGCCCGAATCTGCAGGAAACGCCAATGTATGGCGTTCACGCCCACTGTCTCGACGAATAATAGGCCTTCCAATAGAATTCCACGCACGGCGCACGGATCAATTAAATGTGGTTGTAATGCGCATAGGCTACGTTAGGGCGGAGTTTACGGAGCTTCTACTCTTGGATGCGCAGCAGCAATTCGTGAAAGTTTTGTGCCAATGAACTGCATTGATAGCCATGGCCTGCCGGGCTCCCTGGCACGCTAACGGGTGTCTATTACGGTCCTACGGGCCACAGTGGACCTCTTACTAACCTTCATAGCGCTCTCTTGTTGCATTTCTTTGTACTTTCGGAGCTTTGCGTCAAGCTTCTCCAGGCAGGAGGGAATGTCTTCTAGCGTAACCGGTGCAGTCAGCTGTTCACAACAAACCAGCAGCAATCAGAGCCGTGAGACCACGGAAATTCCTTGAAGCCTGCAGCCCACTGATTCACTGTAAGGATAGGCAGACGATTTGTTAAGGCAGCCACGCGTCCACACAGGGTAACACTCGACGAAACAGCTCTATAGACACACCCGCAGCATTTAGTAACGCCGCTCTAGAACATGATGGCACACCATGAATAATTTTCGACTCCATTGTAACAGCATCGTCTGCGTCATTCCCATCCGCTAACAGAAATATGCCGTCTGCGTGAATGGACAGACAGACTAAAGCTGCACATCCAAGTCGCTGATCTAAAACTACATTGTGGCGTCTTACTCCGCATTGTTCGAAGTAGGTCAGGGTTCCCACGTCGTATTTGAGGATCTTAGGTTTTTCCTTTTTCTTCTCATGGTCCTTCCCCTGTTTGCTCTTCTGCTTGGGAGCGAAAAAGAAGACCTCCTTTCGCTGACTCTTTGGTAGAAGAGCGCCTGCCAGCTGCAGAGAAGCCCATGCACGCACCCGATGCAGTCCGCCAATTCCAAATCAACTACTTTCATATTTTCGTTTTTCCATTTTCACCATACTGGCTACGTAATGATCCAACTACGCCGAATAGAAGCCTTTCTCAATCAACCATGTATCTGACTGCTCCTGTAATGCAACTTCATGAAGCCCATGTAAAGTGCCTGGCACCTGCTTTTGTGTTAATGTGCCGTGGGAAGCAAGCAGCAACCGTAGCATACGTTCTCATCTTCTTCATCTGCCTTCTTCTCTTCGGTTGTGGCGGTACTGGGCTCTTCAATGATCTTTTGCAAGTATTGAATGGTCTGGGAGAGCAGCAGACACTCTGCCTCGTACGGTAACTCCGACTCGACCCGTTCCAGGTCGCGGGTTAGCTGGAACCGCTCGTTCTCCAAGTCGCGCCTCTCACGCTCCTCACGCATCTGCAATCAAGTCATTAAATGGCAGACTTTTGCTTTTTAATGAACTTGAACCACCGGTTTATCCACGAGACGCTGGTTCACGACAACGCGCTCTGCTTTAAGATGCCGATACCTAGGAAGAATATATCGCTATTATGGTAATTTTTAAAGTTACCTTGAGGCCGCGTTCACGCTTCACTTGTTGCATGTAGGCTTGATGATTTTGCATCTGACACAAGCATAGTGGAAGGCGAAATACATTGAGGCAAGTGCGTAACCGCCGCAGCCCAGGATTCTTCGTCTGCGGCTTATATTCTACTGCGCAATGCAAGTTGTTTTAATGCCTCGGTTGAAACATAAACTTCAGTGGCCTATTACGTACCTCGCGATTCAGCTCCGCTAGAATCTCTCGGCGCTGCGAAGAGCAAAAGCACGTGAAAAAAACCACCGCGGTAGCATACGAACGAAAAATCCGAGCTCACTGAATGACTTTCAATTTCAAGTTGTGTGAAATAATATGGCTTAAAACAAATTAGATAGAATGAATAACAAAAAACCTCACGTTCACAAAATGCGTGCTCATCTCCTTATTTAAACGGTCCCTTTCCTCAATCATTTCCCGGCCAGGAGCAGTCGCCCTCTGCCTGCGACACCAGAAGGAGCGTTGAGCCAAGCTACCGAATCACACAAAGCCCACTGAAGACTATTGATGCCTAAACAAAGCTGCGCAAGAGAACAACTCGAGAGGGCATCGCACGTAGCAGAGAGCAGGTCGCAAGAATGCAAGCGCCGAGTTGGCAGGAAGGAATGCAAACTCAAGGCAGCCTTCAAGGCCGGATCCATGGTCTTTGTCAAGCGATTTTTTGGTGTTACCTTTTTTCGAGCAGCTCCTTGTATTTTTGGCTTTCCTCGCGCTTTTGCGTGCGGAGCTCGAGCAACTTCGTGCGAACCTCATCCAGCATGGCCCTCAGAGGTACTGAGCGGGAAAACGAGAGGGGGAAAGCATGCTACTGACAATGCATGCACAAATGGAGACAGAGGCAATGCTCTGCTGGGTTAGTGGCTACGTCCGGGGAATTTACAGCACTTTCTTGATAAGGTCCTGCAACTTTTCGGTAATGTCAAGGTCGCTTATGTCCGCAGATACTTCCACTATTCACTAGCCACAGGCACGGCTCGAAATAGATGCTTCTCCTGCTATTTTAATCAACTTGCATCTAACGTACCGACGGATGAATCCTCAATGCTGCTGGCGTTTTGCTCGAGCGCCTGGTACTTAAACAGCAGGGGTTTGCTGTTCTTAAGCCTCTTAATTTCCTCCAACAGCCTTTTCTCCTCCTTAAGAGAAAGTGTCGAAGTCATCATGCTGTGCTCTAGGGCCGCCACCTTCTGGTCTATGTCTTCAATGGACGAGAAACCGATCTTCCGACGCAGATCTGATGCGGACTGCTTCTGCGGCAAGTCCAAGAGAGTATCAAAAAGTGTTTGGCAGTATAGAAACGAAAGAAACCGGCTCAGGAAGCCTAAGAGGACAGCCTTTAAACACAGGCTTTTATTCCTAATGGAAGAAAGCACACTAAGGCATAGGGGGATCCCAATAATTTTCAAAGCGTGCAAATGACTCACCATTTCGGCACCCTCTTTCTGCTTTGACTGGATCTTCTCGAAGAGAACTTTGCGCTTTTCCTCGAGCTCATCAATTTGCTTCTGAACAGCGAAGCCGCAAGAGAAAGAAATATGCGAGACGCGATGCAAGGGACCTATGATAACAGCTTGCACGGAGGTTTAGGAATCGCACTGTAATATTCTGGCTGTTTATAGCTCAAAGTGCGAAGCAGGAAACAAACAGACTGGCAGTAGCGGAGAGACATCCACCGCCACACACTACATACCTGCAGAGCATCTAGGCGGGCCTGCCTATTTTGCTTTTCCATGTTGTATTCCTCCCGCCCGCCGATGACGGCGGAGATTTTTTGTTGGAGCTCATTCTGCACAACCCATGCAAAAGATGTCGCACGAAGCCACTATCTCCGCCCTCATAAAACGGCAGACCGCGCAAGGAGACTCCATATAAAGCGCATTCCACATGCAGCAGGATCACGTAACTCCCGGCGCATTAATACCAAATGTACCCCAGTAGAGAATCGCCCCAAAGTGAGAAACGGATCCAATTGCTTTTTTGCGAAAGTGTGCGTCACACGGAGGCAGGTACCGCCATGTGGTGGAAGGCTGTTATGAATGTCCGTAAGTGGGCACTGGGCGTGAAAGTAGGTTGGGATGGTTTTGCATGGACTCTCTGTTAATGCCCCCTGTACTCCCCGAAGAAAGGTATTTAAGCAGTCTAGAGCGGTAAAGTTGCGGCGCGAAGGCGGACGCCAACTAGAAGGCGCTTTGCAGACACGGCATGCACTGTCTGCGCGTTCCGTGTATCGTCAGCTGCTCTCTACAGGCAGAAGGGTAGCTTCCAGCTATAGTCATAAAGATCAGATCACACAGACGCGAGTATGGAAGAAAGATCCGACGCACGATCTTCGCCTTCAGCTCCTCAATAGCCGCTGTCTCGGCCTGCACGCGGTCCCTGTATAACTTCTCGTCCGGCTTGGGCACGGGCTCCAGCTTCTTGGTCTTGTCTACTTTCCCCGCCATTTTGCTTGGAGCTGGCCCTCGTCGCCCCGGAAGCGCAGAGAGCCGAGAGAGTGCAACTCGGGACGGACAGGTCGCTGTAGCACGTGCGCGTGCGGGGGCGAGGAACTACTCCAGCGTACGCGCAGCAGACCCCGGCGGCGGCTCAGAGCTTCCTGTTTGCTCCTTAGAAATGGACCAAAGGTATTTCTAGAGGGCCCCCTAGCGGGGGTTCGCGAGACAGGCCCATGGGAGCCATGCAGGACTAGGGGAGGGGTTGCTCGCAGCCCCGGACGCTCGGCACATCTGACATTGGCCGCCTCCGCAAAAAACGGCCAAAATCTTGAACATCCCCGCATTATGAGGCTGCTATGGACTTCTAAGTCGACTATGATTCTCCTTGTATTGCTACTAGTACGGATACAGAGAAGGACGGAGCATGCAAATACTTGAAAAATGCACACGCAGGTTCTCTGAAAGGTGTTGTTCAGTATCGCAGCCAGAAACGCGACTATTTACCATTTTGCAGCGAGTTTTGCGGGCTTCCCAGTGCCATTCAGTGATGCTTCTTGGTTCCTGCTCGTCCGTTCGCCCACGGTTCTGTTTCTCCTTGGGGGACTGCGTTGTTTACCGTTTTTTTCATGGCGGCTCCAGAAAGTAGCTGATAGTTTTCTTGACAGAATGTTTGCCTGCATCTATAAAAGTAAGTTTCTATTCCCTGTCCTCGAGGCTTTAGAGCCTTGGGCAGTACGAAAGGAACAATCAGGCTGAAGAGGGGGCTGCACACAGGTACTTATCAAAGGTCCGTGCAGCAGGGATTCGTGTGTCTCAGACAGGCTTAAATACTTGATTAGTCAAGCTAGGAGGGTACAATGGTGAAATTCACCCAGACACTTCGTATGGCAACACTATACTCAGGTGTTCTTACAACCGTTTTTGAGGGCTTCCATCAACGACTTCAGTTAGAGGACCCTTAATTCCAGACTCAACGGAATCCTAACAGAGATGTGAGGGAATGCTCCTTGAAACAACTCATGCCTTTCCCTGGCCGTGCTTCGCAGCGTTCCCCATTTGAGGGCAAGGGGGCACCTAGGCTGGGCGTTGCTGCGCCCTGTAAGTACTCCTAGCATTCACAGGCACAACATGGCGTCTTCAGGTATTGAGCAAAGAATACCATGCAGCAGATAATACATTCGTACAAAGGAGTTAGTCAGATCCTTGCCGATTTTTAGTCAAGTGCAAGTAGTACAGTGGACTGCTAAAGCGCGACAGCCCACTGCCCTTGTCCACGTGCCGATGTCTAACCACACGCCCTCATGTTCGTTACCTGTATGTCGCGATCAGCCGCATGCAGGAGAGCGGGAAAATTGCCGTACTATCACAACTCCTTTGACAGGCGGAAACGCCAAAGCAACACGAAAAAGAAAGCCGAAGCGCATAATAACCACTGGAGCGAAATCGACGGGAAGGCAGACGCATTGGCCAACAAAGAATGAGCGACTGAACGAAAGCAAATAGCAGCGGCACGACGGCTCGAGTTTATTGGTGCGCTGAGATATGAGCATCCTACTCCGGGACAGCCGAAGGCAACTAAAATGTGTAAAGGGAGATAAAAAAGGATACCAGTTCAGCAGTACCTCTGCGCCCAACAGAGTAGTTCCTATATGCGCATACAGGCTTCAAAGATCCAAAAGAGACAAAAGCAAGAATTTAGTAATAACAAATGTGAGTGTACCATTGCTGAACCAAGTAGAGAGCACGAATAACAACCAGCTACTTTTCAAACACTATACATAGATGATATTTCAGGCAGAGAATGCACTGGAGAGGGAAAATTACCAAGGAACCCGTGCAACAACTGTCCATGGCGGCTAGTATTGTAGCTCAAAAACAGCTGTAAAGTCTTGCGCAGGTAGCAGAACCCGCAACTGCTCTTCCATCAGCTGCTGAGACTAGCATTCCCCACAGCACCTTAGTAGGAAATATCATCTAGTAGCTCCTCGGTTCTCATCAGTCTTTGAGTCCAGCACTTTGAGGAGTCCCTGGAGATCCTCCCTTGCAGCAGTCGCTTGCCCGCGCGGTATGATTCAAGAATAATTGGTGGGATTTCAAAATTTCTTAGGGAAGCCGATATTGATAGTCCTGTGGCGTCTAACGCTTTGGGAAATCGGTAAAGTGAGAGAGGGCATTTACTCGTGAGAGGGTGGCGAACGATCCCTATCCCCTGGACACAAGCTTCTTAGAATGCTCATCGTATAATTTAGCTTGTACAGCCCGCTGATCCAATAAACAGAATATTTTGGCTCGAAAGCACGCAGCCGAACGCTGTGTATCACGATTGCGTGCTTGCCACTCATGAGCTCTTTGTGCGTGCATTCGCGTTCACTAGTCGGCGGTTCTCCATATCCTTTCGCTGCTAGGTGTGGCTGGCGACCTCAGACCACCAGGCCCGTAGTAGACAAGGGCCCCTCGAGTTAGATAAGGTGCGCGGGAAAGCAATGGCTATACGATTATTGTGTGTTATTACAGGCCCACTTAGCACAGGGAGGAAGATCAAGCCATATGCACGTTATCTGCCTCAGAGTGGTCCACAGTGGCCATATTATGTTCAATGTGTATGCTGGTAGTGAGGGCACGTCACAATGCACTTATGAACTTCGGATCTTTATCGGTGGGATCATTCCTGAAGTTCACAGAGATGAGTCAAGAGTGATTGAGCAATTTGTTGAGCCTTAATAGAGCAGGAGCAGGGGGTGAAATTGCATACATTGCTAGTCCGTCGGCAGGCAAATCGGTGTTGTCATGACACTTTTTTTCGCATCAGTTCATATTTTCTCAGTAGCCGGAAGGCTCTGCAAAATCCATGCGTAGAGGAATTACAAAGCCTTAGCTGCTAGCCATCTGCGCATGAAAGCGCATGCTTTTTAGCGGCGAAGCCCATCCCGGGCCCGTAGAAGAACCGTGAGAGCTTTTGCACTGTAGTGTCAATCCCATCATGGCGTGAATAAACAAGCTCAGCCGCTTTGCGCAGAACCGCACAGCGGAGCGAATTCGGAGTGTACACGCAACAGAGTCCTCGGCTTCTGTTGAACCACAGCAGGCCATTCTTTACGTAGCAGCAATTCACCCATTTGCGTGTCGAGACTTGGGCAAGGTAGCGAAGGCTTGGGTGTTGAAAGCGTAACACGCCTGCAAGTTTGTCCAACAGCAACCAAAACGCATCACAGACGAGCGGCTGCGCTGCACAACAATGTTTTGGGGGGCCTAGCAAGAGGGCGTCGGCGAATGCGATCGTGATGCACCTAGTATACTTCACTGTAGGAAAAGAAGTGCGGCGACCAATGAACAAGTTTAGGGTTATCGAAATCCCGAAAGCTCCTCTTAGCTCACGTAAAGGGCTGATGGCCTGTCTAGACTGTTAAGTGATGCCCATGAAGATAGTGTCAGTGCTTTTTTAATTCCCCCACACTGCATAGATATCCTTTTCCCGCACTGGGCACCACTGCTTGGTTGTAGGGAAGTAAGAACAATAACGAGCGAAAATTTGGTGTTTTCAAGAGCCAGTAGCCTCTTAGCAGAGAATTACATTCACTGCCACGTCACTGGCATCGGTCGACAGGAAAAGCGGTTCTCGTAATAGGGCAGCGCATATCCGAGGGTTAGGATGACAGGACAGCGCCCTTGCTGCGGCGTCAGCCCACTCTATAGGTCATAGACTACGTTCTAAGTAAGTCTGTCAGCACATAAGGGAATGAATTTTGGTAATAGCGTGCAAGCCCGTGGGATTTCGCACCGTCTTTGCTGGATCGCAACGATAATAGTCACCCGTTGATTGGTTAGGATTTTTTTGGGACCTGAGTCTATTCCAGGAGCTAAAACTCGGAATCAGGGGAGCACAACTGTTTCCACGAAAATCCAGCACTTGCGTGCTGTCACACACCATTGCTTTTCCCACAACAGTTGATGTGCACATCGTAGGTGCTTTAGGTGCTCTGGAACATTTTGACTTCATACTGGTGCCATTCATCCAGAGTGCCAACACCCTGCCTTGACAGGCACACCAACGTCCTTGTCCACCTGGTATCGTAGTTCAGCTGGGGCATTACCAAGTCCAATTTGCACACAGGTATACTCTAATTTGCCATAGCGGCCGTGCAAGCTGGCAAGTAGTCGGTGAAAATGAGGTAGTGGGAACTTCTGCTTCGGAGGAAACTTGTTTAGGGGTTTACCATCAATGCGCATATCCCGTTTTCTGTTCTTTTTGGCACGAAAACCTGCTTCCACCCGATGACACTGGCTGATTTCTGCATGGCGGTTTTTCAACAGATAATCTGCCTGCCGCTCAACAGCCTCGTTAGGCTGTGGGAGCTTCCGATGTTGCGGCGCACAGCTTGGGGGTGACCCACGGATAACCTTAATACGCTGCTCTTGACAGCCAGCAAGTGGCCATCCTTCTTGTAGCCAGTCATTACTTGACACATCTATGGACTCCCCCATAATAGTTGCCCATTAGCTGTTCCTCTATTTAACGCTTTTAGCAGATTCCGTGAATACAGAATCCGTTGTAGAGCGGCTAAAGTGCAATGCATGCAAACAACCGTCTTCCTTCACCGCATTGCTGAGCCCCCACACGAGGACTTGGTCTCAACTTATTGCGGTACCGACGCCACCATGCTCTGCGTAAATTATATAAACATTGCTGAAGACACAAGGAAGCGTATCTTCTTAGAAATATCGGACATACTACACTCCAAGGAGCGCAGCTGTACCGTACGTGGGATGTTCACGGCAAACTTTTCGATATCTAGTCGTGCCTTGGTCGAACTGGGACAGGTTTACGCGAGAGGTCATGGTTTATTGAGATCCGTTCTAATTTCCATTTGAAGTAGCACCTAAGCGATGCAGCCTTGCCAATCCGTGTGTCTTGCTGCCCGTCAACAAACCAGAGTCATAGGACCGACGCTAAAGAGCAAACAGGCAGATGCACTTTTGCAGCATTTCATCGGATAGCAAATCCACTTCACATTCAGTGTCAAGTAATGCTAGCGCTTCTTGGCTACTAATGTTACTTTTTATCAGCGTAGAGTTGAACCGTGGGGAGTCCCCAAGTATGAATTTACTTTTCTGCGTCCCCCTTCACTGCGCCGTACCATGCATGGGGTCCTTCCTTTTCCTTCTGCTCCTTTGCTCGGCATGCTGCCTGCTCGAACTGGGGATGGACACTCTGGTCAAGCTCTTTGGTTTATTTATCTGCGTGCAGTCCTGGATTATTTGACCCCTACTCCACAATAGGGGCAGATGCGTTGTTGGGAGTTGTCTGGTGCTGCTTTGGATCTCGGGTTCCGTCTTCTTTTTCCATTCTTAGCTAAGACTGTAAGCTGCGGTCTATTGACGCACTTCCGACATCCATGACCTTCGAATTCCGACTCAGATCTTCCTTTTCAGCTCAAAACACAGGAGGCGCACTCATCTGATCCTGAGTTGTTGGATTTCCACCAGCTGCGACAGGCATAACGGTCGGCTGTAGGATGACTGAGTCTCTATCCACCCTGTTATGTTACTCTGGATAGACCTACAATAAATCGCTGAAAAGCAGCTGAATGGCTATGTTGTACCTATTGAAATTCGAAGGTCTATATTAGTATACTACCAACTGTTTAACCATGCTTTAACGCCCTTAATTTTCCTAACGCTTACTTTTGAGCTGACATCAGCATACACTTATGCGTGGGAACTTGTACAAAGGCTTGAAGTATATCGGTCTCTGAATGCAGGTGACTTCTTCGACACGAATCGAACCTCTGCTGAAGTACCCCTCCCCTCCGATTAACATGTCACAAGGAGCACTCCTTCCTGCTCACCTGGGAGTTACAGAACGATGTATATCTCCCACCACCTGATTGAATCGTTAAATACTTCTCCATCCTGGAGGCCATCATACTTACATGCTTAGTATGACCACATAGACGCATCCATCAACATTTCATCTCCTGATATGCGTATTTCTACTAGGTGTCGAGCTAGTGTGTTCACATTAGTTTTGCAGGGAGACCTCTGCTCACCCTTGAAAGCGTTGTGCCCGAGTGTACTTCGATCGCTAGAGGCCGACCCCCAGATTTGTCCAAAAACAAATTACTGAATTACTAAGTGGCTATATTGAAACAAGACTAGTGTTGTAGTGAAACCTTGTATCTTGCAGCACCCTCCGCCAGTGGATGGGCGGAGAAAAGCTTCAACGAACCACACGGTGCTACCAACTGTAACGCCCTATCTAAGATCTTCGTACGGATATACTTAAATTGAGACTCAATGAAGGCTGAATAGAAAGTTCTTGAGTAATTTCAAAGGAACACCCGCCCTCTCCGCCCGCAGCTCTCAAAGGCCGCGACATTAGAGGAGACGGTTAGCTAGACATTGCCTAGCTGCACCCCGTAAGCACTCCAAGCCTGCGCAGCTAGTAACACATTGCACCTAGTGCACCCATACAAAAGTCTGAATCTTCCCGCATCGAGCTAGCAGTACTCTGCGAAAGCCAAGATCTATAGCTAATCTAGCTTTAAGCCTGAATAATTGACGCACTTGCCTGAACATCCCTCTCCGTAGCTCGGATCATTGGAGATAATCTGGTTAATGGAAATATCTAAAGCTTCCAGAACCTAAGACTGCGGCCCATCAGACTCATCTGCCTATGTAATCCGCAAACAGGCAGCCTTTTCAGCCTTTCAACCCTCCTGAGCGCATGCATATAGTTTGTTCCTACGCAAAGCCAGAAGAATGCGTATATATCGTGTTGCCTGAGTCACGGAAATCTGTAGCAACAAAGCAGCCCCGCATGCGGCAGAGCGACTAAACAAATATATTACAAACTTATGTTAAAGTAACCACCAAATTAGGTACTAATGAATGTGACTATCGGGTCACAAAGCCTGGTTTGCATTAAAGCTGCCAACATAACCGCCTTGCATTGCCAGTGGTGTGGGCCATTTTTACTAAAAGCGACTCAATGTTTTCTAGCTACAGTGCACAGGATATGCCACGACACCGACCTAATCGCATTAAGAAATGTTTTAAAAGCGTAATATAAGGATGTGAAGCGACTATATCTGTTTTTGTTCAAAGTAGACCATGGCCACTCAGATCGAACCAACCAGGGCACCAGCAGCAACCTGAGGAGGGTATGTCATCCACTGTGGTCCTAGTAAGCGCCTAGAATGGATAGCTACCTAAAATCACGGAAAATGCAAAAGGTGTAAGCCTTTTACTGCATTACAGCTCATGGTTGGGTACCAGCAGGTACGCGCCTCGGGTGTGCGGCAGAGGCCTCAACGACGGCTAGCCAGTGCTTTCAATAGCTTCTGCGACAAACTGCAGCCTTCATTCAATATAAAACTCAAGCATTACGAATAGGTATCAGGTCTCTGATCCCAGGTCATCATCTCACTTCAGGTATTTCTTAATCAGTCGTCCTGATTATCCGGTGGATCCACAGACACATTGCCATTCAGCATTCTGCGGAAAACTATCCTAAAGGTACGTTCCTGAAAACATCTGCACCTGGAAAGTATTCAAGTCTAATTGAACCAGGCTTTTTACTAGTAGACTCTGGAGCCTTCTGAGTTGGTTTTCAAAACCTGAAGCAGTTCCGCGAAGTTAACAAAAATGGAGCCCACAAACAACTCCTCCCGGACCCGAGAGTTTTCTGCACCAGAGAGCGAGCAGGGTCAAGCAGGACGAAAGAGTTTCTCTACCAGCTCTGTGGCGAGTAGGCCTACCACCCCTGCTGCTAGTGTACCTGTTGGATACGAGCGCACTTGGAGCCATTTTAAACGATCTTTTTGTCGTGGTTTCTACGTTCCTGCGCCTATTAGGCTTATAGATACCGTATACTGTTTCTATTTAGTAGTTTCTGAATGCATCACGGCTCTCCTATCCGGTAGAGGAAGCTTGCACGATCTGTGTGATAGAACCTTAACAGCTATTTGTTCCGCTGCTGCCAGTTCTCAGTTGGATGTCTATATGGTTTTTAACCCATGTGTCATATGCACAGGTGAGGAGGGCCTTATTGCTGGCTTCATAAGCAGGCTAAGCTCCACATTTGGTATCCCCTTGGGAAGTTTGCAAAGCCGCCCAGAGATTCAGACCTCTGGAGAGGAAGTGGTGGCGGACCCCTCAATGCAGCCGCGGACGGATCAAGCTCCAAGAGACTACGGCTCTGGTTTGCCGGGATACCCAAAGCATAGCTGTGCATACTTTGATAGCACATTTGGACGCTCCAAGGATGCCCCCGAGTTCGTGAGCCTGTTCAAACTTCTAGATGTGCATGATGACAGACTGATAGGCCCCAGGCTTTCTGGCTTCCCGAAATGCAAGCTTAATTTTCCCCCTCTACCTGCGGACAAGCTTGGCACTCCAACGTACGACTACCGCGATCTCATAGGATACCGTATGGACTTCCACCCATACGTGGTACGCAGAAACACTTCCTTGCCAAACGACACGCATGAAAAGATGTTAAGAACAGAAGCCCCCGTTTAGCAGAATATGGTGGCTGCAGTACAATAGTCTCGAGAGGTAATCATGGTCGTGTAGTGCTTTGAAGACATTCCTTCCAGCCCTGGCGGAATTTGTGTGTTATTGTGCTATATTACAGAACGCTACAATGAACCCCGAAGACCCTGCACGCATGTATGTGTGCGCAAACTGGATGGTTGGGTACCCATATGGAGTCCCAGCAGTCGAAGAGAATGAAAGAGCACAATTGAAAATGGCATAGGTCGCCACATCCACAATTTGGTCGTACGCCGTGGACTGATGTGGGGCATAGGAGGCGGCGTATGCTTTAGGTAGAGGGGTATCAAGACGTATATTATATAGCGGTAAAATTGCACTAAGATTCTTATCCAAGAAAGCCGCCAATCAGGCAATCCTGATGAGGCAGGTCACGGCGCATGGTAGCATAAAGCCCTGGTGTTAACAGTGCAGTGCGGAACACTCATGCTGTGTTTGCGCTGCTTGTGGCTGCGCATTTGCACCGTTCTCGGTTTTCCTCGCGCGCCAGTTGACAGGTATTGAACTCATGGTACAGACTGGTATGCTTCATAATACTACAACTATTGGTTTCTTTTTACAACCAGAAGCAGTGCCACTATAAAAGCAGCTATTCGAGAGGTGTTCGAAGCTGTTGTTTTGCCCTTGTTTAAAGCGCAGCAGCTGTTGAAGTGCATCGATTCCGCTGCATACCCGAAGCAGAATTTGAGCGGAGGTGGTCTTTGCGTAAGTGGAATGTTATAGCCAGCCACGAGCTAATACTGCTTCCATCATTGATCATTGGGTTGGTGGGTGCTCCGTCAAGGTGGATTCATTTAGTTCTACCGTCCCAATTGATGAATGAGCAGAAGATATAGCAGCATGCGTGTTTGTTGATACGTGTTACGTATTCTGCAAGGAGTTCCTTCTTGAAACAGCCCTTTGAAATTGGGTGATGTGCCCTCGCTCCACCATCTGAAGCTGCGGAGCATAGGAACCAACAAAAAATGAGAAAAATCTGGTTGAAGTACGTACTTCATGAGGAACAAAGCTGTGTAATTAGCTCTGTGGCACGCAGGCTGCATAAATGACGCCATTTCGTCGGCACTAAACAGTGCACAATCGACTAGTTTACATTTCTAGATTACCTGAAGCAGCAGCCACTTCGCGGCCCGTTTTCGCAAGCCGTGCCATAGGCTTCCCGCATGTTGCAAATCTTGGTCGTTGCTCGCAAAACTGCCTCGCGAACGGCTGGAGTCGTGTCCAGTTTCCACAGCATGCTTGGGTAGTAGGTCTAAAGGCTGTGATGTGTTGCCTCGGCGTGGCAATGAATCATCCTCTGCGTCACTATTATCTCCTGGGTGGAGATCCACAATCTTGAAGAATTCATGAGTGCACATCCCCAAATCTTCCGCGCCGCATTCAAGAGGAACAGAAGTGGGTGTACACCCAAATGCGAAGTCCATAAGCGCATGCGCAGATTCACCCCAGCCCTTTGGAGCTCGCTTTTCGATGGAATCATGCCGAGCAGACGCTGCAGCTGCTGCTTTACTACGGAGATGCACCTGTCTCTGTACTGCATCTGAGAGCTCGAGAGCCACCAAAACTGAGCAACAGTTTGAACCATCGCCGCCATTTCCATTGACTCTGTGAATGAAGCCAATAAGGGAAGAATCAAAAACAAGTACGGGACCCACTGGCCAGCCTATGAGAAGCACACACTTGGATCCCAGCAAGACTAAAACAACGAGCCCAGCCTGGCGCGTTGACCTGTGATCTAGCAATTGCCCTCTACTTTCTTTAGTAGGGTTAGCGGCTTCCCTCGCCGCGCATGCAAGGGCTCTTGCAAGAGCTGCTGCTGATTTTGTTGGGTGCCGATCCAACATATGTGCAATGTATGGAAGTTGATGAAACTCCACGAGGCGCATGAGCACCAGCTGCACGAAAGAATCTTCAGGTTCCACTCGTCTCAGGACGTTCCACCGCCAACAAAGCAATCGAGGCAAAGGAAGGCGTGGAGCTTCGGGGCAGCTTGCTGGGGTGCTAACAGCCGCTAAGACCGCGGTGGCTACTGTGTGCTCAGTGAGTCCCTGCGAAATCCACTGCATTCTCGAAGATATTGAAGAGCTCGCCTCTGAGCGAATCTGTTCCAAGAGCTGATCCAGAAGCCTCTGTCGATGGTTGATAAGGATGGGATGCTGCGAATATGGTAGGTGACTCAATTGCTGTTCCCATCCGCGAGCAGCCAAGGAACCTAGCTCCATAATGCCAGTGGCAATATTCAGCACCAAGCTTGCTACGGCGACCGCCAGGCCCTCTGCCAAGCCTTTCGCACCGTGCGCGCGCGCTGCTGTCCAAGGGCCAAAGATAACATCTGCGTCAACCACGTGCATCGATCCACAGACGCCACGATCTCCATACCTAAGCATCGCTTGAATCATGCATACACCTGCACACCGATGGCGGCTGCTCAGCTAGTGATCACTTTATAGTCACATAGCTCGGTTTATGCCTTACCGTGAACAATATCCCCTAACTCGAGCCCAAACCGCTGCATACCCTTTTGCAGACCCTCAATTAGCGTGGATGGTATTCCATCTCTGTTGCCTGAAAGGATTACGTTGCCCTGACCATGCCTGTCTCCACCCGACGCGGCAGGCAGCTCTATGCGGATATTATCAAGGGCTGAGGCGGTGAGGGAGCTTCCCAAGCCTAAGGATATGCTGAGGCCATCAGCAATACCTATCTCGAAGGGACCGCATAGCACAAATATTAAAGGCACAAGTTGTGATGCTGTGCAAAAGATTTAGCAAAATACGTGTGAAGTATCTGCTTTGCACTTGTGAGGGAGGTTCTACATGCTCTGGTACCAGGACTCCCTGTCAGCTGCCACAATGTATATTTTTATGGGTCATGGATGCACTGAACAAGCTTCCTACCTTACACTAGCAATTTTAATAAGTCAGACGATGCAGCATAGCAGACTGATGTTGAGAGAGGAGATGCTAAAGATAACATTTTGCTGGCTTCTGGCTACGGTATTCCGAAATCCTCACCTCCGAAAATTGTCGCTAGCACGAGCCTGCCTGCGGATGACATTGCAAAAGCCTCAGGGTGTGCGACGATGGGCTCGTCTAGGCTGTCCCCACTGGTAAACACGTGTCGAAATTCCTGCCAGAGAGTATTTGCCATATCTTTGCACAAGCGCCTAATCAAGCGACTGCGTTGCTCCCAGCCACCCACATTGCATAGGGCTTCGGTTGCAGCCAGAAGCGATGCTGCACCTCTCATGGTTTCGTTTCGCACGTGCCGCCTAAGCAAAAATGCTAGCACCGGCAACGGCATCTGGGATACTTCTGATTGGAAGGGATGCACGCAGATTTCGCAGTGTGCAATGTTGCAAGCTCGCAGCACTGTTGGGAGAACGGTGGAAGAAAGGCAACAACCGATGCCTTCAACGGTGCCTCCCCGGATTTCTCTGCTGACTGACTTAGCTGCAGAGTACTTGAGGTGGTTGGTTCCATCAGTATCCGCCCCTTTTGAAGACAGCTTCCCCAGTCCAGGTGAATCTGCAGTTAGGACCGACCAAAGGTCATCGCAGAGGAGCTTTACTGCAATGGTTGTACCGCCGCAGTGTACTTGTGATATGCAGAATGATCTTGCATTTGTTTGGTCTAGAAAATACGCTGACAAGGGTGACTGATTGGAGCGAGTTGAATCGCACCGGAACGTAACTAGGCTGGTTTCTGGCCCTGATACGCTTGCGTCTCCATATACCCCGCAGAAACTCCGTGGATTGTAACAGGGATTGTCGCAATTGGGGCAATGATGCAACATACGTCCGCAATTTGTAGAAACGTGATATCCAGAGCACTGCGCTGACAGGGGGCGACGTACATTCATTTTGAGGAGCCTGTGGGCAGTAGACTTCAGGCTAACCGGGAAGGCAATCCGACCGCACATCGTGTTGCGACATGTTTGCCTGGAGAGCGTTTGAATTACAGAGTCTGCGGGCAACTGGCAAGCAGATTCAATAGATGCCATGGAAGTCAGCACAGAACGTAGGTGGAGATTGACCACAACTGGTGAGACTGCTAGCGAAGCGTGTTCGACTTCTTGATGGACATGGGACATGAAAGGAAGCATCCCCGGGTAGCCACGCATGACTTCCACCCTGCCGAAAAGAAGCATCTGCATCATAGGCTCATTGAAAATCCTAACAGTGTGCTCCCCGCTGAGCTGATGGTGCATCCAAGCGAGAACTGGGGATCCTTCCGGTTTATCTAGTCCAGAGCAGCCTCTTCGCTCACAGGATTGAACAGATCCAAGAGTAGCTGGTCCCATGATTAATGGGTACACTGTTTTGTTGCCAAAATCAAACAAGTGTGCTTCTTCAAGAGACATATCAACTCCAAAGCGTACACTTGAAGGGGAAGCCTTTCCCTCTAACGGCCCGTCAACCAGCGAAATGAGCGCTAAAAACGCTGCCTCTACCATTTTCGCATCCAGTACGATCTGCTGACATTGCCGACCCCAAATGCAGCGGCCTGGCGTCAGCCTTCCCAGTTGTTGCTCACGCCGATTGGGGCCCTGGTCACCAATATATGTGAGGCATATGTACGGTAGGCGGACAGAAGCTACACAGAAAAGAACACAGAAATACCAGGAGCCTTCCACAATAAACTACAGCTTGACAGCTACGCTGGCCAGCAAATAGCACTGGCTAAATTAGACTAGTGCATTTCAATTGCTGATCAGCAGGAAAACTTGCCTCGAAGTATCTTGTCACATGCCTCTTTACCCAGCAGGTGCGCAGGTAGTGTCCTTTGCAGTCCCAGCAGGCCATACTGAGGTATGTCGTTTCCCCCGATAGAGCGTTCATGAAGCCGTCGAGTCTTTGGAATGTGAACGGAATTGGCTCTTTCTGTTGCTTTCATAGACGCACGATTGTCCCTCAGGCCGCTTTTCCCATTGGCAATGACTGAATCCACTACACGGCTTCTTCTGGGAGGCACTGAGGTTACCGACACGATAATTGTTGGGCCTCGGGTTCGAACTGCAAGGTAAAACCAGCGCCGCGGTCGCTGCAGCACAACTTTTAGGCACTTGTTTGATTCCAATCCAATTTCGATCCAGGCAAGGTCCTCACCTTCCAGACGAATATACAGCTTCTCTTGCAAGGCATCAACGCCAACCTTGCCATTGTTCAGGATTGACTCAGCACATGCTGCCATTGCCGCTGCGCCT